AGCAGCCACCCCCCCCCCCCCCACACACACACACACCTCACGTCCAGAGTGCGCCGCCACAAGCTGGAGCTTGTCCACCTCCCGACCTCGAAGCCTCCCCAACCGTGGAGCCAGCACTTCTGCTCCGTGCTGCTTTTGCTTCTACTAGAGTACTCCTGCCATGCATGCTGTTTCGTGACCTGGATACTGTATAGCAGGACATTTTTCGTACAGAAATATTTTCGGACAAAGCTGAATTTCGACTTTTCGTACGGATTTTATTTTCGTACAGTGCTGCAGGCTAAATGTACGTGTTCGCTAGCAGTACGCATGTATAGTGTACATAATTTCACATGAAATTTTTTTAGTACGGAATTAATTTTAGTACAAAAGAGGCCGTGTACGAAATAGTACGAAAATAAAATCCGTCCGAAAATGTCCTGTTTTACAGTAGGCTGCCGACAAGACTTCCGCAACTGATCATTGCACGTCTTTCTCTTATTTTGCTTTCCTTTTCTGACTTTGCTCCTGACCTGCGCACACCTCCGACATGTTAAGTTTCCGTCACGCATTGCTCATTCCCTGGTTCGCTGTTGGTGGCCTTGCCAGCCACTGCAGTGAAGAGTTGTATCTTGCACAGGCACAAGAGGTTGTTTCTCCAGTCCTTTTTTTTCAAATTGACTGTTTGGCATTCGCAGTGAGCGGAATTCGGAGTCGCGAAAGGGAAACAGCCCGCGGACGAACTCCATGCAGGATAGAGTATTGGATGTGACCACTTGCAATGTCAGAGTGCTAAACTGGTATTGGAAGTTAAAGCACACGGATACAGCAGGGTTACATCCAAATGGCGACGGAGATGAACACAATAATGCGCTGCGTACATTGTATCAATGTTATCAATAGGGGTGAAACAAATATTCCGAATATTCGAATGTTCGTTCGATAAGCTTAACCAAACGAATATTCGTTACGACAAATACGAATACTTTCACACGGCGCTCTGCTACATCCTCTGGCGTCACTGGCTGGAAGGACTTTCGCTTTCTCTTCGTTCCTGCTGCTGTACTGATGCCGGCCGCTGTCTCTGGCACCGATTCAACGTCATCGACATTCTCCTCATCATCGCTTTGTGGCAGCGCGTTGATGTCGGAGTGATCGCTTGTTTGACCATTGGCTGAAAAATATTTCCCGGAAAAACGAGCATTTCTCAAAATGGATATCTTCATGGAATTCCGGAAGGTCAAATCTCGCAGAAAACCGGCCACATGTTGTCAATTATTAACTTATCATTGTAGAAAGCTTCGCAGTCGTAAACAAACAAATATTCGTTAACAGAAAGAATATTCGGATAGTCAATACTCGTATTTGTTTCACCCCTATTTATCAAAGGACGTCTGCACGACTTTCAAGTCCCTGAGCCTGTTGAAGGAGATGTCGGAAATACTAGTAAAATATTATAAAACCAAAAAGAAGGAAACGACAGCTGGTCCTTTGAGCTTGGTCTGAGTCATATATGCTTTGATATGGGTACATAACAAACGGCAACGAAGATGGGGTCATTGCATACTAAGTCCAGTTGCAGTATCAGTGTAGTGCAAGGGTCGCTCAACCCTGGGCTATAGTCAACGTCAGTTTCACAATGCCAGCACTGTACCAGCACATCAATGGTAGATATATCCCTCAAGTACACCCAGTTATGCGGTGTCATGCAGCAACACCCACACAGTCCCCCCCCCCCCCCCAACACACACACTCAGTCATCCCCCCCCCCCCCCCCCCCCCCACACACACACACATACACACACAGACATGGAGACTGACCGCATGGCAATATCGTCTAGGATAGTGTAGATGTTGAGCAGCAACTGAAGGCGCTGTTCATCACTCGCTGTGACCGGCACAAGATGCATGTGCAGGCTACGCTCCACACCAAGACTGCCAGCAATACAAAAACAAACACAACAGAACACAGGAACACACACAAAATCTTTCACAAATCACATCGCAGTACAGAGGCTATGGGAACGAATCATCCTTTACCGCCGCGGGTACATTATTGGTGCTTTACCGCCGCAGGTACATTATTGGTGGTTTAGCGTGTGCGCTAAGCCCTGTTAACGAACGTGGAAAATCTACCACTCATACTTAGTCTGATGATCATGCATCTGATTATGATGTCATTGCTATACATGCGCATGCGCAGCGCGCGCCACTCTCCCACGCATGCATTCCAAATCTTGCTTTAGAGAGAGAGAAGGAGAAAAGAGAGACTCCTTTGTCACTTTTGCTTTCTGACGACTTGACTGTTCACTGGTTTGTCCGTCAGTGTCAATTTCCCCTTCCCTCCCAACCCCATTCGACTGGGGATCACTATCTCTCCGTCACTGTCACCATAATTTCCTCAATAACAGTGTCAGTACAACTCTTGTCAATATACTTATATCGGGTGAGGGCAGTCTATCTCCGCAGCTGGCTCATTTCAATCACTACCGGTCGCAGCTCCTGCCCACGGCAGGCCGACCGTCTCTCGTTCACACTCTGTGTGCTCCAGGTCACAGCTCCGGCGCAGAGCAGGCCGACCTGTCTGTCTCTCTCTCACACACACTATGTGTGCACCGGGTCACAGCTCCTGCGCAGAGCAGGCCGACCTGTCTTTCTCATGCACGCCAGCTGCTCCGCCCAATATCCCTGATATGCCAACCAGAAAACAATGTGTTCTGAGCCGGGTGCATGCCTGTATGTGGAGAGTGCGTTAATGGTGCTTAGGCGGCTTTCACCTGATCCGACCGCATGCTTTTAGATCCCAGTGGCAAGAAGCAAGACTTCGAGAAAAGAGAGACAAAAAACAATTGTGTAGTCGGGGAAGTGAACTGCCTGAAAAGAGAGAAAAAATGCCAACCCACCTGGACGTTTTTTTTTCTCTTTTCAGGCAGTTCACTTTCCCAACTGATCGTTCGAATTTGAAGTTCTCCCAATCCTTTCAAAAATGTGTAGTCGTTGAAGAATCCTTTCTCCTCCTTTTTTTCGTTGTAACGCTGTAGTGCTGCCACCCACAGCCGAGTGTGTGTTCTTCTGAAAGGTGCATGGTAGTTTACATAGCTCTGCAGAGGAGAGTATGAGGAAACTGGGCAGGTCATGTCTCCTGGCTGGTGGTCACCCACACTGTAAAAACCTAAAAATTTCGGTGGAGTTTCATTTTCGGTACAGGAAATTTTTACCTAAAATAAAACGCGACCCAAATTGGATCTGGAAAATTGGTTTACTAAAAATTTCGCGCTACCGAACCGTTGAACAAGCGCCAGACGACTCTGCGGCCCAAGCGTCCAGTGGCAATGTAAAAGGTGGCAATGCAAACGCAGCACCTTCTGCTGCCATTGCCGTTGGTGCTTCTGCTACTGTCGCTGGGGCCTCCGGTACTACTGCTCCTCCTGCTGCTGCGGCAACGAAGAAAAGACGACGCTCCTCAACGGTGGGAACGGCAGCAGGATCGGAGGGTTTGCAGTGGCTGAAGAGCAAGAAGGAGGAGTCCAACGTGGAGCAAAAGCAACATGGCGACGCTATGAAACTAAAAATCGTTGAACTCGGTGGAAATTTCGAAGTTCGCGGCAACATGAGCAAACACGAGTTCTACAACATTTCTGGCAAAAATATTCGCTGTCCTGTTTGATTGGGAACTGTTGTTCTGACTGCTCCAGTGACTCTGATCTGAATGCGGATTGACCAATCAAACACGCCCCTAGTCTCTAAAAGAGATGTATGCAGGGTATACACCAATGCAGATGACGTCGTACACCAATGCAGATGACGTCATACACCGATGCAGATGACGTCATACACCAATGCAGACGGCGTCATACACCAATGCAGATGACGTCCCAGGAAACCAGGGATTCCCCCATTCCCGTCTCACCTATCCTCGGCGGTCGGCTGGTAGTAGAGCTGAAAGATCTTGTTTGGAATCCAGGCCAGGCGCTTGAGGAGCTGCTTGTCCGCCCGGTCGCCGCTCTTGTTCAAGCAGCGCAAATGCACGGTGTGGTAGATATTGGCCAGGGTGGTCATGGTGTCCAAGCGCACGGTCACCTACATACGGCCAGAGCATGCAGACGCACACAAGACAAATAAATCGAAAATACCTTGGAATAAAAACTCGGATGTTGAGCCAAATGTCTCAATATCCTTGTCAGTTGTGTTCCTCGTTGTCTGCCCGTATATTATCTCGTTATCTTGGTGGACTGGTAGTCCTAACTAGTAACAAGAGTACATGAAAACCAGAGTGTGCAGCTTGGGCCCTTTTCTGCTATGGGTGTCTGTCACGGCGGAATTCCGTGATTACATCATTTTGGCGCAGATCTGAGGCAGGAAATGGCGTAGTGCGTACAACTGAGCTGCAGTTGTGCAGAAAGAGACCAGCTTGAATCCTGCTTGTACGCACTACATCACTAAAATGATGTAATCACGGAATTCCGCCGTGACAGCAACCCATCCGAGCTGCACACTCTGGTTTTCATGTACTCTTGCTAGTAACTTATAGGTCCATCGGACGTCACATGGCCAAATTTCTGATTTCGCTTAAAGTTGGCTCCTTATATCCCCGGGTGGACATCTTTGGATGTTGAGCTTTCTGCTCCGCCGATTGCTCTCCCGAGTTCAATGTGCAAACGGAAGCATGATGAAGAGGATGACGATGACAATGCTATTCTTGGCATTTTGCCCAATGTTCCAGGATTTGGCAATCGAAAGAGGCGTTTTTGGCATGTTCTTCGCAGTCCAGGTGCGTGGAATGAGGACAGCCATCATGCACAGGAACACGATGGGAGTCGCGTGGGATGAAGCTGACTGGGAAAACGATCAGCACAAGCTTCATCTGAGAATGAGCAAAGCATCCTTTTGGGCCCTGCATGCCAAAATTGGTGGACATCTGGAAAGAGAAATAACGAACTACCGTCGCCCAGTATCTTCTGCAATGCGGCTTGCCATCACTCTGCACTGGTTGGCTCACAACATAGCGATGGCACAGCTATCCTTGACGTTCGTCATCGGAAAGTGAACCGCTGTGGCCATCACCCATGATACCGTCAATGTGTTGAAGACTGTTCTGCTCCCGAAGGTAATTAAATTTCCTACTGGCAAGAAATTGCGCAAGGTCATGAAAGGCTTCCGGACTTTGTGGCCTTCCTCGTTGCGCTGGTGCTATTGATGGAACCTTCATGCGCATCCGCCGGAAGCCCTTGATACACGGCGATGCGTAATGGTGCTACCAATGACATCCTGCAATAATTATACTTCCTGTTGTGGACAACCGTGGTCATTTCACGTACCTCAATGTTGGTCGGGCTGGCTCACTTGGCGATGCAGCCACCTTCCAAGGAACATCGTCAACAGAACATGGCTGACCCTCAAGGAACGTGGCCCGAATAACAACACAATATCAGGCACGTGCATTCATCCGTTTTTAGTCGGTGATGCTGCCTTCCCTTTTTCAAACACGATGATGAAATGCTTCGACGACTGGCATGGACCATTGGAGCCACACAAGCATACCTTCAATTTTCGCTTGATACGCACGAGAAGAGTGGTCAAGCAAGCCGTTGGTCGTCTGAAGGGCCGTTTCCGCATCCTGGATGGATGTGATCTGCGGAATCCTGTGTTTACTGCTGATGCCGCTCTCTCCAGCTGTGCCTTGCACAACTTCTGTGAAGTATGGGATTTGACAGGAGGCGAGGACTGGAGTATCAGTGATGCTGACTATGAACCAGGTCCTGGTGATGTGTTTGCCGCTGAAGCAGAGGCTACTGGACCAGTGTTACGTGAGAAGCTAGCACGCCATGTTCACATGCGCCGGCCCATATGATTCCTGCTACCTATGCTGTTGCCGAAACGGGCATTCACCGTTCGCAAATTTCTTCAACTCAGTCCCAGACCATCTGGTAAAAGGAGAGCGATCGCTCTCGCGCGCCTTCGCTCTCCTTATTTTCTTTTAGGGCGCACTTTTCGTCGCGCGCCTTGAGAATTTCGAGTGCATCCGCATCACTATGAAGTTCTGAAAACACTCGCAAGGTATTTTGTAACTCAGCTTTCCCTGAAAGGAACCGAGTAATCGAAAGGTCTATTCGCATTAGAAAGTTCTCAGCTGTCGGCTCCAACAAATCGAAAGTCGATCCGAGTGCCAATAGTGGAGTTACGGCACTCGCAAGGTATTTTACGTACCGTTGCAAATTTTCCCTTCCGCACTTGGGCGGCAATCATAATTTATTAGTATTTTAATGATTTCCCTCTGTTGCGTGACAGTCCGGGCATGCATAGACCTGTAGCTGTGTGACGCCAGGCACAGGTCTTTAGCTGTCAGCTAGCTACAGAAGAAAGGAGCGCTCTACGATGAATACGGTACTACAAAAATACCATGGATCTTAGCGAATTGTCTCAATTTCCCATTGCGTGTGTCAGTGTCTCTGATGAAGGGAAACTAAAGTTGTGGTCCGACCAGCTTTCATTTGTAGTGCGTACAGTGAATTTCCAGAACGAATTTGGCAGCTACTGTAAAAGCCATATATATAACGAAGTGCTAACTCTAACGAGTTAACGAGGAGAAAGCTGTCGTTAAAATAGAAATCGTTATACAGAAATCGATACATATACTGTCCTATTGAGCGTTGAGAATGAGTGAGAATCGTTACCTTTGGTATACGTAAACTAGTCAATTTTGGGAAATCGTTATATATGCGCCTCGTTAGAATAATGGCTTTTACAGTATTGAATCTAATTGGGGTATGGCAAGATGTTGAAAAAGCCCGTATTGTGCTCGCCTTGGATAGATAAGGCGAGCGACTTTTTTTTTTGGGGGGGGGGGGGAGGGTGGTGGGGACTGCTCTCCCACCACTCTCCTTGAGAGGATAGCGAGAGTGATTGTTCACTCTCCTGGATTTTTCTTACACGAAGGTCTGCAGTCCCAATCCACTCTCGCTTCTTCGTGTCCTTATTCATCGTAGTTTGGTGCCTTGTCTTGGCCTCAAACCAAAGCTCGGGCGACCTACGTTCTAGAGGCACCGTCCAAGAATCCACAGTCTTCCGAGAAAATCAAACTCAACTGATCGATACACAGACGCGCGGTCAAGGCGGATGGCAAAGGCAAAGTACGGAAAGCAAACTGGAGAGAAAGACACGCGATCAAAACACTTTCGGTGCATGCATGCTTTGCCCGACCCCCGAAAAACGGAAATTCCGTACCGAGCGTAAGTACCATTCTACTCGTTTAGCCAAAAATCGAAATAACCGCTCGATCTATGTCCTATCGAGTAAGTAACGAGTAATCGATTCAGAACTAGCTGAAAGTAGCTTGCAGGCCATTTTTCAGCCATTTCCATGGTAATAGTGACGTAAACAAGCGCTTTCTTCGGCTGAATGGCTGAATCGAGTCCGGTGTGACCGCGGCCTTACAGCTTGGTCCAGAGACCCTCCGCTATAGGCTCCTGTTTACAGCTTGGTCCAGAGGTCCTCCGCTGTAGGCTCTTGCTTACAGCTTGGTCCAGAGACCCTCCGCTATAGGCTCTTATGCACCGTTCTCAACAAAAAGCATGTAAGCGGATATAGACACATACACAGGCACAGAAACAGACACACACACACACACACACAGACACACACACACACAGACACACAGACACACACACACACACACGCGCGCCTCACCTTCTTGTCGAGTAGTCTCTTCTGGAGGAGTGCCCACAGCTATAGAAAGCAAGACCAAAAGAGCCAGGGAAACCATACAGACTTGAATGCAACATGATACACTGACCAACGTAAGGCAGCCACCAATGTGCTGTGAAAACTGCTACTGTAAGACCAGATATTTTAATGCCGATTAAAGTTAACGATCTCTGGATTTTCGTGGGTTAGCGAGGTGGAATTCTAACGAATTCTGTCTCGAAACCGGCAAATAACTGCACATGTACATATTGTTTTGCACATAATGACTTCAAATGTTAGCGATTCTTTCAAATTTGTCAACTCGTTACAATTAAATACTCTTTAAAATTACTGGTCTTACAGTATCACATACATGTACTCAAAGTACACAATCTGCAGACAGCATGTACTCAAAGTACACAATCTGCAGAGAGCATGTACTCAAAGTACAGATATTCTCAAACTCCATTGCATCCTGCTACTGGTATACTGATAGCAGGACGCCTTTCGTCATGAACACCACAGGGCAGTTGTAAACAGGCAAGACACACGAGCAGTGTTCATAACATGACGGCGATGTGAAGTAAACGAAAACAAGCAGGCGCTACCTTGTCCGTCATGCAGTTGATGTCCTGGAGAGCGGTCTCCTGCAGTGTCACGACAACGGTGCTCCGCACGCTTTCATCCGGGTCAAACGCAGCCTTCTCCAGCGCAGCTGCAGGTCACATAACCACGATTGGCCACGCAAAACACAAACTTAGAGCTGGTGAAGCAGAATGCAGCGGGACACGAGAAGGCAGAATACACCACGATACAATACATGGAACACAGCTTTCAAGGGTGTGAAAGCGGGAAGTTGCATAGTTCAGAAGTAATGTGTACTCCCTGTAGCCAGAGGAATCCTGTCACATGAAGTTCCCTCTGTACACGGCTGTTTCATGCATGCGCTCTGCGGCCAAAAAATATGGCGTCACAAAATTTGAATTTTTGAATTTTTGCATCGTGATCGCGTGACAGGGCCAGTTATTTAGACAGTTTATTCAATTTTTCGGTTGCCATACGGTACGTTCTCAGATCAATTTGGATCGATTCTGGCCTGCTTGCCCTAAATATTTGGACTTATTCGCTTGCCAGAGCTAGCTTGCAGCTGCCTTCTCCCAAACTCAGAACGAGCTTCCGCGATCTCCTTCAGATTCCAACGGCCTGAGAACGAGATAGATCTTGATCGTTGGCCACTTTGTTGCTATTGGGTGGACCTGTTACTGCGCCCCCGCGGTCCTGGAAAAAGAAAATTTTCTCACCCTCGCCTTCAATTTTCCCTCAATCTATGTTGTCCTGGCTGTCAGTTTCAAGCAGTTTCGAAACTTGACGTGCATCCTGGAAACTTTTCGTGCCAGTTTTGATCGAGGTCCTTTTGGCGTTTATAATCCTGATTAGGGCACGCTCACACTGCGACCATGAGCACGCGTCAATGCGTCAGCAAAACGCAGAAACGTGGCGGTCGTGCTCACACTAGGCCTCGTACATGCGTAGACGTGAAGTTGTCACACAAACTTTACGAATTGCAGTTCGTATCCAAAAGAGTTTGTGCGTTTCCTAATAAAGTTGTGGCCCGTTTTGGATGTAATTGGATGTAAAAAATTTCGCATTTTGCATGTTGGAGGAAGTGCCTCGTGGCTCGTATTCTTGAAGTCGACGAAAATAATTCATACAATATCAGGTAGGTTTGGACTCTTGAGGGGCTGCCGCTGACATCCAAGCGCTTTCGCTTTCCTGACCTCGTGGTCAGAGCAAGTGCCAGTGCAGTGGAAATTCCGGTAGTGGTTTCTTTTGTCTGTTGCCGAGATGAGAACTGTATTTTCCGATGATATGTAACTGAAATGTCTTGAGGTACGGCATTCCATCATCGCAGAAGAGTACAGAAAGATGATTTCCCAAACCGAAAAGCAAGACCAAGCTGCCATCGTATTAGTGGTGAAACGAATGTCAAAACCTACTAGTCGAATATTCTTCAGCTTAACGAACGAATGAACGAATATTCTTTTGGTAACACAGATGACATCACATGCCCTCCTCTCAGTCATTTGATGGATATTGTCAATTTATTAGGTATGACAAACGGTAGTGCCACGTAAATTATACTGCCACATAAGGCTACTTCGAAGTTCATAAATGTTATGTACAGTCAGACCTCGCTTATCCGGTCCTCGTTTATCCGGATCCCTCGCCATCCGGAAGAAAATAGTTGGTTACAAATGTACAGCATATGCCATGCTTACATACAGTATGTGTGTTCGATTATCCGGTTCCCTCGCCTATCCGGATATTTTTGTGGAAAACGGATGTGTGCGGTTAACCGAGGTCTGACTGTACACCATTGGCAGTCCAGTAAGGACATACATGTGCATGCATGCAGTACAAAGTAACAGGCAGGCTTTACGCACTGCACTGTACCGTGTTCGGCGTGCATGTATGTACAGGCACTGCATTCGAAGTGACGTAACGAATACTCGAATGTGACTTAACGAATATTCGAATGTGACAAACCGAACGAATGTTCGAATGTTCGAATATTCGTTTCACCACTACATCGTATTGAACGAGTACACTGTAGAAATTGGTCACTGACCCGATCAACTGACAACGAAGCAATTACAAAAACAAAAACAAAATTGACATCGTCCAAAAAGGGCAAAGAATGCATATATGGCGGTGCGTGCGTGCAGGACCGGTCGACCACAACTACAAAATTTTAAAAATGTGCAAATGTCGAGGATGACATCGACAACCGCCGAGTTTCATGAATCAACACACCGGAATCTCTCTGGAATATGAGAAATTGAACATACTTCAGGCCAGGTTGTACACAAATACGCTTCACGTCTACGATCATGTTGCCGCCAAGTGACATAGCAGCGCCCAGTCTGCAGCGGCCCAACCGAGTGATCAGAAGTATGATCAGCAACTGGACCATACATTGTGACTATCACGAGCCTGCCTTGGCAGGTTGTTCTGCCACTGTTCCCCTACACCAATTACAGAAGCATGTGGATGCCTGCGCATTTAGTCCGGCAGCAACATCCAGCAGACATAGTCAGCCAATACGTACAATCAGCGCCACATCCTCTGTGAGTGATGTGCTACAAGCGTCACCGTCGAAAATGTGTGGCGATGTTGCAGACCGATTAACAAGTAAGCTGGTGACCGCCAAGGCTGAAAGTGGCCAGCTTGAAGTGAAGCCTATCTGTCGGGGAAGACCTCAGATCTACCAGCGTGTCACTGCCGCAACCACATCATCCGAAGAGGCATCACTACAAACAATCCGCAGACGCTCCCTGCAATTGAGCACCGTCAACGAGACTGTCTGTGGAGATTCTGCTGGTATACGGGCACAAGAAGTGGCTGGAATAAAGTGCCTCTCCACACCGGAGCAAGAGCAGCTCCTACACGACATTGGCTTGCATCCGACAATGCCAACGTCGGGAACAGCGCTGGCTATAAAGGCAGACTTATCTCTGTCCTATAGAAAATTCAGGATGCTGAGGACATGGCTGCGGTCACTTGGCGTACAGCTGGAGTCAGAAAAGAAGATGCGCGCATTCATCGCCACGCAGATGCCAGCATATACACTGCAGAACATACCAATGACGAGGCGAAACGGTGAGCTCAGAATGGCAGCCATGGTATACTTTCCAGATTTAATCGCTTTAGTTCTATATTTTCTTGACAAGCTGCATGGTGCTGAAGCCCTGACATGGTCAAGCAGCATTCCTCAGTCAGAAGTCTGGATCAAGATCGGTGGTGATCATGGTGGTGGAACGTTCAAGTTGAGCTTCCAGGTAAGCGGGTGATAATAAACTTGCTAGACGTGTATATGCTGCAGCGCTGCTTGCTATAGACTATACTAAGAAGTGCAGCTAGATTAGTGCATTGAATTAGTGACAAAATGAGATGAATGCTTATCGAAAATTGGGCATGCACGAGATAATAATCATACCATCTAACGCACAGTGTCTTCTTTTTCTACTGCACAGGTGGCAAACGTACTGCATCCGAACACTGTCAAGAACACCATACCGATTTGCGTATTCGATGAGAAAGACACACCGGGAAACCTCTACAGTGCTCTCAGTATGTACCAACAACAAGTCCGTGACCTGATGGCAACGCAGTGGAAGGGGAAGAAGCTGCGAGTGTTCCTTTTTGGAGACTACGAGTTCCAATGCCATGTTTCGGTCTGTCTGGCCCCAGTGGTGTTCGACCTTGCATCCATTGCCACTGTATGAAGCGCTCGATGGACCTACACCCCAGCAGTGGACCAGAGGATGAGACAACAGCTAGGTCCCTGGAAACATTGGCAGCGGATCACCAGCGCTACACCACTGATGGCTCTCGCCTCAGCAGGGCGAAGCTATTCAATAAAGTCATTCGGGCCCACCATCCTGCCAATCCCAGTAGCCGACGCTGTAATACCAGCCCTCCACTTGGACCTCGGCATATTTGTGTGGATATATGCGCTCTTGGAAAAGGAACTGCACCAGCTCGATCTGAAGCTAGCGGCGCACTGCGCTCCAGCATCTAGCGACGGTGACGGGTTCACTCGGCTAACCACACTTCACCAGGAGCTGCAGACGGCAAGCACGAGCCTTGAAGAGACCGAGCAAGAATGCACCACGTACCAGCACCAACTTCAATTCCTGACGATCTCGGTGCAGAATCAGCAGGTCGATGACAATGACGGTCGATGGCAAGCACGTGTTGAGCAGCTTCAAGTTGGTTTCACGCTGATAACGGCAAAGCGAGACAAGCGTGTAGAGGTGGCTCGCCTAACATCTGACATAGAAAAGCTGAGCGGCTGTAAAGACATGCATGGTCCATGCCAGCAGTCTTTGGATCCTGTTCTGCAGGCCAACAAAATCCAGAGTCAGGTGTATCATGGTGGAGCGTTCAATGGCAATCACATCTGTGTCGCCATGACACCCGCTGTTGTAACTGCCATTACACAAGCTCCTGTGGCCATCATCTCAGCCAGACAGCCCAGTCTGCTTGCAGACGCACAAGCCATCGCGGAGCGCCATGGCAAATTGATCACTATGTATGCTGATTGCAGCAGCATTTTCAGCAAGTCATTGGCAGTCGACGACGATGCTCTCACCAAACTGGAGGCTTGCATCAAAACGTTCCTTGCTGCTTGCAGGACCGATATCGTGGCCCGAGGCTTGGCGCATGTAACACCGAAGCTACACCTGCTTGAGCACCATATGTTGCCCATGATGCGTCGTCTCGGTGTCGGCATTGGCTTGCTTGGGGAACACGGAGCAGAAAGTATCCATTCTGCGTTGAACAATTACGAGAAGGACTTCAAAATATCCCCGTCGCGAGTCAGCGTCTGAAGACCGTCGCTGATCAGCATCTGCTCTCCTGCGTTATGGAAATGAGTAATCTTCGTCCCCAACGCAGTACCAGGAAGAGAAAAGCACTAGCACTAGAGGAGTAGTGCACCACCAGGTGAGAACAAGTAGAATACTTTGTGAAACAATTATTTTATCGTGATTAGAAAAGTGGAATTATTTTAGTGCGCCTGGCGTTGAAAATCGAAGCGATGCCTGAATACCACGGTTTCACCCATATACTTCGTAAATCTGATCGTATCAAAACATATTCGAGCGGGTTTACAAAACCTCGCTGAAAACCAGCTTAGATGGCGCCATATTGTTAGGTGGCACGCGCGTACCAGCCGTGTGTAGATCAAGTAATGACAGGTTCTACTGTAAACCAGCTGTACTGGTACCTGGACCCACCAACCAAACTACTTTTAGAAGTACAGTGCGGCCTAATGAAGTCCGATCGCGCGAGTCAAATTTGCACCCTGCACCCAGCTGTACACATCCCAGTGTTTGCAGGTCTAAGGTTGCGCAGCGTCCGGCATAGCATTGACTCACTTGATGTGATTTCATTGAGCAGCACTCTGCATGTAATGGTAGCTGCCACCCACCCACACCCACACTGTTGTACGTGCACTTGTTCCTTGCCAGTAACTGTTCACGTGGGTGCCCCGGAAGAGGGGAGCAAGACTTAGAAGGAATCAAGCTGGACATACACAGATGCACATGCACACGGTACCTTCAGTCTCGTGCGCCAGTGACGGATGGTAGACAAGGAAGTACTTGCTGAACTGAACGCAAATGCAGCGGATTGCGGGTACAATATCGCGGAACCTAAACAGGTGAGCACGCGCGCGCGCGCGCGCGTGCACACACACACACACACACACACACACACACACACATGCACACACACACACACACACACACACACACACACACACACACACACACACACACACACACACACACACACACACACACACACACACACACACACACACACACACACACACACACACACACACACACATGCAGTCAGTAACAAGAAGCCAACCTGAAAAGCCACTGGCATGCGAGGAGATTGATCATCTCCGGTACAGTGCTAGTATCAATCCACATTCTTCAGCAGACAACCTGCAATATTAAAGGGGAAGTTAAGGCAAAAATTAAAATTTCACCAGTTGTAGTCTTCGGGGTGCTGAGTCGAATGGTCGTGGTCCGAGGAAGCTGAGACGCTCCCTTCCTACTTGAATCCCAATCGAACTCGCGCACTTCCACCGAAACTGGGTGACTGCGCCCTACTAGATGGGGATTTGTATGCAAAATGTCACTACAAGCGCCATTTCGTTCTTATAAAAGCACGGATGACCGCGATTGGCCCATATGTTGTAGTCTTTTGGACGCTGAGTCGACTGGTTTTGGTCCGAAAAGGCTGCGATGCAGCGTTCCTCCTTTATTCCCAATCGAACACGGTTGAAGAAGCGGTCACGTGCTCCTGCGTACACCAGTCACCTGGTCACCGTGCCTGCAGGGTACAACTTACTAGCCTGTTTGACCTTTTTTGGGTGCAGTCCTGTCACTCGAGTTGAACTCGAGTTGAACCTTGGTGTGAAAGTTGTCACCTGCTGGCGTGGTGACCAGGTGATTTGGGCACCCAGGACCACGTGACCGCTTCTTCAACCATGTTCGATTGGGAATAAAGGAGGAACGCTGCATCGCAGCCTTTTCGGACCAAACCAGTCGACTCAGCGTCCAAAAGACTACAACATATGGGCCAATCGCGGTGATCCGTGCTTTTATAAGAACGAAATGGCGCTTTTAGTGACATTTTGCATACAAATCCCCATCTAGTAGGGCGCAGTCACCCAGTTTCGGTGGAAGTGCGCGAGTTCGATTGGGATTCAAGTAGGAAGGGAGCGTCTCAGCTTCCTCGGACCAAGACCATTCGACTCAGCACCCCGAAGACTACAACTGGTGAAATTTTAATTTTTGCCTTAACTTCCCCTTTAATAGTGGTAGTAGATTTTTTCTTGTGACCAATCTACCACTACTAATCTGCAATAGAAAGAAGCTCTGTCAAGCAATGGCTGGGGTTTCTACTTTCTCAGCGTGATGGGCACTCCCAACACTTGATTATTTTCATTGCAGCATTCGGATTTTGAAAAATTCAGTTTCTTAGGACACAGTGAAGAAGGCATTCGGAAATCCGATCAGGCCTTTCGCGCAATTACTCTTCATAATTGGTACGCAAATGATGAGCATATGATAAGCAAACAAGTCTCTATGTCTAGCTGTCTAGGCGGTTAGAGTAGTGACAGATTGGCACCTTGGAGGGCGGGAGTGGCGCTGGCTACATAGTGGAACCAGACTGTATACATCATGACGTTATCAGGACAACAACACTTCTGCCGTGCAAAAACAGTGACAACTTTCACACACGCACTTCTTGTGTACACAGCTTGGGTCTCAGCTTAGCAATGTGCACTGCCTCTCAGCACAGCCAGGTGAGATTTGCTGCGCGCTCGCGCTTGAATATTGAAGTGAGTGGATCAGGCAAGCTGGTGACAAAATCAGCTGACTGGTTCTTGCCAAATCTGTCAGGCTGTCATTGTCACTATTGTCAGATGGTTCATTCATACAGCTACAGTACTAGCGTGCAGTGCTGCTACGTAGTTGGAGACTTTTCTCCTGGGCGCTGGGTCGCGCGATCCTCCAGACGCTGAATCAATCACTCAATGCACAACGTGGTTGCAAAGAATCACCTTGCCGTGTGCCAGGTGCTGGGGTATACGAGTTTATCTTCCTGACACAAAAATTCGGTTCAGTTGTTTCTAATCACAAATGCGGAATTGTTTGCACAATCTGCTTCGATTCCGGCTTGGATTTGGAGATTTTAAAAACCTTAGCGATATCATAGCGCATTAGCAAATGTCCACTATTCATACAGATTTGAGCCAGGTTCGGCGAAGAAATAAACAGAGAAACAGTGCCTCTATCGTGCTCTCAATGATATAACTTGTGTCCATGACTTTTAAAAGATACTGTAAGACACTGAAAGAACCTGTATACCTGAGTAGAAGGGAGATGCTGTATACCTGAGTAGAAGGGAGATGCTGTATACCTGAGTAGAAGGGAGATGCTGTATACCTGAGTAGAAGGGAGATGCTGTATACTTGAGTAGAAGGGAGATGCTGTATACCTGATTATCGCCTTCTTAGTATTTGACCCCACTAATTTCCCTGATACCTAAGCGGTCAAATATATCGCGTATTTGACTGCTTAGTCAAATACACGATTCGCGTATTTGACTGCTTAGTCAAATACACGATATATTTGACTACTTATATTTGACTCCTTAGAATTTCTTGGACTTAGAAATTTTCTCTCCAACTTAGAAAAAGAAATTTTTGAAGAAAGCAGAAACACACAAGATGGGATTTGAACCCACAACCATGTGAATCTCAGTCACTCTTCCTTACCACCCAGCCACTGTGCTACCAATGCTGAACCTAGTTTAAGGGGGCTCAGTACTTCTGCGCGCGCATCGAAATCTGGGCATGATTTTATGCAAAATTTCGCGTTTGAAAACATTTTGTCCGCGGCTGGAGAAAGTTTTTTTGCGAGAAATAGTCGTGTTCAAAAGTTTATTTTGCGAGAATTCAAAGAAACTGCAGTCCTTGAACAGTTTGAACGTTTTGTGTTTTCCATTTTGGTTTGCTGGATGTCGGCGATCGATGGAGCTATGGAGCTTCGTGTCAAGTACTTGTAGTTATCAATAGGCACGGCCGTTTTCGTGGGCGCTCAGGAACAAAGCGTGTTCAATCTTCTTCAGGTCGTGTAGTTCTAACTTCCAGCTCAGATATGCCCTTTTCTCAGTCTCGCCTGCCAGTGAAGACAAGTAAACCTGCAAGATTGTCCAGAGCCCAGCTACCAGTGATACATGTATTTAGTCTCAGAACGCAGGTAAGTGACATGCTTCTCTCAAGTTCAAGTGCATCCACTTGAGTGGCACTTGGAACGATATCTATTTTTTCTTTTCCAGTCGCCAGATAAAAATATTACTGACGACTGTGAGAGAAAAACTGGTCTTGTACCTGCAGTACCTGGAGATAGTGGAGTCAGAGTGTAGTGTCTGCAAGTAGAGACTTGATCTCTGTGAGTAATGAGTGTGGTCTGGAACAGCCAGTAGGAACAGCACAGCGACATGCCAGTGAAGTGTTCTATGTGTGGGCAGGAGAATTTGGTCAGACATGTGAGTCTCATGCTGGATGGAGTGGAAAGCATGGATCCTATGAACTCTAAGGCTGCACTGGGTGAGTTCTGACCTGTGCCTGTGTTTCTCAGGAGAAGGCTGTGGGTTCAAGGTAGTATGGCTGTGCTTGTATCATTGAACTATGACAGGAATCTGTATATATTATAAAACTGAATATTGAAATATTGGCAATATGCCTTGTAGAACAACTTGAGCAGAGACAGTCACAGACACGTAATATTATGCATGGTCAAGTTGCCACATTTTCATGAGCTCGGCCTTGACCTAGACTGTAAATGCAGCATAAAAGTGTTATGCATGTTGTGAAGAACTGCAATATTACCCAGGCAAGGCAAGGCAAGGAATGTCAACTGAAATCATGAATCACAGCAGTACACATTGCAGCACTAGTCAGGCTTCTGTCACAGTCTCAGCAAACAAGCTGGAGTGGGCGTTTCGCTGCAACATGGGTGTTTGTAGAAGTCTAAATATTCTTCAACAACAACAACGTTATATATCATGCCTACAGGTACAATCATCTGGTGTTGGCATTTGAGAGGAATCAGGGAACTGGCATCCTTGGATTATTGCACGAACCGGGTGGCGATGGGCGTGTGCTAGTCACAACGAGTTCTGCTATTGCAAAACGCATAACACATCATCTAGCATCTGGAAGACCCAACACCAACACCCCTATTTTACACACTGCTCCAGACCGCACAAGTACTCCAGCAGCTGCAGGAGGTGCAGCATCGTCCCCACTTTCTACCACTCGTGATGATGCTGCAGTTATCTGCTCAAACATTCACGTTGTGCTGCACACTGGAGGCGCGAACCCACAATACCAACAGTGGCTGCTAGCCATCGCATCCAGCAGTAACCAAGCAACTCAAGTTGCTCATTGACAGCGTTATACTTATAATCCGTTGTTTTGTACATTTGATATACCCATGCATGTATGTATGTATGTACATTATATTATGTATGTACATCACAATATACAACAAAGATGTGAATAACACAATTCAGTTGTGACTGTTGCATGTGGTATTGTCTGGGATTGGTCTATAGCAAATGCTTCTCGCCCTACATAGTCAAAGTGAAGCTTGAATGAAGTCGATACACTCATTTTGGCAACAATGCTGAATCTGACTTTCAAGCTGAATATGCAAAATCCGTCACAAATTTTGTTTCTCACGGAGAAACGAGATGGTAGACATAAAAATCTATTTTTGTAGAGCCTTCCTATGGCCTTGAAGAGCAGATAATGACCATAAAATGGACCATGTTATTGTCTCGATTCTCCACTATTCAAACAAGTCTAAAGTCCGGTCTGCTGAAATACGCGTTTTGCCAAATCACATTCTGGGCTACCTTGGCCTCTCACAGTGGTCTGGGCATATGTTGTGGACATTTTCCAAAGAAGACAGTATTGTAGGCCCCTCCATACCCACTTTCAGGATTTTTGAAGTATTACCAACTGGAATTTTACGCCTTTAGTGAGAAATCATTGAATTTTTGCCGAAAAACATAGGTACAATAACACCCCCATAGCTGGGGAACCACATAATAAACCTATCCTTGAAATAGCCCAGACCAGTTCTCTAGGTGTCTGGCCATCTGAAAACACACAGTTCAGATCGATTTACCATAATGTTTTTTGCTCCCTCTTCGGGGTTGAGCCCCCTTAAGAGTAGAAGGGAGATGCTGTATACCTGAGTAGAAGGGAGATGAGTGTGTTACTATGACTGCAACTGAGGACAAGTGCTGTACACAACAGCGTCATCGTTGTGGCTTCAACAATGCTCGTACAACTTACCGGCCAAGCCAACAGCGCCAGAGCGGTCCGTTCTCCTCCGCCAGCGAGCTGTCTGGACTTGCAAACATACGTGCCAGCAGCCGAGCTACCTCTTCGCGCTCTTCCTTATCCGTGCTCTGCGAAAACAAGGCACACACACACACACATGCACACATCACCACCACAGTGAGCGAAAGCTACCATGGATTGGACTCTGTCTAGTTCACACGATGAATACACAACAAGCACAGCCACCACCGCCATTGACAACCATCAATGCCACTCCATTACCCACAAAGAAGTATACTACATGTACCTGCATCCAATAATAGACTTCTCGTTACAAGCAAGTACCCATACCGAGAAGGAAAGAGATGCCATGCACAGAAGCAGAACTACAGATTCACAACACACCACACGGTACGACACTACACCATCACATCACATGCTTTAAACACATCCACCTCCTAGTCCACACACTACGCGGGCATACCTTCAGTTTGAACTCCAACTGCGGAAGCACAGACAGTAGAACGCTGGGTGCCGCCTGGTTCAGCTCAAAGATGAGCTCGTACATGTTAGAGTCTCCCAGGTCGCTCTCGCTGCTCTTGCCAACTAGGAGTGCCCGGTTAAAATACTAGTCAGGAGAAACACACATGCACACACACACACACACACACACACACACACACACACACACACGCACACCAGAACACATTTCGACACATTTTGGATTCTCAGGGAGGCTGATCAAACAACACAATGAATTAATAGGAGGGCATGCACGGCAAATCGCCGCTCCCTCTCCTCACACCAGTGACACTAGATTTGCAAGAGCTCAACAAGCACAGTTGTAGCGAGGTCAGGTGTATTCCTGCCATCCTATACATGTACATGTGGATCCTGAGAAATCAAGCAAAACGTTCGAGTGCTTGCAACTCCGTTATACTAGCTCGTAGCGACCCCAGAGTTTTTCGAGCCAACAGCTGAGAATCTCTGCTACCTCGTAGGCATTTCGATTGTCGAATTCGGTTGAGATTTGACTGAGTTATGACTCGTTAACCCCTTTAGCGCGAGCATCGTACTAGTACGACGCACATGAGTTGCATGCCCCACGGCCGTCGTACTAGTACGACGCGCGCTGTACACTGTACAGTGAACCTGCATCTCATAGTCGTGGGGTCCGTGTTGAGTCCATAGTGACTTGTTCAAACTATCGTAACTCACTCAATACTTGGTCGATTCTCACAATCGAAACATGTATCTGCAAGAGAAAACTCTCAGCTGGCGATAGAAACAATCGCCGAAGCGATGCGACTACCGGTTGTTGAGATATGCGACTCGACACGGCAAATTTCAACTCGATTTTTTTGCGCAGTCTGCAGAACGCGTATTTTCCATCATGGATCATTTGTGCGCTACCTGCTGCCATGGAAACAAGATTCAAATGATGGTAGTGGATCCCGTGAGTCCTCACAAAAAATTTGAGCTCGATACGAACAAGGAGACCGAAATGGCAGCTGAATATTTGAGCTTGGTTAGTCTTGGCCGTGATCAAGTCTGTCGAGCGCGTGGATGAAGTTTGCCAGACTGTAGCACGGGGTTTTGGTTTCGCTCCGAGCTAGGTTTGACACCAGTTTGTCACTCGTCTCAAGACCTTTCCAGGAAGCTCAAGATCGTGGAATTCGTCCAAGGGAAGGTAAAGTTATCGATCCTTGAGCAGCTAGTACTTTCATGGGAAAATGCGACTTTTACAGGTGTTGTCGTGGGGCGCGCTCAGGTAGCGTCGTGCTAAAGAGGTTAAGTGCACCTGCACACATGGCATTGGCACCGTTCGTATTCATTTGGGACCAAAAAAGTGTCAGAATTCGGGGGGAAATGGCCCGGTCGGCCGACACGAAACAAGGCCATGATTCGTGTTGGCCTGACAGTGACATTTAATGTCAAACTTCACCGTCGGATGAGTCCAGTGGGACCATTGTCATTAGGTTTAGGCCTGTTTTGGAACTCCACTCTATTAATAAAGCCAAACAACAACACAACAAGAGGCGCAAGGACCGAAACCCGCCCGCGAATATTGGTAAAAAGCGCGAGACAGCGTGTCGACAGAGAAACGTCTGGACGCCGCGCCAACGGATGGAGGCATTGCTCCATATCCTTACCAAAGGACTAGAAAAATGAAATCGTCCAAAAAGAACAAGGAGACTGCACAAGCGAAGTTCAAACGCAGGTCAGTTTCGTATGTCTCCCGTAAAAATTGAAAAATGGAGTGAGGCCGCTAAGCCATTACATCATCGATTTTCAATAGGCCAAGCACGACACGCAATTTGCACGGCCCTTGACGCCCTGGAAGTGGCACGAACGTGGCTGGACGTACACATGTACAAACACAATGATGTAATCGGAACGGGTACGGGACGCCAGTTTTGCACTATGGGTCGGATTCTACCGAGCGCATATCAGTATTGCAGTGCTTCTTTTTTTTTACTCACCTGCTGAATATATGGCTCCAAGCAAGAGGAGCACTTCTGTAGCAGCTCTCTAGACAGCGCTCCTGCAGCAGGGCTGACTTGCTACACATCATCCACACAGAAATACAGGAGGCGCGCACACAAAATACATCAGAGACATAAGGTGGTAAGTATATTGCCTAAATCGGGAACTCATATGGACTTCAGAGTAAGACATGCGCCAGCAACGCATATACAGAAGGCACAGGTCACACAGTGGCCAACGGGCAGTGACACTTCTATCAATGCTTTCTTGCCAGGTCATTAGTAGCAGCCACACTGCAGTAGCACGAAAGCAAGCTGAAATGTACCCCCCCCCCCCCCCCCCCCACACACACGCACACAACCCACACACGCATATGCACGCACACAAACACACATGCATGCACACACGCACACAACACACACAAACACACACACACACACACACCAAATTGATAAGACCGTTATACGACAACACCACTGGATGCACCGACAGCGTGTCAACTTTCAAATCAGTCAGAACGATAACATACCATCTCCTCTGTCAGCTGCATCAGAATGGAGTCCAGGACGGGCTGAGGCATGGTCTCCTGCTCGACAATGAATCCACTGAGGATGTCCAGGAAGTAGGTGCGGATCTTTATGGAATGGTTCTCACTACACAGAAACACCACACCGCCGCCAAACCAAACAAGAACATACGTATGAAGTAAGAGAGGTGGACCAAGTCTAGTCAAAGTCGAAAAGCATAAGGGGGAGCCCTTCCTAAAAACTTGAGACAATCTCCTCAGAAGATACCGGTGAACGGAGCTCTCAAAAAGAAAGCTCCAGATGACAGTAGAGTATTACTGACAAAAAAGCAACGGTCTAATATAAACACTGAAGCAAATATTGTCTGATCCATAAATAAAACAAAGAAAGACGGAGGACGGCACGCCTGAAGCCACTCCACGACGGCTAGCTGCAGCGGTCGCCATGGTTACTTACTCAACGATTTCAAAGAATAGCCGAAAGACACTGGAGATGAGGTCGTCGGCATCGTCCAATTCCATACACAGCAAGAACAACTTCACAATGGATATGTTCTGCAACAAACAAACAAAGCAGGACAGGAAAATTCTTTTCAAGCGTTTCTGCCCAACAGAATGATCATCGGAAAGAACCTTATGAAAAGAACGTGCACATACCACACACACACCTGCCAGTCCCTACTACAGTCGAGGCCAAAGAAATCCGACCCACGAGGAAAAAGTAGCGCTGCGTTTCTATTTCCATTACATCATGCACGGTCAAAACAACCTATGCGAGGGCGGCAGGGGCCGTTGGCGCGGCTTTCGGCACATGGGTCGGATTTCTTTGCCCACAACTGTACTTTCAACATCATGCGGATAGTGATCCACAATACCACAGTGGACTGTTGCGCAGTGACACCATCATGATGAGACTGCACAAATAAGTACCACCAGAGTGCCCACCCCACCTGGACCCATTAGCGGCCGTCGTGTGGAGGCGTGGCGGATGTATGAGTCCTGGTTGTTGGTCACACCAAGAGCGCAAAACTCCCCTGCAGACTGTGCAACTAGCTCCAAACAAACCTCCGTCACGGCTCATTTTTCATGATGTAACGAACCTAAACAGTACACCAACCTGCACAGTGTAGTCAACCTCGTATCTCAAATGCATGCATAGAGCTGGCTACATCATGAAAGCGGCAGAATGCAGAACACGAGTCGTGATAGCTACCCATCGGCAGCTGCACACTCAGGGGAGCTACGCACCCGCGGCCATACGATGCACTTACGTCCATCTACAGTCAGTTGTGACAACGAAAATCCTACTCCAGTTCGGTGTGCTGACTTTGCAAAAAAACCAGCAGGCCTACTACAAGTATTCCCGGTTTTGCCGTGCCAACAGCAACAACAGCAACAACAACAACAGCAACAACAACAGCAACAACAACAACAACAGCAACAACAACAACAACAACAACAACAACAACAACAACAACAACAACAACAACAACAGCAACAGCAACAGCAACAACAACAACAACAACAACAACAGCAGCAGCAGCAGCAGCAGCAGCAGCAGCAGCAGCAGCAGCAGCAACAACAATAACAACAACAACAACAACAACAACAACAACAACAACAACAACAACAACAACAACAACAACAACAACAACAACAACAACAACAACAACAACAACAACAACAACAACAACAACAACAACAACAACACCGATAAACAGTGAAACACTAACCTCCAACAGGTAATAGGCGCGACTGAAGTCCTTCGCCTCGCGGTTGGCAAGGACGTGCAAGGACTTGACAAACAGCTCCAGTACTTCCTACACAGCGGCGGCAGCAGGAGAAGCAACAGCAGAAGAAGCAACAGCAGGTGAAGCAACAGCAGGAGAAGCAACAGCAGGAGAAGCAACAGCAGGTGAAGTAACAGCAGGAGAAGCAACAGCAACAGTTTAGCCAGCACACATCACATAAAATGATTACAGGGGCGTCCAACACTACGGTCACTACGGTATGGACTGTACCACTCGTTGTCCTAGGTTAATCAATTAAATGCACTGATTCGGGCTCTAAATTTCCCAAAAAATGCCAGTGCCCCCCCCCCCCCCTTCCCCACACGCACACAAGTAAATGTACTGCAGACGGCTGACCGTACCACCATAAAATACCTTCCGATGCCCCTGTGATTAGAGCACCACACCATGCTCATCGTAGTGCTGCTACGGGTGCGTGCCATATACATGTACTATATCGGAAAATTTGAGCTAACCCATCCCCGCATTTGCCGATCGGCAACTCAAATTTCGTGAATTCTGAAGAACGCGAGCGGACGCATAGTTTTATAGGATGACAGACTGGTTATCAGTGTGAAACTGCTCACTGCAAGACTATGCCTACCTACTTGGCATTCGGAGTGTTACAAGCACACATACATGTATACAATTGTTTCAGAAATTTTCAAAATATGAAGTGTGTGATCCATTCCCTACCTGCTTTTCAGTTGCCGTGTATGGTGGCTCTGGAGCAAAAATTCTCAGCACGTCGGAGAGGCAACACGCCGCCACCAGGCGTACAGTACGGTCGGCATGCTGGAGGATCTGCGGTGACACGAGCTCTCGTGCAACACGCTCCAGCTCCGAGCCACGACGATCCGCTTTGTCCTGATCTTGGTCAGTCTTCGTCAAAGACTGGCCGCACGCCTGCAATGCACAATTATTCCGTTACTCCGCTACCTCATATCTTCTCCCAATTTGTCACAATATTATCTCTTGAGAAATTGTCAAATATTTTCAAATCACACTCACCTTCAAGCGTCGGAGAAGCTCACTCGTTTCTACTTTCCCCGCCAACGATGGGTAGGCACCCTGGGATTTCTGGCCTTTTGACCGTGTCGTAGCCATTGCTGGCACGAATTCTTTCTCCCACAAATTAGAATCACATCAACCACTCCCAACAACTATTTTTTTCAAGACCGAACTCAAAACCAACAAACAAGTGCATTCTCTCGGGGCGTCATCAACGCGTCCCGTCGCGTCCTCCCATGCTAGGCCCTGCTTCAAAATCATTTTGGCGGGAGTTGCGGGCCATGCTGGCTGGAAAGCAGGGAGTACTAAAAATAGTGCGCAAAAAGTACTCGTCTTGTTGGACCCAGGGAGTCGTCAAATACTTACGACTCCCTGCCCCTGGTTGGACCCTTGCTGCATGCTAGCAACTGTCTGTTGCCATGCTGGGGTATCCATCTGATCTTGCAGCTTGTTGATGTTTTTGAATGTTTTTATTGAAATAACCAGCAAATTGGAGGCTTCTTGAGTCAAGTATTAGTTGAGAATGCTATAGCCCTGACCTCCATAGTCAGCCTATAATGGCTATGCCAGGAGCTGGCGTTGCTGTGTGGGGCGGTGGAGGTGGGCAGATAACGTACGATGGAAAGTCTGTGCGAAAAAGTTTGAATCGAAAAACAGTCGATTACAATTCGTCGATGGTCAGGTACCTGCAAGTGAGTGGGAGCTAGTTATGAGTAACGCAATGCCTTGCTAGTTCTAGGAGCTAGGTGTGCTCTACAACTACGTAGAGTAGTGACATGGGAAATTCTAGTTTGGTGTGAAAACAGGTGCCATTGTGTGTGAAAAAAAACCAAAGGTGAAAATCTGCACAAGCACTTTTCACCTACATGTACTAGTATCCATGCATGGCTGCAGTGCCATGTAACACGTACATGCACAGTATCAGATGATAGTAGCAAGACAGAAGGACGAACGTTAGTTGGTGACCATAATGATGACAACGCGGCGCTTGATCCTGTCAGAATAATAATAGTATACTCAGTAATTTAAAATGAGGGAAGGTTTACCGGGCCATTCTGCAGGAGAGCAGAACTGAGTACGAATGAATTAACGTTTCCATCATACTGGTCTTCTTCTGAAAGAACGGAGACAGACAGACATGGATTTGTTGAAACGTTCGATATATCGGTACATGTATTCCCATTCGTATCGAGTCTTGCTCCAGCTGCGCACTTCAGGCACTGCTAACTGCCTAATGTTTGCGGCGTATCAATGTTTGCTGATTTTGCAAGAAGAGCAAAACGCGAATATTAACAATCGTGAAATCTAACTTCAACAGTGGGTGCATATGTGTGGCCACAGTGCTCCGCGAACATTTGCCATCGTAAACTCGCTGGTTCCAAGAGATCGCAAATATTTTGTGACGCAAATATTGGGCGACTTACAGTATACGCGGCTGCGGTATTTTGTGAATCTTCTAGTTGGACCTCTGCTTGGTGTTGGTCTGTCATCGTATGGACAATCATGCTCACGGAGACAGACAGACAGGGAGAGAGAGACAGACAGACAGAGACAGAGAGCTTATGATATCAAATCAGTTCAGATCAGATTGTCCACGTTAGGTCTCTCGACGAAATTAGGATATTATTTTGTCGATGTCAGGCGCACATAACGAACACACCTTGCGTCGCCAGTAATTGGCTGCCATTGTATTGCTCTGGCGTTGCTTTCCTTCATTGACATACAATGATACAGTGCACAGTACTGAGAAAGGAGAGCCACACGTCGGGATTCATTGCCATCTTGTGTGCTTTGTAGTGTATGCGAGCGAGCTTGCTTATCTGATTCCCTTTGTTTGTGAACTGTTGTTACTGCTGTTGCTGTCTTGCTGCTGCTGTTGCTGCTACCCTTGCGGATGGCATCCTTGCTGTTACTGCTGCTGCTGTTGCTGCTGATGCTGATGATGCTGATGCTGATGATGCTGTCCTTGCTGATGCTGCCCTTGCTGCTGTTGCTGTTGTTGTTGTTGTTGTTGTTGTTGTTGTTGTTGTTGTTGTTGTTGTTGTTATTGTTGTTGTTGTTGTTGTTGTTTCTGCTGCCCTTGCTGCTGAACTCCTATGCTGTGATGCACGTAGGACCGGACATGGCAGCGTGACTACCGCGATCAGCCGGCTGTCCAGCCACACCGTGCCTATCACGAGCAGGTCAGTACTCCAGTAGCCAGTTTACCATGTACAGTGTGCCAGTACTCCAGTAGCCAGTTTACCATGTACAGTGTGTCAGTACTCCAGTAGCCAGTTTACCATGTACAGTGTGCCAGTACTCCAGTAGCCAGTTTACCATGTACAGTGTGCCAGTACTACAACTACTGTAGTTGATTACTGTATAAGCAGAAATATTCGTCTGGAATTTATTTTCGTCTTTTTCGTCCAAGGAGCTTTTGGACTAAATTAAATGTCGGACTATTAAATGTCGATTTGTCCAACTTTTCAATACACTCTTATGGTCCATGGACTAAATTTTCAACCGGACGAACTCCCTTTCTTTGGAGTTGGATGAAATGATTGACCGACGAAATGTTCTGCCTGTACAGTATCAGTGCAGACATGGCTTCCATATTTACATTGATTTACAGCAGTTACTATATAGGAAAGTGTTTGGGCTGACAAGCTCATTCGCATCACTTGAATACCGGGTTCATTATCGATTTGAACAACGTCTGACCTGATGGTGGCAGCCCAAGCGTTGCTCAGATTGATATGAAACTGGCGCTAAGTGTTCCAAGATCTTTACAAGATGTTTTCCGAATGTGTCTCCCCTCTCCTGGGGAGAGACACCTAACCAGTTTCTAACAGTGAGCATTGAGCAAGTAAAAGTGTGTGTGTGTATGTGTACGTGTGTGTGTACGTGTGTGTACGTGTGTGCGCGTGTGTATGTGTTGTGTATGTGTGTGTGTGTGTGTGTGTGTGTGTGTGTGTGTATGTGAAAAAAATGAAAATAGGGATTCGCTGGCCAGAAAAAGCCTTTTCAATCAGCTGGTTGGTATAGACCAGGCTAAAATTAGTGGCGGTCAATTCATCAGCCTTCCAAGCTGCTGAATGATGTAATGACTGTAATCCCAGCACTAGTGGCTATGTCTAAGTTGCTATGTCTAACATAGCGTGTTCACTGCCATCGCTTCAGCGATGGGCATGGGGCATGTGGAAGTTGAAGTATGCATGTGTGTGTTTGTGTATGTATAATGTATGTACTACATATGGGTGGTTGTGTGTATATATGGATGTTTGTTTGTGTGTATGTCACTGCTGATACACCATGCTTTGCACATTGCAATTCAGATGTTCCCGTCGGCCCATCTGCGCCACAATCCGCTGCACTCCGTCACCACCATGTATATACGCTCTGCCACAAATAAATTCCGCTGTCCCATCTTTACCCTTCAGGTCAGCCTTATGCAATACTGTGTGTGACGTTAGTGTTTGCAGTTGGCTTGTGTTTCCGACGTCTTACGTCAACTGTGTGTGTGTGTGTGTACGTGTGTGTGTGTGCGTGCGCGCGAGTGTGTGTGTGTCAAAGGATGTATTTCTTATGAATCTACTATAGTTTATTATCTCTCTGTTGTCCTAGGCATGTGACTGGCTATGATTCTATTGGGAGTGATTGCTACTTGGGCAAGTTTACCCATGGGCATAGTTAGGTAGCCACCTTCTGTTTCGAGTGCTGTTTGTCAATTTTGATCTCTCTATCTCTCACACGCTCGCACGTGCACACTCACACACCCTCACACACACACACATGCATGCCCTCCTTATTCACACACTCCTACTGAAGCCTATATCCTGTGTTCCTTTTACTTCATAGCTGCCATGGTTAATAGACCTATAATGGTGATCTTTCTTTCTCTCTATCTACATTGTATGTATTGTGTTCATCTTCTGACTGATCTTACCCCTGCAGTGGACACCAGATGGACGGCGATTGGTGACTGGAGCTTCTAGTGGAGAATTTACACTATGGAATGGACTGACGTTCAATTTCGAGACTATTTTACAGGTCCGCCTCTTAAAATTGAATATCTTTTTTGTCTCTCTCTCTCTCTCTCTCTTTCTCTCTCTCTCTCTCTCTCTCTCTCTCTCTCTCTCTCTCACGCTTGCAGATTCTAGTTAATTGAAAGCCGATATCATAGTAGTACAGTCCGTATCGGCTATAGCGTACCCTTTTGATTTCCGTGATCTTATCACTATAACCGATGCATCACAATATGCAGTACGATTGATTTTTTCCATCGACACATGAAAGGCAAGGAAATACTTCCAGCATGGTGTTTCGACAAAATAATGAGCATGCTGCATAGTTGACAGTGCCCACATTTCCATAAAAAAATCTGTTATGTACATGTACATGTATCACTATAAAAATAAGCAACGTGAAGAAAGTAAAAAATAGGGCCTTTGATATTATTGCTACATGTATTTTAAAGTTATCACTATAGCCGATAATAATATAGTGTGTTATGCATGTTTTGATTCTTTGTTGCCATCATAATATCCGATATATCATTTAATTTAATACATCCGATAATATTGGTTATAGTGATATTTGTACTGGATAAAATACGTTTTGCTTTTGATATTTCGTACCAATATCACTGTAGCCGGTATATTCTTATATCCGGTCACTCTATAGCCGATACAGACTGTAGTAGTAGTAGTACCGTAAAATCCCGCCAGAGCGCCCCGTCTCTCCCATCCGCCCCTCCCTGACTTCTTGTCAGCCGGGACGTGATTGATTGTATCCTCGTATGACTCTGTCGCAGTCTGTGATGCCGTACTGTACTGCAGACGCGTGCTCAACCCCGTTGGAAATGTACGCAACAGTGCCCACCCTCTTGACCAGGAATCGCACAAACCCTGCGTTTTGTCGGGTCTGTACGACTCCTGGCTCTTGACCTTTGGTCGGTGTACGAGATGCACGAACAGTTTTCGTAGGGTGAGTACTTTTTCATGTAGCACTGAATGCGGCAAGTAGGACTCGCCCATCCGCCCCGTCCCACCTGAAGCGTTGAGGAGGTAGGGGCGCTCTGGCGGGATTTTACGGTAGTAGTATAGTATTTATTCATATTTCTCTAGGGCAGTCCCCACAGACCTATGGTCTCCTTACGGAGTACCCATATCATGTCTACAAGCTTTAAGGATGAGTCAGTAGTTTCCACACTACTCCTATGACTCCTAGCTGCTGCAAGGCCGGCTAGAGCACCTGTGGGTCACGGGCCATTCTCGGTTTCTTCGTTTGTTGCAACGGTGGGTGGGATGAAGCGAGCTCTCTGCTGATATTGTTTATCACTGCTGTTTTTTATCTGTGTCCAACCCGCAGGCTCATGATGTTGCTGTCCGCTCGATCATGTGGAGTCATAACGACCTGTGGATGGTGAGCTGCGATAACTCCGGTTTTGTCAAGTACTGGCAGCCGAATATGAACACGGTCAAGATGTTCCAGGCGCACAAAGACCCCATACGTGATTCAAGGTTGGTTCGCAGGCTTTAGCGCAGCATACTGGTGCGAGGGTCCTAGCTGGGCCGTGCTCTTTGATACTATTAGAATGTAGCACTCGTGATAATATCTCTGACCTAAGGCCGAGTGATCACCAGACTGTGCTGAGCATGACTGCAGTTCGGTTGCCACTGAACCGGTGCGTAACCTGGCGACCTAAGACGTGACAGTTGTGTGTGTGTATATGTGCGTGTGTGTGTGTGTGTGTATGTGTGTGTGTGTGTGTGAAAGGGTGCGTTATGGCCCCACTGTTGTTTAACCTGTACTTTGGTCTTGTGCTGGAAGCATGGCGTTCAGCTATAGCAGCAGCTGGTGTTAACGGTGTGTCCCTGATATCTTCAATCCATGGAAGTGGCAATCTATTTCCCAAGCGAACCCGTCAAACTGGCACGACATCGGTCAACGACCTGGAGTTTGCAGATGATGCAGCACTACTTGCACCATCCCGTGAGTCAGCTCAACTGGCTTTGGAGCTGTTCAGCAACGTTGCTTCTTCCTTCGGCTTGACTCTGAGCACAGCGAAGACCAAGTTCATGGCCGTTGGTGCAAATTTATCATGTGCTGACCGCCTTCCGCTCTTTGTTGGTCCGGAGGAGATCGAAAGTGTCAAATCCTTTGTGTATCTTGGCTCTGTGATAACTGCTGACACCCGCTCATCTGCAGATGTGGCCAGAAGACTCGGTAAGGCAGCGGCAGCTTTCGACCTTATGCGCCGTGTCTTTCTTGACCGAAACCTTTCCATCGCCACCAAGCGCCATCTTTACGATGTTTGCGTTCTGTCCACATTGCTCTATGCCTGTGAGTGCTGGACTCCGCTGAAGAGAGACATGGTTGCCATCAACAACTTCCACCACCGCTCCCTCAGGTTCATTCTGGGTGTATCCCGGCTCGATCAACAGCTGCAGCATGTCACCAACCAGGAGCTGCGAAGACGCTGGGGTGATATGGCACTGCCATCTGATACCGTCAGACACCGCCGTCTGCAGTGGCTTGGGCATGTCGCCAGAATGCCAGATGACCGGCTTCCGAAGCTGATACTGTTTAGCTTCTTCTCAGATCCACGCCCAGCCTGTGGGCCACGACTGCGATGGAAAGACCTCGTCGCACGTGATCTTCGTTTCGGTGGCATAGTGAATTGGCTCATTTTGGCTCAGGATCGCCCAGCATGGCGCGAGGCAATTGCAAAGACTCCGGATGATCTCGTGGAGTGTAACAACAACAAAGTCACCTGCAAGGTTTGCAACCGATCATTCACTGCTCGTGGGATTCACCGTCACAAGTGCTCAGCTGTGCGGTCCTTACCTGTTGCCCAGCAGCCTGGGGCCCGTCACTGTGGAGTTTGTGACCGCTGGTTTCAAAGCGCTGGCGGTTTTGCAGTTCATCGTTGTGTGGAGCGTCAGACATCGGACGAAATACCAGCTGTTTCAACGAGATGCAGCCTGAATTTGGACTGCTGCCAGCACCATTGCTCGATCTGTGATCGCTGCATGAAGAGTCAGGCTGGTTTTAACCGCCATAATTGTACTCGAGGCAAACGACTGCGAAAGGACCAGAGGACTAATCTGCCCATTCAATGCAGCCTATGTAACGAACGATTCTCCCGCCCGCAGGACCTCACCCGCCACCGAAGACAGAAACACTAGCTATGTGTAGAACGGTCCCCTTTCACCTCAATTATTCTCCTTGTTTCTTTTTTCTCGCTGTTGTCTCCCGCTTCTGGGAGCGACGTGGCCATTTTGTGGCAGTTGTACATAGTAGTAGTAGTAGTGTGTGTGTGTGTGTGTGTGTGTGTGTGTGTGTGTGTGTGTGTGTATGTGTGCGTATGTGTGTGTGTGTGTGTGTATGTGTGCGTATGTGTGTGTGTGTGGGGGGGGGGGTATGCACGTGTGTGTGTGTGTGTGTGTGTGCGTGCGTGTGTTCAGCTTCAGCCCGAACGACAGCAAGATGATCACCTGCTCGGATGACAGTACAGTGCGAGTCTGGGACTTCCTGCACTGTCACGAAGAGCAAGTGCTGCGAGGTGAGTGCCAAGAACGCCTGGCTACAGCACTTTCCGGTGCCGAAGAGCGCGGTGTTCAGAGTCGTAGCCTGGGCTGTTCTTATTTTTCATTTAAAAATCTCTATATAAAGTTAGCTGAACCACTATGTACATACGGTTATCCTGTACCTGGCTACAGCACTCTCTGGCGCCAAAGAACGCAGGGTTCAGAGTTGTAGCCTAGGCCGTTCTTATTTTCCATGTGCAATTCTCTATATGGCTGAGCCACCATATACATACGGGCACTAGTATCCTGTGCCTTGTAAATTCCTAGGCTTTTCGTTCTCCGGCGCATCGCTCTTCGGCGCCCAACAGTACATGTGCTAGACAGTGTACAGTCTACGGTGAAACAGTTGTGTATAACAATCCCTGGGTGTAACATACTGTGGGGTATAATGTACTGCTTCTAGGGACCCTGCATTACAGTACTGTCAGTCGCCGAAGAAATGGGGGGGGGGGGGGGGTCAGCCTCGTAGCCGAGACCGTTCTTATTTCCGTGTACTACATAAAGTCTATGCACAGTTGAGTCAGCATGTCTACATTGGTATACTGTGCTTGGTGATATTCTAGCCTGCGGGTTCTTCTGTATGCTGTACCAACCACCTGACCTTGCTTGTATGCAGTCTTCACGTGCAGTGCAGTTTGGCCTGTGCTTGTTACCATTCTGCATGCATGAATCTGGTGTGTGCACTGCTTTCCTGTTTTACCAAAGGTGTTTTTTACCTCTCTTTCTCTCGCTCTCTCTCTCTCGCTCTCTCTCGCTCTCTCTCTCTCTCTCTCTCTCTCTCGCACACACACACACACGCGTGCGTGTGTGCACACGGTTCTTCTGCAGGTCATGGTTCGGACGTGAAGTCTTGTGACTGGCATCCGACGAAGTCACTTGTGGTGTCTGGCAGTCGCGACAGTCAGCAGAACGTCAAGTTGTGGGATCCGAAAACCGGCGAAGACCTGTGCACATTGTAAGGCAACTAAACCATGTAAACTGGGGGTGCTGCTGTCTGTGTACTGAGCAACTAAGCTAGGGGTGCTGCTGTCTGTGTACTGAGCAACTAAGCTAGGGGTGCTGATATCTGTGTACTGAGCAACTAAGCTAGGGGTGCTGCTGTCTGTGTACTGAGCAACTAAGCTAGGTGTGCTGCTGTCTGTGTACTGAGCAACTAAGCTAGGGGTGCTGCTGTCTGTGTACTGAGCAACTAAGCTAGGGGTGCTGATACCTGTGTACTGAGCAACTAAGCTAGGGGTGCTGCTGTCTGTGTACTTAGTAACTAAGCTAGGAGTGCTGATATCTGTGTACTGAGCAACTAAGCTAGGTGTGCTGATACCTGTGTACTGAGCAACTAAGCTAGGGGTGCTGCTGTCTGTGTACTGAGCAACTAAGCTAGGGGTGCTGCTGTCTGTGTACTGAGCAACTAAGCTAGGGGTGCTGATATCTGTGTACTGAGCAACTAAGCTAGGGGTGCTGCTGTCTGTGTACTTAGTAACTAAGCTAGGAGTGCTGATATCTGTGTACTGAGCAACTAAGCTAGGGGTACTGATATCTGTGTGCTGAGCACCTAAACTAGCTAGTGCTGCTGTCTGTGTACTGAGTACTAGGGGTGCTGATAACTGTGTGTATGCTTTGGCAAGTGCTACCTGAGGTTGAACCTGGAGAAGCGTTTTGCCTGGCCCGGATGTCCTCTTTGTAAACCAGAACATGGTGTATTGCTGGGCTGGTCATGCCAGACGTGTGTTGTTGCGCACTTTGAACTCGTCAAGCTAGGCACTCTACTGTACACTTTGCGCTTGAAGCATGCGCCCACTCGACCATTTACATACGGTATTCCTCGGAGTACAGGCCACACTTTAAACGCCAGTGATTCACCTACAAACAGTTGGTGTGGCTTAAAGTACTTTTTCGCTTTCCCATTCCCTCAACTAGTGAATATGTATAGTAGGATAAGTACGCTACTTGATTACTCCGATGATCAAATTGGCCGTGATAAACAGGGTGGATGTCTGTATTTCATGGCAAGAAAATCTGTGTGCAGCTTCTAGTAGTGTAGCCTTCTACATGTACTCCGGATAATACGGTAGTACATGTGGCGTCTCCGAAAGGCATTAGCCATCTCCTTGTATTTTCCACTGATCATTCCTCCGTCATAGGCATGGCCACAAGAGCACGGTCACCTCGACGAAGTTTAACCGCAACGGCAACTGGCTGCTGACGGCGTCTCGTGACCACTTGATCAAGTTGTGGGACATACGCATGATGAAGGAGCTGGTGACGTTTCGCGGCCACAAGAAAGAGGTTCACGGTATGTTTGAGGACGCCTGCTTGTGTTTGTGTGGGAGTGGTTGCAATGTCCCACGGCCATGCACTTATGGCCTGATTTGTTGTTCCTATTTACATGGTTACTGTCGCTTGTATTCACTATTCAGTGTCAGTATTTAATCTAGGTTTGTGTGGTGGTTGTACTCGACTCCTCTCTCTCTCTCTCTCTCTCACTCTCTCTTTCTTTCTCTCTCTCTCTCTCTCTCTCTCTCTCTCTCTTTCTCTCTCTCTCTCTCGCTCACTCTCTCTCTCTTTCTCTCTGTCTGTCTCTCTCTCTCTCTCTCTCTCTCTCTCTCTCTCTCTCTTTCTCTTCCTCTCTCTTTCTCTCTCTCTCTCTCTCACTCTCTCTCTCTCTCTCTCTGTCTCTCAGTGACATACATGTACTCCAATGCACACTGTTGATGACAAGTTCACTATTCTCTCCCCTTTACTTATTCTTGTTGTTATAGCTGTGGCTTGGCATCCTATCCATGAAGACTTGTGTGTCAGCGGTGGAGGAGATGGCTCTCTACTATTCTGGATGTCCAAGTATGCACATTGCTTTTTTTATGATAACAAAAAATGGTGCTGGTAATTGCGTATATCTACTGGTACCGGGTTTTAGTATACAACCATGCACATGTACTTCAACATTCGGGACACACGCCAAACAATCCAAGCGGTAGCTGCGTAGGCCAGACGGCGTGTGAGTGGAGTGCAACCCTCTCCTACTTACTGCATGGAGTACTGCATGCCAGACAATACAGCTCGGGAGCAAGACGGAGCATGCTGGCATGTGTTGTCACCGTGATGTAACAGTTACACTGTCAGCACACTGGCTACACCCTCCGTTGATGTAACAGTGATATAGTAACTTACTTGCTTCAGGAGATAATGGTACAAGACGGAGCTACCGTATTATCTCTAATATTAAAGCACGGTCCTTTATTTTTTCAATGTACCTCCGCCCCGTGCTATTAATGGAGACGTTCCTTTATTGGAGACTGTTCCATTAATATTTCAACCTCATTTTCAGAGGCATGTTGCCATGCCAAATTCATGTCAGACACACACATTTCAGGGTTTTTTCGCCGGTACAGATAATGAATTTACACAGTGTGCTTATAATGGAGACTGAGCACTTTATTTTTTGAATGCCGCCCCAAGGTGTTCTATTATTGGAGACGTGCTATTATTGGAGACTGTGCTTATATTAGAGATAATACGGTATTACCGGTAAGCTGTCTTTCAAAGGTTTCATGACTTCGAAATACTGTAAGTCTACAAAAAAATTCTAACCTTTTACGTTTCGGCCTCCCAGGGGTAAAACACATTTCGGCCGCATTAAATGTTCAGCCTGGCCTGTACTGCTGCTGCCTATATACGCTGTCATACTGAACCTTGCACAACAAAATTTCAGCCGCAACGAATTTTAGGCCGAAAATGCCCAGGCCGAAAATAGCCAAAAATAAATATGCACCGAATACTCAATATGCGGACAGCACGCTGTTTCGTTCTTTGTGAACTCATCACACGGCTGTCAAGAAGCGGCAACTTAGAAAGATGGCGTCGGTTCGAGATGGCATGGTAACCGCGCACGTGCCGTGGTCCGTGACTTGCTCATGTATGCACGCAAATGCAAGTCACAAACTCACAAAGATCGTCTTTGCATTTTGGAGAAAATATCTTCGACTCTCTTTGGAGGTAGGCGAGGTTTGCCTAATCTTTACTTGATTGCGATGCTGGTATGTCCTCTCAATAATTAGAACAAAGAGAGCTGATAATCGCTTCATTGCTGAGCAGAAGTAACAATCAACTCTCCTCATGTCCTCAGTGCCAAAGGCAGACGAATGCAATTCCACAACGCTCATTTCACGATGATGGAAACAATAATTGTGTACTAGTACACACTTGGACCATTTGGTCATCCCTATTCTAGCCGCTAGTCCGTCCAGCAAGCAGATATTGACTATTACGATAAGGACAACTGCGTGAACGAGGGCTCGCCCAGCAAATACAATTCAAGTCGTGACTCCAGTCAAGAATTAGGGTCTTTACTCGAGAACTTCACAAATACAGGCCAAGGCACCCCACAAAACTGATAGATGGCACGAACGAAAGACAAATAGGCTAGACAAAGTGTCACAAGTTATTGAAAACAGCAGATCTACCAAATAAGACAGCTACATGTGCCTAAACAACGATTCCCATACAGTAGAGAGTAGTATCAGGCAGAATGAAAGCCTTGGAAGTGCACAAATACAGCCACGACCGCCACAAAAATTGGACGACCGCCACAAAAAAATTCTCATTGCTCTACCTCCTTGAAGGGTGAAAGTTACCAGTTATCCTATAGCGATGTCAGTTTATGCCTGTTGGAACCCCCCACAGCCCGCACGAAATACCTTTCAAATAATTCCAGGATGCAATTGCAGCTCCAGACAGGAGGAAGAAGAACACCGTGAAAAATAACGGCAACGATGCCCAAACTCTCGGGAAACAGCTGAAGTCTTCCTGAAGATGTTAACATTGAATACCCATCGATTACCAGCGTGGTTTAGTGACTTTAGAACTGTTTTGAGACTTAGAACGAAGCGATATCTCAAATTTGATGGAATTGTTACCTGTCAAATGCGTGGGCGAGCAGGCCAGCTGACTAGTTATGCATGAGCATGCATCGATTTTTCATGGTTCACGTGCAGAAAACTAAGTTGCCGCGATCCAAGTGCAGCTAACAGCCGTGATCAGCGCAGCATGGAGAAAATGAGGCCGAACCTGATAGCAATGAAAATAGAATTTCCAAAGCCGGATTTAAATCAGGCCCGAACGTAAATATTTGTTGCTTGCAGTATGCTGAGATCTGCAGAATTTGCGTCACAATTTTGTGCCATGTCCAGTATTTCCTCTTTGAATCGTTTGCCTATGTGTACCCTGGCTTCACTTCTTGACTAATGCTGTTTATTGCTTTGTGGGTGTGCATATGTGTGCGTACGCGCGTGTGTGTGTGTGCGTGTGCGCGCATGTGTATGTGCGTGTGTGTGTGCTTGTGTAGCACGGACAAGGCGGTTGGTGCTATCGAGACGGCTCACGAGGGTGCAGTGTGGAGTTTAGCATGGCATCCACTTGGGCACATGCTGGTTTCCGGCTCCAACGACCATTCCTGGTGAGCAGAGCAACTAACTGTTTTGAAAGACTGAGGAACTGGGTACACAATGTCATGTTCTTCCAATCCTAGTAGAGGGATCGCCATGTGCTGCCAATTATGACGTCCACCTGAGAAAGCATTAGTCCAGATGTATTCATTGCCACTCTCTATACACTGCACTGCTGTAGTCAGACACCTTCACAATGCATGTAACCCTAGCTAGGCCCTCAGGCATCTCCGACTCTCCGTTCTCCTGCGTCATTGAATGACATCACACTAGTATCGGTAGTAACTCCTAACATACCGGTAACCCACTCTACTACTCCCCGCTCTGTGTGTACCTGCATGTGCCTATGACGAATGCAATTGGACTTTCCGAGTATGGCATATACCTGATATACCATACTTGCGCTGGCGTGTCTTCCGGACCTGTACTACAGTCGAGAAGGATTCTACACAGCTAATGTCTGCGATTGGCGGGGTCATCCGTCACCAATGATGTGCGCGTGTGTGTTCATCCCCTAATCCTCCAGCACCGATGATGATGATGATGATTTTGTTTATTCGTTCGCTCGTTTGTTTCTTGCAGTAAATTCTGGGCTCGTAATCGACCGGGCGATCCAATGACCGACCGCTTCAACCTAGGCACAGGTAGCACCCATCCGGCGGGAGCAAGCTCTGCTGTGCAGGCGTCATCAACAGCGATGGATGACGAAGAGCAAGGTGAGTGTGGCGCTGAAGAGCAACTCTTCACGCCTGACTTTGGTAAAAAAAAAAGGGGGGGGGGATTTACGCGATCACCTACAGTAAAGTAAAAATAAGTAAATTATCGTGTCCGTTCCAGAAGGGAACTGACAACGGCCGCTAACACCCGGTAAACCCAATCACCTACAGTGAGTGCGTTCGATTATGCGCGCGAATCGATTCACGAATCGATTCATGAATCGATTCGCGCTATTCACATCACCCCATGTGAATAGGGTGAATGGATTCCGAATCGATTCCAGGGCTCATGACGTGAAATCGAACGACTTGAATGCATGCGAATGGATTCATGAATCGATTCAAAGTGCATGATCGAACGCACTCACTAGACGACGATAAAAACCAGCGTACATGTAACATGCCGTTACCGTCAATGCATTGTACACACAGTCTAGGAGTACTGAAGGGTATTGCACATAAACTCTGTTGTAGTGTAGGCTTGATTGTGCGTGCTAAATGCACTTTGACGTACAGTGAAAACCGGTCTAAGACGACCAGTCAAGGCACATTCAAAATGTGGTCTCCATTGCCAGGTGGTCTCCTTATCCAGGGTCATTTGACTGGAAATAGCATCCCTTGGTCCTGGTAGCAGTGGTCTTCTGGGGCAGGTGGTCGCCTTATCCAAGTGGTCGCCTTGACAGGTTCTACTGTACTTTCATGATTGTACAGATACGATGGACATTGGGGGGGGGGGGGGGGTTCTACTACGGTTTCAGCAAACTACTGGAGAAATACTTTTATGAAATGCAACAAGTTCGAAGTTAAATGGAGATGGTGTTGTGCTGGTGGCGATGTTCACTAACAATTGACTTTTTTTACTCAAGCATTACGTCTGTTCTGGTGCACGCTTGTGCGTCCGTGTGTGTGTGTGTGTGTGTACATGTGTGCATGTGATATACGTGTGTGTGTGTGTGTTTGTGTGTGCTTGTGTACACGTGTGCGTATGCACTTTACAGACGATGTGGAGACAGCCGCGTTCATCCCGGGCATGGGCGAGATTGTCAAGGGCGTATCAATACCCAGCGACCTGATCACATCGCACAAGGGTGGTGAGGCAGCCTTAAGGGTACCCACGCGCAAAGACGCGCTTGGTTGGCGGCAAGGTGGTGGTGGTGGCGGCAGCGGTGGCAGTGCTGGAGGACAGTCGAAGCGCGGCGGACAGCAGCACGGTGGTGGTGGTGGTGGTGGCGGCGGCAGTGCAAACAAGTCAGCAATGACCGGAGCTAACCAGGAGCCTCTTGCGGCTGCTCCTCCAGGAGGCTACCTATCGCGTCCTGCTGGGCAGACACCAGCCGGTAAGGATATTGTAGATGCTCTGAGCATGCCGCCTCAGGTGGGCGGTATGTTGCAGTTACTCAAGCAACAGCAGCAGATTCTTCAGATGCAGCTGCTCCAGCAGAAACAGCAGCAGGGGGGTGGTCAATCTGACAATGCTCCACCGCCACCGCCACCTGGGCAAAGCTTTCCACCGTCAGGCAGCGGGGGGCCTCCGGCTGGTGCCGACTTCAACCAACGACCCCCTCAGCAGCTCCAGTCGCCCGACGGTGAGTTGTGCGTGTGTGTGTGCCTGTCTGTCTGTCTGTATGTATGTGTCTGTGTGTCTGAGACTGTGTGCATGTGAGTGGCTGCACACATTTTCTTTGTTTTACTCCTGCGGTCTGGTACATGTCTGCGTAATGAGTACAGGCAAGCTACTTTTATCCGCTCCGAGAAACATTTGTGTCGTGAGAACCGCAGGGAAATAGTGGTGGAGATACCAAGAGTGTACGCCATCCTGCAATGATTGATTTTCGTTGTGACATCTGCTCGTGCTTGCATCGGGGCTCAAACGTGTATAATGCGCTGATGTGGCATGACGTTTCCGTTTCTCATGAAATTTTCCTGTTTAGATAATGTGACTATGGTCGTCTTCCCTCAGCAATGATTTTGAGTGGAGCACAAATACAGAGCATGGAAATTTGTGCTGTTGGACATAGGTACCCAAGGTCGAACGTACTGCACCCGGGTCTACCTACTGGGTGTGGGCACTTAGTTGGCTCTGGACTATGTGCTATCATTATACTGGTACTAGTATGCCTTTCTGGTATACAGTACCGGCAAGAGTACATAACCCCCCAGAGTGTGCAACGCCTGATCCAGCTCTGCATAGGGTCTTGGTCGAGCGGAATCGGATCTTTGCGTCATAATACCGTACACATCTGCAGGGAACCCGGGGAGTCGCGGGTACTCTTGGATCAAAAACAATGGTGCCCTGCCTCGAGACTGGCCTTGCGCTGGTGTGTATGCATGACATCAGAAGATCCGATTCCGCTCGACCAAGACCCTACACAGAGCTGGATCGGCGTTGCACACTCTGGGGGTTATGTACTCTTGGTACCGGTAATGCCTGTATGACAGTGGTGGTCACAGTGTTGCTGCTGCTGCTGCTGTTGTTGCTTTACCACAGTGAGTGGCAGGATGCCATTCCCCCCACCGGGCCACCAACAAGGCCCTCCCAACAATGCCCCGCCAAACCAAGGGCCAGGTCACCCGTCGAGTCTACAGCCACAGGGACAGCTTCCTCCTCAGGGACACATGCGCGTGCCCAGTCCTCGTGGTCAGGGCCCGCCGCCACTTGGTCAGGGTCCCCCAGGACAGGGTCCTCCCGGCCAAGGTCCCCCTGGCCAAGGTCCGCATCCAGGTCAGGGTCCCCCCGGCCAAGGACCGCTTCCAGGTCAGGGTCCCCCCAGACAGGGTCCTCCGGGCCAAGGTCCGCCGCATCCAGGTCAGGGTCCTCCTCCGGCGCAGTTCTTGAGTAACCAGCAGCCGCCCAGGTTCATGGGCCCCAGCGATGGGCCACCACCAGGACGACCGCCCATGATGCCCAATGACGCGCAACCCCCGCCAGGTCCGCCAGGAATGAGAAATAACAGCAGCATGGGGCAGCAACCGCCACCGCCAGACTGGAGAGGACCGCCACCGCCGACCATGGGACAGGGGCCCCCGCCGATGATGGGCGATCCTCCCATGCCCGGTGGAAACATGATGCACCCACCGCCACCCGATGGTGGCCCGGGTGGTTTTCCCCCGGGTCCACCCGGTCGAGGTCATGCCCCGCCGCCCGGCTGGTTCCCACCCAACGGCCGAGGTGACGGACCGCCGGGTCGGCGGAAAACCAAAGGCCGAGGCGGTGGCGGGGGCGGTGGCAAGCGAGCGCGAGGTGCAGGCAAACGCTAGCCGAGATCTGTATGTAGTACGTTTGTGTGTGTGCGTGTGTGTGTGTGTGTGTGTGTGTGCGTGTACATTTCTTACTCGTGTTGGACTTGCTCTTGTGACCTAGTAAATATCGTTCTTCCTGCAGGCGGACGGTGTCCATTCCCAGGTGCACTTCCATCCCTTGCCATGTACATGTTGCTTTTTCACACGTACTGTACCTGACCTCACCACTAGGACCTTGTAGTAGCTTATTCCTCTCGCTCTCTTCCCCCCCCCCCCCCCCCCCTCATATCCAATTTTGTACAAAACCCTTGAACATAATAAGTACATGTGCATCATGCCATATTAATTTTGTTGTCCTCATTGTTGTTGGGTTTTTTACTGTTATTACAGCATTGCAAAGTATCAATCTTGTTTCTCGGTGTTTCTTTTTTTTTTTCAGCTGGCTGAGTTGATCTTGTCCGCGCTATTGTTTATAAAATCATGTTTGTCTCCGCTATTCTCCGATGCCACGTACGACTCTGCGTACTGGCAATTTCTCTGCTCAAATGAGATGTAATTTATGTTGGGAATTTTTTGAACTCGAACATGTCTGTCTTATCGCTCGGCCGGAGACAGGGAGGGATCTTCCCTTAACTTAAACTGGTCTGGTTGCACTTGCCACTTCCATTATACAGACTTCGAAGTAGTGATGCAAGCTCAAGGCGACACCCTGTGATGTACACAATTGCACAAGCCCACTGCCGGAAACTGCATTGGCCTCCATCAGAGAGGGAGTCAGAATCATGAATGAACAAGGCATGGGTTGAGAGATAAACCTTCATGGTCCTGGATACAGAGTTGGCCAACGACCCCGTTTACCCCCCCCCCCCCCCATGAGGGCAGGACACCTCGGTGCAGCTCAACTGCATGCAGTACTGGGCAGTACTGCGCTGTGGTCTTGGCGAGTACAAAGCACTGGCACTATAGTCACCAAGAGTACAGTCATAACCCCTCAAGACTGTGCTACATGTACTTCACACATGCCCTGCTGTCCTGACAGAATTTCAAGTTGACGTCATTTTTTGATGATGCAATGCTCCATACAGTGTTTCCTTGAACTAGTTTGTACAGGATCAAAAATGGGGCTTTTTTCCACCACAGGTTCTGGATACGTCTGATCATGCACGTACAGTGCGCACTGCATCGTCGTGCAGGGAGCCCTACACGGTCATACACACGTATGTGTAGGGCTCCTTGACGTCAACTTGAAATTCTCAGTCGGGACAGCACCCATACTGGAGTTGCACAGTCTTGTAGTCACCCACAGCAAACAAGAAACATCAGGTAAAAGGTCTCTCTAAAGCTTGGAGTAGTATTTTACTTCTCCCTGATCATAATCAAAAGCATGTTCAGCTACAGCAAAAAAAGTTTTTAAAAAAGGTAAAGTGAACTTGCACTAATCTGAGGGAGCTCAAAAGTGAGCATGAAAAGTTGGAAAACTTGGCCTCTCAATGAAGCCAAGTTCTTAAAAAGAGAGAGAGAGCCTATGTACCGGTGTATAGACGGCCACACCTACAGTACACAAAGACAAAGCATGCAACTACATGTTTCAGCATCACTGATAAGATAATACTAGTTATCGGAAACACAGCGGTCAAGCGAGACTCAGGGTAGCAATAAAATAAGGACTATGATAGGTCACTGCGTACTGGCATCGAAGACACACCACATCACAATGTTACCTTCTGCATGTGTAAAAGACTCCTTCTTTGACGGTGTGGCGGGGACTCATTGCCTTGGCGCTTCCAACCTTTGCGGATAAGGAGTGCGGTTGAATTCACCATTCGGAAATAAAATCATGCTGAATTCCAAGAGCCCTCCGAAGAACATGGAGCGCGATTTAATCCACCACGCAGCAATACGATCATGCTGGATTCCTGGTGGCCTCCACAAAGACTGAGTTGTACAAATCCAACGTAGCTTGCACAGGTCACGTTTGCATTGCGCACTCTCTATTTCCGGGTTTGTAATGACGAGTAGCATTACACTCAGCTTCACCCATTCTGGAAATTGGCATCGCTCTCTCTCTCTCTCTGTACCCTTTTCACAAGCTATGCCGTCGCTCACATACAGTTAGTGCAACACTGGGATCAGCAAATCGTACACCTGCCACGATAAAGAAGCGTAGCAGAAGAGAGTTATACCGATTTTTAGCCACAGGCATCTACACACCGACCAGCAGATGTAGACGATCAGCGCTCATGGAGGCTCAGATCAAGACGTCACTGCAGCAAACTCTTCTTCCGAGAGCTGCCATGCGAATCGAGTACGCAGGGAGCGTTCCAAGGCGAGCTTGTAGTCACTGCGCACTGCATTGAATGCCATCACGTTTTCAGGCTCCCTCGCAATCCAGAAGCGGTCAAACTGCTCGAACAGCCCACCTGGTGCATGAACGAAAAGGTGCGCACGCACGCACACGCACACACACACACACACATGTACTCAAATGGCTGCCATACAATCTTCTGTTCAAATAGCTGGCTTGCACTCTCTAATTCAAGGTTAAAGGGGTGCACGCGATCCCTACACGCACTGTGGATGTGAAGCCCCCTGTTATATTTGTGTTTGTACCCCTCTCCCCACCCCACCCAACTCCGTCGCACTACCACCACACACGTTAACTCACAAAAGACATCCTGCAAGTCCTGAAGCGTCACCGTCTTGCCACAGCATTCCTTGTAGAAATACGCCTGCAGGTGGTCACTGGAAAGCAGCTCCAAGACCAGGCTTGTCATATTGATTCCTGCCAGGGCAAATCCATACCTGTACACAACAACACCAACATGTCACAGAAAAAAAACAAAAAGCACAATTTTTAATTTTTCAAAGGGACTTTGGCAAGCTGAAACAGTACATTGTATTATAACAGGGGTTGTAAAGTAAAGTAAAGTTCAGACGTTCGGATTTTGTTGAGAAACACAACCAGCTTAGGAAGTTTCGCTCGTGCCAGGCCACCACACCATGCTTGAAATCGAAGAGGGATAGTTGCTGGGTTAGTTTGGACATAGTTCTGCAAATCCGCATCGCTCCGCACACAGGGACAACACGACGATACCGGTAATGTATGAGTAGGCCTACTCTCATACACGTACATGTATCATAGCTTGGCAATCAAATACGTACCCGATTGTAGGGTGCTGCGAGTGCAGCAGAAGTCGCTGGGCGGCTGCGGTTCTGTGCTTGGCAAAGTAGCTGAACACACCAAGTCAAGGACCCATCATACCCATCATAGCCGCAATCACACCGATACTAAGCACGATACTCTGAACTTACCTGACAGCATGCTATGCTCAAGCCATGTTGTAATTCATATTAAAGTACACAATCCTATACACACACAAACATGGACCGCACCGGGGAATACAAAAAAAGCACTCCCTGGATTGCACTACATAGCATCACGTTCGGCTCGCTCACCGTTTCCCATTCACTTTCATGGGGTGATCGCTAAACACAGGTTTCACTCTACACGTGACTGTGTGGAAAAGCTCTAGTCCTCTGCCAATTTTTTTAAGTGTATCACCCACGTTTCCGTATCCGTCACGTGGGACTAAACCTCCCTAGTCCGTACCATGATACACATGTACATGTAAAAGAAAAAGAAGTCCTCTGCCAATGGGCCTCGTTCTCGCCATTACTACAACAGATAATTACTGTTCCTCACTGTAGTCTGAGGGTCAATTACCAGAAATGGATGGTGTCAAGACTCAAGACATTTAAAAAAAGATAGAAGACACTACGTTCTAAAACAGAAATAGCACACAGCCCTCTTGCAGCAGCGAACAGAGACAGGAGTGTGGAAAAGATGAGAATGGCAGTTCTGCTCAGAGGATACATCAAGTTCAGCAGGCCAAGATATCCTGAAATACATGGAAACACATGGTAACATGCACACACACACACACACACACACACACACACACACACACACACACACACACACACACACACACACACACACACACCACACACACACACACACACACACACCACACACACACACACACACACACACAAAATGAGCCCAGAGAACAGCATGTGTAGCACGTCCGTAAACCAATGCATACCTCGAAACGGGCCCACAATACATTCACTGGAGTATTAGACCACATGCACATGAAGACCATAGGCCAACATTTTCCATTTACCGTATTTTTCCGGTTGTAAGTCGACCTTTTACGGCTTAAAATAGAAGGAGAAAGGGTGGGGGTCGACTTACAACCGGGATTCGACTTATAACCGGGAACTATCAGTATCTTACAAAAAATGACCTGCACTGCATGCACAAGTGCACCATGTGCACACATTTTTGCCAGTTTATTGGCCTTTTTCAAGGATAGGGACGTTATACCCTCCAATAAGGAATGTTAACATGATTTTTATTTTATTCCAAGCAATACATGACTGGGGTAGCCAATGACCACTTTGCTTGGCGAATGCAGGATTTTCATAGCCAACCACGGCTATTTGTTGATGTGTTAGTAGCAGGAGGTGGTTAGTAGTGCTTCTTTGGGTGAAAACTTTAAAACGCAGAATTGAGACCTCCGGATACGGGGGTCGACCTATAACCGGGGTCGACTTACAACCGGTAAAATACGGCAGTAACACCCCTCCCATGCAGCCAACCAATGTTGCACTTACGCACATGCATCTACACTGATCCTGCCCAATTGCCTGGGCTACCTCGGCTTTGCTGTCATGCATAACCATTGCCATGACAACCCCTAAACTAACCACCAACCTTACAAGTTGCATGACACAAGCATTCGCTGCTCAGTGACTCGTGCTTGCAATCAACAACCACAATCGGATTTACTCGCGTATATATGTACATGCGAAATTTGTGCGGCTACTTTTTTCGTGGCCATGAAGGGTGTAGATAGCAGGCCTATCCACAACAATTTTATCGGATAGGGTAGGTAGGGTCTTTGTATGCATGCAGGATGAGGAAGGGAAGTCAGACTACAGTAGGTCGTTACCCATGAGCAAACTTGGAGGTGCACGTGCAACCTCTGCTTACCCATTCCTCTGAAGTCAGTTGCTGGGTTATTTCCTTGGAAGCCGATGTCAGTCCACTGCTTGGACATACGCTCCGTCAATGCAACATCAGGTTGAAGTAACGACCATAGCTACACAACACAGTTGCAACGATGATGACGACAACAACGACAACGACAACAACAACAACAACAACAACAACAACAACAACAACAACAACAACAACAACAACAACAACAACAACAAAATCCCGATGCAGTAGAATTAGAAAGCATACTTATAGATGACATGCCAAGCAGACTTTCATACGGAAAAAGGGTAGAGAGGAATTTGCACGAGCGGGGTGATCGGTGGAAATGGGATCCACTAACCAGCTTGACATTGAGCAACAGTCCACCATGCAAGCAGCGAACACAACATTCTGCGATACAGCTGAACTACCTAACACACAATGGTGGTGGTGCTCCAAGCGGAAGCGGGTGAGCCTCAAGAAGGAATGGTAAACGTGACTTGACAATGAGCAAACCATGCCATAGACCAGCGCACTCACTTCTAGGAGGGCCTCCTCATGCTCGCTGTTTTCACTGGTGAATCTTTCAGCGCGCAGCCTATCTGCGTGGGCTATGACGGCCGCAACGCTGTGAATCTGAACAAGACATGCTCGCAAGTTATCAGCAAACCTGAAATCAACGAGAAAAAAAAACCATACAAACACACACACACATTTGCACTTGCTCGCTGCCAAACATTGGTCACATGGATCTACCCTGGGGAGAGGAATTCAGAAGAACTCTTGGAAAAATGACTCAATAGGCTTACGAGCCCACCACAGTAAGCGAGTGACCGTAAGGCGCGGACTGAAATTAACAGCATCAGGGCACAATCCGTCTCAGAAACCAATTGCCGTCACCCCGTCAGTGATGATACTTGATACTAATGTGGATTGCAAAATCAGTTTCTTCTAAGGATTCGCTACTACCGGATTGTGGCAGGAGACTGCTAGACACAGCGTGAAATTTGTTGGTGAGGTGAAAGACTGTGATAGCTCACATAATGGCACAATAAGGTTTGATGTACATGTACGTGTGTGCTAGCTGGTTGTACCGCACTTAGCAAATAATTGTCTTCGTTGCATTTAAATTCACACGTGTGGCTTCAGTGCCACATCATTCTATTCCTATTTCGCGCTAACTTATTCACACACAAACGCAGCTCTCTGCTTCCCCCCCTCCCTTTCTCCCAGCACCTTCCACCAGCGCTCCTACGTCCCACAGTTCACACATACACATGTTATCTGGCACCTTCCTCAGACTAATATTCCTACTTCAGTATCACTTCAGCTTTCTACCACACCTCATGGCATATCTACTCAATTTCTTTGCTGCTCGTCTTTAGTTTTACAGCTTCACCCTGGGGATGAGCCACGGTCAAAAATTAGGTGAATCTAGAGAGACGTTTGCGGCAAGAGACAAAGTGTGAGTGTTCCGACTAAGTAAGTAATCTGCTAAATTAGAGTGGATCTGGTATAGGCTGCTGCACTGGCATCATTGATTAGACAGGAGTCAGTCTAGCCAGAACTAGGCCGTTGGTCAAGAGGCAAGTGTATGGAGAAGGTGCAAAGGAGGTTCTAAGAGTTTGTTGCAACTCGCGAGTTTCTTGTTAGATGCAATCATCAGGCGACTTATATTATTGAGAAGATATACTACGAACCCTGAAGCCAACAGTGGTGGCAAGTGCAGCAATACATACACCTTAAGGCAGCCTCGCCCGGCCGATGGAAATATACCCAGCCGCTACTAGTATCGTATACGTGCACTCATCAACAGATCTCAGTAAGCTCAGTTGTTTGTTTACCGCTCTTCGATGGTATGACTAAGTCCCTCAGCTCTGCAGATCTCCACTACTGCATGGTCTACATTTGCGTTAGCGTCGCCCTTCAGAGTCTGACGCACCACCTGTAGCGCAAATAGTCAATACGGGATACATGGCAAATATTTAGTGGACGATTCATCTGACCAGTCCACACAAAAATGATAGCGCACGCGATAGAAAAGTACACGACAGACTGATATTACATGTGTGTGCGTGTGTGTGTGTGTTGGTGTTGGTGTGTGTTGGTACAGGAACACAATGAGCAGCATGTTTTACCTCATTGGATACTTGAGAAAGCTTGCTTTCTGCAATACCAAAAAAAAACAAGAAAGGGGAATTAGCAACAAGAACAAGAACCAGAACAAGAACAAGAATAAGAACAGCAGCAGTAGCAGCAGCAGTAGCAGCAGCAGCCATCATAAGAATAAATAGTTGTAGGAGACTACCAGGAATGCTGTCGTTTGACGGAAAGTGGACAAAACATTTACCGTCCCGGGGTGTTAGCCGCACCGGGGTCTAAGCCCTTTTCGGACCAAAAATTCGTATTTTTGCCGACATTCGGAATAAGCTGCAAGTCAGACTTTGAATATTTTGCCAACTTAACTTATGGGTACCGGTACATACCAGACGTTACAAATAGTTAGCTAGTTGAAAAGCATGACTGAAGTTCTAGCAAAAGTTGCCTCGTTTGTCCTTGACTTTGAACTGACGACACTTTAGAAGAAGATTCGTGCTAGTGCAATGACGCATTGCACGACGTGAAAAGTAGTCAAATAACACCATACATGCATTATATGCACGGAGCGCTGGAGCACTGGTCGATTCACACCCAGCATTCGGAGTCTAAGCACCAGCGGCAATTTTTGAGTTATTAATTAAAATGCGTTTTAAAGTGCGGTTAACACCCTGGAATACGGCATCAGGCATAATACCCGTATTATCTCTAATATAAGCACGGTCCTTTATTTTTTCAATGTAACTCCGCCCCGTGCTATTAATGGAGACGTTCCTTTATTGGAGACTGTTCCATTATTATTTCAACCTCATTTCAGAGGCATGTTGCCATGCCAAATTTACATGTCAGACACACACATTTCAGGGTTTTTTCGCCGGTACAGATAATGAATTTACACAGTGTGCTTATAATGGAGACTGAGCACTTTATTTTTTGAATGCCGCCCCAAGGTGTTCTATTATTGGAGACGTGCTTTATTGGAGACTGTGCTTATATTAGAGATAATACGGTAAGTAATTCACGACAATGTCTAGTACACTGCACGTGCAATCATAGAATCATGCACGAAGTCCGCACCATATTCATGTAGCACAGGAAGGGCTTGGTTGTGCGGTGCACATGCCGCAGTGACATACACGTAGCCAGCCAGCTCCGGCGATACTGACATTGCCCATGGCCTGCGACCTGCAGCAGCAGCCTGGGATGATGAGGACTTCACCAACCTGGACAGGATCATGCCCATCTTTTGCTACCGTCTAAACTTTCTCCACTACACGTTGAGCACTAGACTTCAACTGCTTGCCCTGTGTCCTGGCGCTCAGCTGCTGCAACACCATCACGTACGCCTCACCAGTAGTAACTACAGCACAGCACAGCCTGAGTTCCTTTGCTCGTCATCGTGTGTATCCAGGAAACGTACCAACCCAGAAAGACATCGTTCGTCACCGCAGTCGCAGACGGAGACAATAACCCATTGCCCATGAGCACTCAAGTCAAGATCAAAGAAAACGCCAGGTAAAAAAAAGGAAAGATACATGCACCACACAGCACACGCCAATGGATGACGCAGCCAACGCAGAGTGTATGTTGTGATGTTTCGGCAGCGCTACGTGAGAGAATTATTTTTATCTACTCCCCCATCTTGTTCGGACTCCTGCCACTAGCCAGCCACAAATACAAGCAAAGCTGCAGTAGAAGAAGCATAAGCTAGTTGAGAGAAGTCATTTACCTATGTAGATCGTCCGCTCAGTCTGGTGATAATCATCACAGATACGCTGCAGGTACGTCTTGCCAGTGAGCCAGTACAGAGCGTAATCTACTATCCACTCCATTATAGCGGTCGTCCAGTAAGTTAGCCAGGAAAAGAACATTTCCTCCCTGTCTTGGGCACGGCGTCTGGGGGCGATAAGAAAAAGGACCGACCCCTTTGGAAGTAACGCTCGTGGAAACAATGCACCAACACTGGCAACAGACAGTGAACATGTCACACACTGAAAAGTACGACTCCAGCTAGCTGAGCGAAAAAGCAAACGTTGAAACTAATACTTGAAACGTGACAAAGCCTCGAGTCAAACTCAAACTTCAAAGGAAAGAGAAAAGTTGGGTTTCGTCATGCGTACGAGCGTAGGCATCATGACGCCATCATCGTCTGCATGGCAACTATCGGTAGTGACTCTGTGAACAGGGGAACCACCGAGAACTGCTCCTGGTTGTACAGTCTCGACTCTCGGCCTCCGCGGCGCACTCAACTCAAGCAAGTCAAGTCTGTGTAGAAGCGAAAAACACGAAAACTACTTGAGTCGATCAGCTGTTTACATAGCTTATCGAACTCGTTCATGATGGATGATGTTTGAACAAGTGATTTGGACACATTGCCTTTTGCGACGACAATCCATGGCCCAGGCTAGCTGAACTCGTACATCCACGGGCACTGTGCCATTTTGCCAAGAACCCCATTATTGCAGAGGAAGAGAAGGCTGGAAGCACGATGCTGTCGTCAAAAGGAGTAAAAGAATTTTTCGTTGGTGCTGAGAGCGACAAATCGGAACCGCCAATGGCAATGTTTGCAGGCGCAGCCTTGACCAAACGGTGAGTGTGCGCGACCTATGATGTGCATCTGGCATTGCCATAATTCTGATATTGATTGCAAGTACACTGTACTGAGTACGTACACATGTGGGTGCTAGTCCAGTGCAGTAATTTTATAGTGCGCATATTTCACTTTTCTAACATTTATATGAGGGTCCATCCATAAATGTCGCCACGTATCGTAACCGTACAAAGCGTAGACTTTCTGAGGCGGTGTTTACATGAGGCGTTTCAACCCGGGTTGAGTTCGACCCGGGTCAGATTTCAACCCGCCATGTGCATAAAATGAATTGCGCGTTTACATGACGCATTGCGCTTGACCCGGGTTGAAATTTCGCCCCGGGTTGATTTCAACCCTCCCCCCCCCCCAAGGGGAGGGTTGAAATCAACCCGGGTCAAGAAAATTGTACAAACGTACTTCTGTGCGTATCTCGCGCCATGTTTGAACGGCACTGCAGAAAAGTGCAGATGCAAATTTCGCGCGAACGGATTCACGTGACCATACAGGACTGTAGAAGTGGACTTTTGGCGGCATATCAGTATTTGACCCGGGTCAACTGTCTTCATGTAAACGCTCACCTCTTTTGTCTATCGTACAGACTTTCAACCCGGGCTGAACTCGACCCGGGTTGAAATTTCTCATGTAAACACAGCCTGAGACCTCATCGATCCTCCTCCAAACTAAAGTAACCGTACACACAGTCATACTCATAGTGAAATCGTATGATATCCATGTACATGTACGACAAGGCCGGCTTCACACTGCTTACAAATCCACGTTAACATCTCTTCCCCCTCTAACGGGGAGGCCCACTTGACCACTTTTGGCAGTGAGCAAGTACAAGTGTGTGTGTGTGTGTCTGTGTGTGCATGCATGTGTGTGTGTATGTATGTATGTGTGTATGTATGTATGTGTGTGTATGTGTATGTATATGTGTGTGCATGTGCAGGTCCGTTCAGAACAGCACCGGCATGGATATGTTTGTGCCCAAGTTTGACACGTCACAAGGCGCTGGACGCGAGACGCTCTACCACATTATCGTCATCTCTGTAATGTCTGTATTCAAATCTCCAAAGCACAAACCAGAAGATGTTGTGCAGTTTTCGGTGAGTTTTGCTCAAACAGCCTGCCCAACAAATCAGTCATCTACAGTTGCTTTTTCCGCTTTTCGTTGGTCTGCGATAGCGGGTGCAGCTGTATGGATTACTTGGTTAGCACTGTGCTACTACAGTCAGACCTCGCTTAACCGCACACATCCGTTTTCCACAAAAATGTCCGGATCGGCGAGGGAACCGGATAACCGAACGCGGTTATGTAGGATGCACTGCGTATGCTGTAGATCCGTAACCAGCTACCGTAAAAGTCCGTAAATAAGCACGTATTTAATTTCGAATTTAGTGACCACACCCGTACTAACTTTCGGGCGGGTACTGACTTTCGGGCACGAACTAACTTTCGGACCTGACTTGTGTGTAGTGGAGAAGTCATTTTCATGTCGATGTACATGCTACGTGCTGCATGTGCGCACCGTACCGGTACTTATTTCGGGCAGTATGTTTATCGGGCTTGACTTGACTTCAACAGACAGAGCCTAAAGTATGAAGGGGGTATTTCTTTCGGGCAGGTACATATTTACGGACTTTTACGGTATTTTCTTCCGGATAAAAGAGGTCCGGATAAGCGAGGTCTGACTGTAGTACCAAGAGTGCATAAACAACAAGAGTATGCACCTGTGGGCATGGGTCAGTGCGCGCTACGCTGCCTTCATTACGTAACTTGCCTCAATCGCGCTCTGAAAGCATGCACTCAAAGTCTCAAACGCATAATTTCTCATACGAGCCCATCCGTTTTGCTCGATTCGTTCCAGTACCCACGCGATCTCTAAATATTTGCCGCATGAACTCCAGTTCCGTACGGACGTTCATTTCAAATCAGACGGAAAGTGCAGTGTTTGATTTTCCGCAGTGAGCGGACTGCAGCTGAATGATGTAATGAAGGCAGCGCACCGTGCATCTGGCCCATAGAAAAGAGGTCACAGTTGCATACTCTTTGTTTACGAACTCTTGCTAGTACTAGTAGGCTAGTGGAGCTATCACCCGGTTGCCACCCAGTTTGTTTTCAAATAAAGACAGATGTCTCAGTAGCACTGGGCTGGCCACTGAAATCCGTCCTGAGTTGTGCACACCCATGACGCCCAGGCAGGTCTGCGGAGCTCAGTTCCGTGACCATCATTATATACATGTAGGTGTAGAACCAAAGGGCGCCCGGTTTATTCGCAAGGTTGACTGTACTTCCAAGTACACTGAGTCTGTGATGTAGGTCTGACACTGCTTGTGTATTCTATTCTCTTCTCCTTTGATAAGGTTCCGAGGAAGTATGCCGATTTCGAGCGGTTACAGGAGCAGCTGTCACAGGAGTTCTCAGCTATTGTGTTTCCCAGCTTACCGCCACGTCGCCTGTATTGCAATGAAGATGACTTGGAAGATAGATTGGTAAGATGACGATGACGACATGTAGTGGGGACCCCTACATTCAGTGAAGTTGTGTACCGTGGTGGAAACTGTGTTTGCTGTGCGATTGGAACATTTACGGATATTTCTGTTGACCTGTGTGAGTGGTGCTATCGGTTCCGAATTCTTCTCTCTTTTCTCACCCTGTGCGTGCGTGTGTGTGTGTGTGTGTGTGTGTTTCCATACAATGGTACTTCCGTGATTTAACTGGTGATTCCCTATCCCTGCTCGTGCTGTCCGACTTCACTTCAGATTGCATTTGACTGCCTGATGCGTGTCGTAGCCAAGACAACGCGCCTGAGTCGCTCTCACTCGGTGCTCCGCTTTCTCGGCATTGAAGAGAAGCTGATCAACCGGGCACTGAAGGAGATGAATACAGGTTAGTGAGAAGAACGCATACAGTGCAACCTGTCTAACCTGTCTAAGACGACCGCTCAAGGGACCTTCAAAATGTGGTCTCTGTTGCCAGGTGGTCTCTGTTGCCAGGGTTGTTTGACTGCAAATAGCATCCATTGGTCCTGGTTGCAAGTGGTCTTCTGGGGCAGGTGGTCGCCTTATCAGAGTGGTCGCATTGACAGGTTTTTACTGTACTTCAACTATACTTGCCAACCACCTTGATTTGGCCGGTAGTACTTCCTGGACAGGGTGTCACACAGCTCAGTTCTGATGACCCCCTGGCTCCTAGACTATGGTGGTGAGAGAGTGAGGGAGGGAGGGAGGGAGAGAGAGACGATGTTCCGCCCAACAATCAAAAATATCCAAGTCCTGATTTTCGTACAATTGATAATCTACCACATGACTACGCAGGGCAGTCATGTTGGTTCCAAGTTCCAATTCCACAGTCCACACAACCCCTGCATCTATGGGTCACATGATGTCGGCCATTGTTGGTCCCACTGTCCACATGCCATGATCACTTTCTACACAATTTTAGTCACATGACAAACTGATGTGAAGCCACTCGATCGATTCCACATCCTGACTAGATTTGACATTCTCTTATCCACCCTTCTACTATCCTCGTTTCTACTCTCTGTGCAGAAGGGAGCAACCCTGCCAGTATCAAGGAGCCGGTGGTTTCCAAAGAAGAGGAAGAGGAGACGATTGACATATTTGCTGACGACGACAACGAGGAGGAAGGAGGCGATCTCGCATTGTCCAGTCCGCTACCCACGTCACCTCACTCGTCCACCGACCTGCCTGATGTCAGCATGCATGCCAGCGTGAGAGAGCAGTCCGCGCCAGAGACTAATGTGGATGATTTCCTGCTCGTTGCTGGAGCAGCTGGTGAGTGTATCTCCTCTGCTGTGTACAGGATATTTCTGTGTACAGTAATACTCCGCTAATCCGAGCACCTCGGGACCGAACACTGCCCCGTAACTACAGTGAACCTATCTAAGACGACGGCCCAGGGGACCTGCAAAATGTGGTCTCTGTTGCCAGGTGGTCTCCTTATCCAGGGTCTTTTGGCTGCAAATAGCATCCCTTGGTCCTGGTTACAGTGGTCTTCTGAGGCAGGTGGTCGCCTTGACAGGTTATCCTGTACTTGGAATCGCCCGTAACTAGGAGTCCGTTACTCAGAATGTATATACTTAGGGTTGTCGCAAGAGTTTTTAGTTGTCCCTAAAGTGAACACACCGTTCATTTCGTACTCGGACCCACTCCCCACCCTCCGAAATGAACAAACACAGCTTACTATGCTGGGCGACGAAAATCGCGTACTAGTATTGGGTGCTTTCAATCACAGATTTGAGGGTCGGAGTTCTCAATACATGTTTCAGGATATTACATGTCGATTCGGCGTGTGTGTGTGTGTGTGTGTGTGTGTGTGTGTGTGTGTGTGTGTGTGTGTGTGTGTGTTTGTCAGGTGGAGCAGCTGAGAAGAGCACTGTCTTCGCAGAAAAAAGAACCGACCGCACAAAGGAGCTGACGGAAACGGATGCAGACTTATTCAAGTAAGATTCTACTGCGCTGGCATGGTGTCATGGCGTTATGTGTTATGGCCATGTGTGAAAGTGGCGGTTGCGTTGATCTCGCCCGCACGGGCCATTGCTGCAGCTTTAGGTGACACAGTTTAGCAAGGTCAACGGCAGTTGTTGTCTTGAGTATTGTAATCATTGTGTGTGTGTGTGTGTGCGTCTGTGCCTGTGTCTGTGTGTGCGTGCATGCGTGTGTGCATGTGTGTGTGTGTGTGTGTGTGTTACCAGGTTTGATGAGGACCTAGGCTCACTTGACCACCTGACCAAGCCCAAGAGCAAGCCCAAGAAGGCATCCAAAGCGAAAGCCAAGGCACCTGTGGTCGACGAAGCAGACACACTCCTGACCGAGCAACAATTCGCTGACATGGACTTGCAGCAGTACATTGCGGCGAACGCCGCCAAAGCAGCGGAAGAGGTTGACCTGTTCTCATGAGCATCTCCGCACTTCTTTCTCGCCCTCTCTCTCCCCGGTTAGTGCCATTGTCTAAGCTTGTTTCGCCACTTGAAACTTGTTCTGCGCCCTAACCTTTTTACATTTAGGAAGAAATTTGCTTCATAGTCTTCGAAAGGAGGGTACAGTCTCAAAGTGATACTCTGTGTCCTTTATTCTTGTCGTTGCTGGATCCTTTTCTTCACCGGACTGTTTGTTATCGTTTATACGACTTCAAAAAGAAACCTTTAAACTAGCACTTAGGGACTCTGGGCAGGCTTGACGTAACTTAACCTCTCAGACTATTGCTTTGTTGAGTTGCACGTGTAAGATTTGCTTTCTGCACGGCGTCGGTCTAGAATTCTTGTCGCTGGTATTTTTTCCGTTATTTGCCTTCTCTCCGCTGTTGCATCTCCCCTGTCTTATGTTTACGTCTATTTATCATGTACGAGAACGGATCTGACAGATTTTTGACTTTTTTAAAAAGTGTTTTTAATATAAATGTGTTTACCTACCGGTACTTTGTCTCAATGGTAGATTTTATTTTTGCATCTTTCGAATTTATCATAATCCCGGCAACCACCGCATTAGAAGCTGCATCTGCGCCTTGATCCTTGAGGTTGGTGGTGGTGTTCCTACGGATTCCGAGCAAACGGTCTGGTTGGGTCCCACGTGAGCCGTGAACCTTTTTAATTCCTGCGAACGAATGGAGGAGTTATCTCTTCACAGTAGACACCCTTAGCAAACAACGGTAACGCTATTTTTTACGGTACTCGTACCTTGATCACCCAAATAGCGTTGAAGCTGTAGCGTATAAACGTTATGGGGGCTGATTTATCGTTGTGACCAACGGTACGTGTTTTGGCCAAATATTGCATAGTCCGCACGCATTTCACCTTGTATCGCGTATATGGTGACAAAAATGGTTGTACGGCGCGAAATCAAAGCTACTCTCGTGGCAACAGCGTACTAAAAAGCGTGCATCTTGCTAAAGGTCGAACCCAAATCACGCTATTTTCCCCCTTACGATAATACCGTTACAACATAACGTTTTTTGCTAAGGGTGTCTAGTAACTGATGTTTCACTTACATGTACATAGAACATCCAGTACAAAATCACTAAAACTTGAAAGGCAACTTTTTCCCAAGCCTGTCTTCAGACTATACATTTACATGCAACATACAGGCAACCTTTGAGCTTGCACAATTGCGCCAGTGGATGCGTAAAAGCAAGAAGCCATACAAAGTGTGTCTGTTTGTAGGACTGCCAGGGGAAAGTTGTACGAGGGTCAGCACCCTGCCTGAAAAGTGTGTGCTGCTTTTTCAGGCTTTCCACCAGATTTTTGCAGTTGTATCCAGAACCTTTTGTATACATGTGACTGACTAACTTATAGACTGGAAAGAATTCTTTTCTCATGTCGGGAGACATATTGTGTCTACCTGTATCATAATTCATTCCCGTTGCATGGCACACAGAGGACTCGTCACTTTACTAGTTTACTTTGAAGTATTTTATCATAGAGCTCAATGACGAATGCTAATACTGTTTAAGGATAGGATATCAAGAAAAAGGAGCCCTTGTTAAGTTAAGACAAAGAGCAAAGATCGTGGATGGCAATGTAGGGCACATTCCTGTTTGCACTTCGGAGTATACCGCACCAGAACAATGCTGGTGATGCCCAGCTTGACCATGTGGCATTCATATTATCATGCCAGCTTGATATTATGTGGCATTCATGCCAGCTTGATATGCGGCGCAGTTAATAGAACCAACGGCGGCACAGACCACTTGCATATCGACTGTTGAGTTTACCTCCTCGGTATCAGCCCCTGGCTAGCTGCAAGTGTCGGCTTACGTTGTCCTAATGCCGTTAGTTACAGCACGATTGATCAAGCTGGTGTAGGGCAGGGGCTTCTGCATTTGCAGAGTTTCGTACGCGTGCTCGCGATTCGGCATCGTGCCCGCTCTGCCCGGATGATTACTTTCCACCCCAGTCGTATCGCACTGGCTGGCTCGCAGTGTTTCGTACGGGTTGTACGGCAAGGTGCAATCATACGGGTCGATTTTCTCGGGCAACGAGGAGTGTTTAAGGGCCCCGTTGACCCGTCCAGCAGTAGCAGCAGCGGTTGCGGCATCGTCAGCTCTTGCGTTAGTGATATAAAGCTGGTAGCTGGCCTGCGTGCGGTCGGGAACGGCTGGCACCTCGTCGTCGTTGTCGCTGTCCTCCCAGTTTCCGTCGTACGAGTCCGCGCTCAGTTGGCAGGAGCGTGCCTTGCGCACGTCCACGCGGCAATCCTGACAGGCAGCGCCGCCGTTGCCCATGGTTGCCGCACCATTCTCGTAGCTTGCTTTGCCCGGGCTGGAGTACAGGCCAGAGAGGGCGCTCATAGAGTTGGAGCGGACACGACGCGGCATCGCCTTGCGGCGTCGCGGCGGCGGTTTGGGCGAGCTTTGCTGTGACCTCGCTCGGCTAGTGCTGTCACGTCTGCCGGCCTGTGAGTCGGGCGTTGTGCAGCTACGAGGCCGCGCATGAGGACGCACGCTGTCGCCCAGCGCGGCTGACGGCGACGACCTGGCCCCGAGCTTGTGTACCGTGTCGGCCGACTGCGGCTGCTGCTGCTTCACTGCTTTGGCCGGCACTTTGGGCAGTTCCCTGCGCCGTACCCGCACTGGCGGTGGCTGTTTCTTGGCCTGCTGCTGCAATGCGAGTGGCAACACCGGCGCGGATCTGTAGTGGCTAGCTATCTGGAGAGGCTTCAACTCAGCGGTGCTGCTGCTGCCGGTGTTCGTGGGTATGGGTATGGGTACGCTTGCTTTCGTGTACGTGTTCTCTGTGTCCAGGGATTCCCTGCGTGTGGGAACGGCCGCTGGCAAGGCCCGGCCACTGCTCGCGGCGTGTACGAGCTGCGGGAGAGAGCCGCACGTACGCAGGCTGTGGCTGCGCATGGGACTGCGTGCAGGCTTGGGCGGCCCGATCTTCTTGGTGTTGAACGACTGCGCGCGCTTGACAGAGTTGTCGGACGACGCTCCCGGAGACTTGATGGGGAGATTGGGCAAGCGAAGTCGATCTGACGGCGCCATAATGTTGCTCTCATTAGGCTGAGGTTCCGCTGTGCTGTCTCTGTCTGCTCGACGGGGGTTAAACACTCGACTGCGCCGCTGCGGTACGTCAGTGCTCACGTCTTCGGTGTCGGACATCTCCTGGCCGAATGCCTCGTTGAGGAACATGGCAATCTCCGGAGTGCTAGCTCGTCGCACCATCTCCTCCCTGAGCTCCTTGCTCCCAGCCAAGCCCATCATGGCTGGTGCGGACTGACGGGTCTTGAACGGAGGTCGGTCGCTGGTGGACGAGTCATGCCGCTCGTCCGCTCGTAGAGGGTTCTCGAAAATGGTGCAGTCGGACACTTGCCTCTGCGCAACAGAGCTGGGACTGTCAATGCAAGGGCCCTCCGATACGTAGGTGTCCAGCGGTCGACTGGAGGGAGAACATGCACACACGCACACACACACACACACACACACACACACACACACACACACACACACACGCGGTCTTGTGATAAAAGCACTTGCATTCAGCCCATTGAAACCTGCTCACTGCAGAAACGGTGCCACAGTGTTTCTAATCAGCTCAGCCATCCAATAAATGTTACACTACTAGTAACTCGCACGAATACTTCGAGCTGCACCCAAAGTCTCAGGGTTTTTTCTACTTCAAGCTGCACCCAAAGTCTCAGGGGTTTCTACTTCGAGCTGCACCCAAAGTCTCAGGGTTTTTCTACTTCGAGCTGCACCCAAAGTCTCAGGGTTTTTTCTACTTCAAGCTGCACCCAATGTCTCAGGGTTTTTTTGCTTCAAGCTGCACCCAATGTCTCAGGGTTTTTTTACTTCAAGCTGCACCCAAAGTCTCAGGGTTTTTTCTACTTCGAGCTGCACCCAAAGTCTCAGGGTTTTTTCTACTTCGAGCTGCACCCAAAGTCTCAGGGTTTTTTCTACTTCAAGCTGCACCCAATGTCTCAGGGTTTTTTTTACTTCAAGCTGCACCCAAAGTGTCAGGGTTTTTTTTACTTCAAGCTGCACTCAAGGTCTCAGGGCATTTTTTACTTCAAGCTGCACTCAATGTCTCAAGTTGCGTATAATGTTCTCGTGCACAAACCAGTCCCAGAGTTGACCATGTACTCAGTGCTGATCGATGGGTTCGATCAAGCGAGTCAAAGTCACTCCGGCTGCTGTGGAGCCTTTAATATCACCTGCGAGCACTGGAGTGCGGGCTGGTGCAGGGCGTAAACTGGACACATGCACAATCAGATGTCACTGAGCAGCTCTGTACAGGTCTTCAATACGGAGACTCCCTCGATTTAGGCTAAGGCCTGTGGAGAATCCATAAATACAAATACAATCTCTATCTGGCTATGCAGCAGCACAGAAGAACTGCTACATGCCCGTGTTGTTACCGACCACACAGGCTATGGTACCACTAGTTGTCTGCTCTCGCATCCACCCACCTCTGAGCTAACACGCGCTCACTTGCAAACCGAACCAGGCGACCGTCTCCTGAAAAGTTGAGTGAAATAACACGGGACGAAAACACAACAAACACAAACACAGTCACTCAAGAGAGCATGGACGGTAGGCCATACTTGCTTACTCCAAATATGTGCCAATATTTTTTCAAAATGTGATCAAGAGGACACTGAGCAGTATTTAGCAGGCAAGAGACACAGGTTAAAGGGCATGCAGCCATGTTATACCATATCTGGCCTGATGTCAGGCATGACAGGTGGCCTCCTACGACAAGTTTACATCGTGCTAAACTCTACCAAGCGAGATGGAGAAATGGTGTGCATGGAACACTCGCGCTGACTCACTCATCTTTCTTTTCTGCCTGTAGCGCACGATGCAGTAGATAGCCAGGGCGATGATGAAGGTGACGGAGACCACCATCACTGCTAAGATGGCCATGTACTTGACGTCCAGGCCGGCGGAGGGTACCATGTGGTCCGGTGCTGTGGAGCAGAGCAAAGAGATCGCACAGATATAGTGCATAGCCCAATGTCATTTCATTTCATTCTATTAAGATTGATCGGCCACAGGTGAATACATGCCTATCTATGCCTTCCTGATGACAATCAGTCAGAACATTAAAAATCACCTTTCGCATGCACACACCTGCATGCACACACACACCACACCACACCACACCACACCACACACACACACACACACACACACACACACACACACACACACACACACACACACACACACACACACGTGCACATCAGCATGCGTGCTTCTAAAATGCCCCGTGAACACACAAGGAGTAAATGCAGGCATAGAATGAACACAGACCGGGGCATGCAGATCGATCAGCAAAGCAATACTAACTGAAGCATCCAAAGATGGCCTCCTCGCCGATGTAACGACTTCCACCGGCACAGTGTGTGCACCGCTCGCCGCTGATGTTGGGTTTGCAGAAGCACGCACCACTGGTAGAACTACAGCCGGTGGAGCCACGCGGGTCACAGCTACACCGTCTGCACGAGTTACAGAGAAAGAACGATATGTGATTGTTGACATGTGTCACAGTATTAAATGCAGTGTAGTTGTGATTGCATTAGAATGTACAGTGAAACCTGGCTAAGGCGACCGCTCAAGGGACCTTCAAAATGTAGTCTCAGTGTGTGCAGATCGTCACCCTATCCAGGGTCGTTTGACTGGAAATAGCATGCCTTGGTCCTGGTTTCAGTGGTCCTCTAGGACAGGTGGTCCTCTAGGACAGGTGGTCCTCTAGGACAGGTGGTCCTCTAGGACAGGTGGTCCTCTAGGACAGGTGGTCCTCTAGGACAGGTGGTCCTCTAGGACAGGTGGTCGCCTTGACAGGTTTTACTGTATCTCTACCACCGCACAAGGTGGAAATGCGCTGGTTAAAGGAGTAATGGCGCGGACACAACAGCAACGCTACCATCTACCTTGTTGGCAATACAAAGTATTTTCGTTTCGTGTTCAGCCGAGTATACTAGTGTAAGTTCTAGCTTCTAGGTTCTATACCTGCCATGCTCCAATAGACAGAATCTGAAAGAGCAACAGGTTTGGAAATCTATGCACATCGATCACCAGTACACTAGTACTACCGTACTGGCAATATATGTTGCCGCAGTGAGGCCATGAAGCGTTACATTGGCACATGTTTGCCGCACGCAGGGCGTTACATGCAAAGTCGCACAGGAGCCGTTACGCAGGTTTCTATATTGCCGCAGTCCTTTTTTTGCTCTTGCGGCATCACTTTTTTGCTATTGCCGCATCATTTTTTTGCTATTGCCACATCAATTTTTGCAAACTGCAATGAAAAGATCGCCGCACCCCGCCGCAACATATATTGCCAGTACGGTACTATGCAGTTATACAAACCCCAAAGGCGTGTGGCTGTGGAGCTGTGGAGCTGTAATGAGCAATCATCATACAGCAGTATTAACTAGTATGCAGTTACACTCGGGGAGAGTTGTGGATGCTAGCGACATACCTCAATGCACCTTATAGCCTCGGATGCAGAGCCTAGTACACACACTTGAAAGAAGGAATCAAAGCGTTTCTGCTGTAACTCTGAGTTTCACAGTTTTACCGATCATCAGACAGCAACTAGTGTGTAGTATTCAGTAATGTGCTTACCGACAACCAGTTACGGTCAGGTTGAAGAACCCCTCCTTGCACTGAGAGCAGCGTAGACCGCCCACACCCGGCTTACATGCACACCAGCCGTCGCCATCGCAGTGCGGGGTCAGCGAGCCGGTCTGGTCACAGCGGCATGGCTTGCACACACTGGCCGCCGTGCCCGTGTGGTGGTATGCCGGCGCTGTGTAGTGCAGCGGGATGCCGCAGGTGCTGCACTGCCGTCCACTGTAGCCCGCTGCACAGTGGCACTGGCCGGTGGCCAGACTGCAGCCGGTCGTGTTGGGCAGAATGCCGTACGGGTTACAGTCACACGCTGCGGTACACCCATGCACACGGGAGAGAGAGAGAGAGAGAGTGTGTGTGTGTGTGTGTGTGTGTGTGTGTGTGTGTGTGTGTGTGTGTGTGTGTGTGTGTGTGTGTGTGTGTGTGTGTGTGAGAGAGAGAGAGAGAGAGAGAGAGAGAGAGAGAGAGAGAAACGGGGAGAGAAACAACTCCTAAAACCACTCCTACATGAATCCAACAGAATACTGTACTTTGTGTAAGCACCCATATTCAAACATGTACTAACTAAGTCAGGAAAGAAACAGTGCAGCATAGTTGTGTGCAAGCCAATAGTAATACCATCCGTACAGTGCAAATACATGCTTGCGTACACGCATCCCCTTGACAACTCACGGAGACATGCCAGAGGATGATTGAATCGCACGTGAGGCTGCCGATAGAAGAGCGGGTTGCAGTTCTGGCAGTGGAGGCCGTGCGTGTGATGTTGGCAGTTGACACACACACCGCCGCTCGTGTTGCCAGTGTCGTTGAACACCCGCTGGTCGAAGTGACACCGCTTGGCGTGGTCGTTGCAAGTGCAGGCTGTGGTTGTGGACACACACACACACACACACACACACACACACACACACACACAAACACACACAAACACACACACACACACACACACACACACACACAATGCGGAAATGGGCACAACCATAGAAAAAGTGAAAAACAATAAAACGAGAAACCCTTTTGGCGGTTTCCGAGAATCTAGGAATTGGATACATTGCGTTATGCAAAAGAACCCTTTAAACACTAGAGAAGTGTACCCTTGGCCTGGAACAAACACGGCACTCGGCACTCGGCATCCTGGAACAAACACGGCACTCGGCATCAGGCACATAAGCTTACCTTTACATACACCCGTGTCAGCATCGCTGGCTCGAATCCACGGTTTCTCGTTGTACAGGTTCATGCAGCGCTCGCAATGTGCGCCAGCTGTGTTGTGGACGCATTGACACTTGCCTGTTGCGGAGCAGCAGCAACAATAGTAGCAGCATCAGCAGAAGCAGATAAACATGAATTACGCATAACAGAATCTGTACTGTAAGACATTGAATTCACGGAGCGAATTTCAAACTTTGCCCTTTCATGGATCATATCAGTTTCTAGACTGGTTTGATGACTCCAACGCGGACTACAATAATATAGCAGAGTTATGGAGGTAAAAACACGCCTTCCCACACAACGCTACCTATAAGCTGCACAATTTAGTCCTTGTAGTGAATCGTCAAACACAGAACCACGAAGGCGTCCAGCAGTAACTAACTGACTATTCCGGAGGAGGAGGGAAGGGGAAAACACCTCTTTCTGCTATGTCACTACTTCCATGTGTGTGTTCTACTACATCAGAACCCCATCCTAACCCCGTCCTGCTCCCCATCCTGCCCCCCCCCCCCCCCGCCCTGCCCTATCACACAAGGATAATGTCGTCGGGTAATACAACTTAAGTTACTTAACTGTGAAGCTGTCCAAGCATCACTCACCTGTTCTGCTATTGCAGAGCTCAGCATGTCCATTGCAGTAACACAGTCCGTCGACATGCACACTGGCAAGGCTGTAATGCGAGAAGAGCGCTGCCGCATTGGCCGACTGCATCGTTGCCTGAAGACTGTCGAGCTCCTCTATAGGGATGCTAGCTGCATTGTCCATTGCTATTCTCACACGCCGTATGACGTAGTGCTGGAGAGGTGTGGGTACCTCGATCAGATAGACACGACTTTCTAACATCCGCTGCTGCGACATCTCCAGGCTGATGTCAAAGGTAGAGGTGTTGAATTGGGTACAGCCAAAGCCCGGCTCCTTTCCATAGCGCAGCCGGCAGTTGTCGGCGTAGTGGTGCAGCGTTTTCCACGCAGTGGCGGCATTCCCAGCGCCGCCTCCGTCACTGGACACTTGTATACGAACGGCTGCCGGGCGAGAGAGACCAAACTCTACGTTTACGCTTGTGAGAAGAAATTCACCGGGCAGGTCAATCTCCAGGTTCTCTTGCTGTGCAAGACTAGAGAGGGTGCCGGACTGCCAGAACGAGCCGCTGTCATCGTCCACCGCCCGCGCCGCGCCGTGCTGGTCCGGGTTGCACGTGAAGCAGCAGTACTGGTCCACGCAGGCCACGCGCTCTCGCAGCGCCGTGGCCACGTGATACGACGCCAGCACGTCCCTGAGGTAGCACACCGTTGTGTTGGCAGCGCAGACGCTGCTCGCCCGCGACTCGGCGCGCTGCAGCTGCGACAGACGAATACTGCGCGCCGGAGCACAGGCCTGAGCCTTGCCAGTGTCGACAGCATGGCATGGCCAGCGCGCCAGGGGCACTTGATTTTCACCCAGTGCAACTGGGACCAAGACAACAACGCTCACCAGTATCAACAGCAGTGCTGGAAGAGACCAGTCCACAAGCGCACGCCAGGACTGACTTGATGATGCCCGCATGCTGCTGATGTTTCCGCTTGCCACGTTCCAATCCAAGCGGGGCAAGTCGACGGTGCAACTCAGGCTACTCAGCACTGTACTTGCACCACCATCACATCTACGGAGCTAGGACGCGAATGTCACCTGAGCCCCGAGCTGTTGCGCTTCTTCGACGGCCGTTTCGACCGCTAAACGTGACAGTGACCCGGCCACTTCCTTCCTTCAAGCGTCTCTCTCTCTCGCGCGCGCGCTCCCTCCGTTCGTTTTCCTTCTCCTTCGTCGACTTCGCATCAGCGAAGTTCTTTCGTTTCAGTGCAGCTCATCTCGATAGCGAGAGGACAGTAGCTCTACTCGCGTTGTTCGTCGCTCGTTGGTGGTGGTAGTGCGCCAGAAAAACAACCGCGCATGGTTGCAAGAGCGGAAATGTTTCAACAAGCCGGGCCATTCTTGCTACAGCGTGGAGCTGTGGTCGCCTTCAATTGCAAAGTCTCCAACTCTACTCGAGCAGGATCGTTACAGGCTGCAGCTGTGCCGCTAGCGTTCGTTCTCTGTACGCTACCAGCACGGTTCCGCCAGCCGGCAAAGCGCCGCTCGTGGCACCCTTGCCCTGCTAGTTTTCGCAACCTCGCCCAGCAGAGTACTAGCGTCCATTGTAGATGTCTTATCACCGGCGCACTGGCGATATGCTTGCGAACTAAGTGTGCACCTGCCGTGTCATATCCCGACCCAGGTCCCAGTTCTTTCACACACTGCTCTTCAAAAGCGAACTGTTCAACAACAACGTTTGTTTTAGCGTCAACTCGAGTCTAGCAGTGGCAACAAGAGCACATGTATGTACAATGTCATAAACAGTCTTGGTGGTAAGAGTTATCAGTTGGTTATACTTGGCATAGGTCGTCTTCGACTGAATAGCTCGTAGTACAGCGATTGTACAGCGAAACGCCGAAAGGCCAGTCGCTCAACTACTTGCTCGGGCTTCTTCTTCGGCCTGCAATACTCCCAATACGGCGATAGGTCTGCATCACAATCGTGACATATGCCTATGGCTATGTAGATCTACTATCAGTGTCACTATGACATGCGGGTAATCAAGATCATCCGCATCATTGTCGCATGCTAGCTATCCACCATGATCTACTGCGCCTGGTCTCTGCCTCCGCTCTGGACGTCTGGTCTTGACTTGACTTTAGTTTAGCCATGCCAGAGGCAGTGCAATGTCATATCTACAAAGTGAGACATGTACGTCGACAGGTCCAAAACTGGCACCCGATAATAAAAATAGAAACGAACTTTTTGGTGTCTACCAATATCCCACCCAAGAAGCAGCGCAGCAGCAGCAGCTATCTGCTAGTATTCTGTACTTGCTAGCTAGCTATGTTGAGGCCGGAAACGTCCAAGGATAGCCTATTGGGGAATTAGAAATTAAGTCAGGTTTTACTAAAATAGGACAGGTGTGCCATGGCAAACTGTACGGAGAAGCAGATCCCAAGCTCAGTTCTTCACTGATTTCTGGAGTGGCTTTTTGAGCCTCCGTTCGGCCAAAATCGGGCTTTCAAAACGACAAAAGCCATGCAGCGGGACTAGTTTGGACGAGGGGAATATTGAATAGGTTTATGCGACTACATCTGCTGAGGTGCTTTGACGAAGTCGCGGACTCGCGGCACAGCGCCGCACTTGCACTAGCGACTCACGCTGCATACATAGCGCCCATAAGCGAATTCGCTGACTCACCCAACGGAATCATTCGCATACAATACATGTATTTAACTGACCTCTATACTTGAGCCTCATACTGTCCTTCCTGTTCGTAGCCGCGTGACACCATACGCCATACAAACACCATGATCAAGCCATTACCGCAGAGCAAAGAACGAGGTACTTGTACGTGCTCGGGTCCGTAAACTCGGATTTTGCTGCAGACTATGATTGAACGCCTGGCCGATTTCACCCACTGTGCAGCCCTGTAGGCTAGGTCGCAGTCGGACTCCCTCGGGTAGAGCCTACACACTTACAAGCAGGGAGTAGTACAATTGTACTACTCCCTGCTTACAAGCCTGATTTGCCCATCTTGTACATGTAGTTCACGAGTCACATATCGGCTTGTACATGTACCGCGTACATGGTGCGGTTTTCATACACATTTTTTAATTTTTTAACACAGATATAGCCTCTTGTACTTGTACGGGCAAGAACAAAGTAATACAGCTTAAAAAAAAAGAGTTTTCATACACATTAACTCGCGGTCGCATACTACAGGCACAGTACGTACTGGTCAATGCTATTGGTCATGCAGCAATAACTAGTATCTCATACAACAGTATGGGGTGCCGGTTGTCGCTTTATTCAAACATCAGGGTTTCTCTCGCCAGCACTGCAGGTGAAAACCAGAAAGTCTTTCTTGACTCCTCGCATGCAAGCAATGAGCGACAATGGCTTCGTGAAAGCCTTCCTCCGGTACACATATACTCTCTCTCTCTCACACACACACACCTTGCATGCAAAACACGATGATAGGAGAGGTGCCGTGATCTCCGACAGGAAAATCCCACCATGATCTCAGAGGAGAAGCAAAATTGCAATACACAACCAACGTATACTGACGAGGTGAAGCAAATCTGAGCAGTATAGTTGGTTGAATAATTTTTATCAAATAATATGAACCACTCCAGCAAATGAATAGCTTTCTGAGATGACAGCAGTCCCGGGCACGGAATTTCAATCGGTAGCGCAAGCGAGCAGCATGACATGTGCATGCCAGCACACTACGACAAAAATTAATATTTATGATATAGACAACTTTCAAAGAAAGAAGAATCAAGTAACAAAGTAGAAGTTGCATCGCTGCAACGCATGCATGCATGCATGATGCTGCCATGCAGGGTGCGCGTCCTTCACAGCTGCAAAGCCCGCCAATGCCTAGTACAGTGTACTTCGCAATAGGGCTGATCATGTGACCATGGTGACCGTCAGTGAGGTGAGCTGGGTCATTCTGCACAACAGTACACGCGCATGTTTGTGTGTGTGTGTGTGTACACCCTTGAAACTCTATAAGGTGCAGCCACATGGAACAGAGCTTAGGCTATAGGCCAGAGACACACTAAACAGTACGGACGCCAACATGCCTGCTGTGACAGCACTGCAGAAATCAACAGTATCGCTAGATCACTTGCTGTTGGGGAACAAATGCACTGCATCATTTCAGATACGCTGCGCATAGGTCATAGAACTGTACAGGACAACAATGCTGATAGTTACTAGCCGCCGTTGGGAGTCGTAAATACACCTCTCTAGCTGGCCAGAAACTGGCCACAAGTGCTTGAAGTGCTGTGGTACTGGTACAGTAGAGATATCATTTCTAGCTGCAGCGCCATGCTTGGCCGTACGTGCAGTGTACGTGAGTGGGAAACACCAGGTCATGCTACATGTAGTATGCGTACACTGACTAACTACTAACTGACCTGTGACCGGGCATTCACATCTTTGTCGGTCGCAACGGCAAATGCGCCGGCCCCGTCAAAGCACGCATAGGTTCACTTGCGTCAGCCATACTGGAAGTCAACTGGGACACGGTCAGTCTCAGTTTAGACGTAGAGTAAAGGATGTCTTAGAATAGAACAGGCCCACTTGAATTCTGACCTTTGGCGGTATATTCTTCCACCGATGGACCCACGTTTCCTCAGCTTGCCTGCAGTGCATTGTGAACACACGATTCGTGCTGTCGATCAGCAAGGCTATTTTTACCTGGCTTTTCCATTTCGGTACCTTTGTATTTCCATTGCTCCTGGAGAGGCCGTAAAGCGTTCCGTTGGAGCCCATTCCCCGCAAGTTGTCCACCCTGCCCACCATCGGGAGAGCGCCGTCATCTGGAACAATGCCGCATTGTGGAAAAGCACCTGTCACCATATCCGCACTCTTACTCTCAAATAGTAGATGTGCATGATAAACTCCTGAAACCGGCTCGGAAAAGGCGCTGCACTGTTGGTCGGTGCAAGTCGCGCACGTTGCAACCATCCCGTTTTCGGTGATCTGCAGACCGGGCCCATGCCTCTCTTGGTCAAAGCGAACTATATGGCGCGCAAACATTCGCCTCGCCTGTCCCAACTGGACACCGCCGATCTTTGCCGTGACGCAGTACTCTCCAGGCGTGCCGATGCAGCACTCCCATACACCTGGCTTGGCCGACTCGTATGCTCTGGTGCGCGGTGACGACGGCAATGCAGGTGTATAACCTACATCGCTGTGTGCCGCCGCGCTCTCACTTGGCTTTTCGCGTTCAGCTATGCCAACACTCACCGCCCGGTAAAGCGGAGACAGAGTAGACACGTCAGCTTTGCCACGGTTGAGCAAGCGAACTGACACCAAGAATTCTTCTCCTAGCCACACCATAACCGGATGGACCACTTTGGACGCGTCTGCATCGATATCACTCACATCCAACACCGTGCCAATCTGACTGATATCGTCGGCAGTGACTTTATCGCTGACATGGCCGCACGCCAAACGACAGTCGGGGCTCACGCCGACAAGGGCACCGGCAGCCGCCGTGGTGACTTCACTCGTCCTGATCGTCGCCCACGCCGCTGCGCGCACTGCATCGCAATCTCCATAGCAACCGTCGGCAACCTGCCGAAGCCTGTCCAGTGTAGATAGGCATCCTAGAAGCACATTTCGGCGCTCCTCCACGGGTAGGGATTTTTGCCACTGAAGCCGATCGACATCTTCGAGCAATTTCGCCTCTCGCTTTTTAAGCAGTTCCATCTTGGTCGTGATTTCTTTGGTGATCTGCTCCGACACCGCAGCTGCTTGACATTTGATTTCATCTTGCAGGGTTTGCAGCAAGTCCAGCTGAACGGTGATGCCTTCATGGCAGGTACCATGGCCCGAATCACTGCACAGCTTACGGATCTGCTCTCTGCTCTCTTCGCCAGCTTGTTCGATGGTGATCAGCATCTGTTCGTGTTGACGGTGTGTCGTCTGCTTCAGGCACACACTACATGCCACGTCCGCACACAACCTACAGTAGTGTGTCACGCTGTGACTAAGGTGTACTGGACATGGGCTACGGCTTGAGCTTGCTGCTGCGCCAACTTCGGGGCTGCTTCCATCATCATCATCACAGTCTCGGCTCGCAGGCTGTACACGATGGTGTGCAGACTTTCGTTTCTTGGTGTGAGCTATGGCATGCTCCTCGCACAAGTCCAGCGAGCATTCCAGGCAGACACTGCTAGCTGGGGTTTCTTCAATGCAGTGCTCACAAATACACTGCGTGGCACGTGTACTTTGCTCGCCTTCCAGTTCCACCAAATTAGGCTGCCACTCAATGTCGTCACCAGAGGCAGATGCTCCACTATCGGTTCTTGCTGAGGCCGGCTTACAAGTCGGCAGGGTGTGAAAGTGTGATCTTCCTTTCGCTGGTGAAGGAGTGACGACTTGGCACTGGGGACATTTGACACAATTGTCTTGTGGCTGGATGAGTTGCTCCAGGCAGTCCGTACAAACCAGATGCAAGCACAGGAGAAGTTTGTGCCTCCGGATTAATGCCGATCGGCACGAGCAGCATGTTGAACTCGACAGCACCGGGTCAGACATGACAGCTAGCAGTGGAACTGTCACACAGGTCAGTATCAGCTAGTACACATACACGTACACACACAAGCAGGGAGTCGTATTTGACGACTCCCTGGTTCAACTAGTAAATAACTAGTTAGTTATTTACTTCCAGGCCAGCTAGCTCCTGCGCCCATGGGGGAAATCGAAACCGTGACAAGGAGGTAGATCTACACACCACGTGGAAACCAAACTGGAAATGCGGCTTTGCAGTTTTTTGTTTGTTTGGAATTGGAGCCTTTGCCTGGCGCCCCATGGCTTTGGTTCGTGTTACCAGGTTACATGCCGTGGCCGCATGCAGCCAACGCGTCTCCAAAGCAACCATTTATTAACGCTTAGCTAGCATGCAGTGACGTCGTGGAGAAATCACATACATGTATATGTACATGTACATCATGACATTCAAATTTATAGAGCCTATTTTCATACGTAATCAAGTAGAGCGAAACTATCATGTGTCCGGCCGGCTGTTTGCAACTGTAATAAGTAATTAGTTACTTTGCATGTAACCAAGTACATAAATACCGTTTTTGTACTCTTGCAATTACTAATACATGTACCATTGATTTTTGATTACAAGAAGACGAAAGGTCCACGCGTTCACGATCGTTGTTTCTTTCCGAATTTGAAGCCATTTTCAGTTGTAGTGTCATGGATCAGGCAAGAAAAGTCCGCATCGCAGCTGTGTTTCTCCTGACTTCGCCATGCTGGTTGTCCTTTTTGGGGCTCTTGACGACAACACAACACTCCCAAGTCAACAGGCTCCAGTTGGCCGATGACCCACTCAAACAACTGGTCCTTTCTCGACATCATTTTCTTCTCAGAAAATGCCTCGCTCTTCCGCCAGGTTCGGAGCAGAGCAGCCTCGGCCTCGTAGGTCCACGGACTCATCTCGAACAAAAAGAGGGAACAAAACAAACCTTGAAGAGACGAATGTCGAATAACTGCTCAACTCAAGCAAAGTGTCTTGAAACTAATTTTACTTGAAAGATACTGTTTTTCCGCCAAGCGTCACTCCCATCAGCGGCAACGCAGCCGATTTCCCCACGTCAGACGCAGCAGCGTCTGACGCTCAAACTAATTTACTTCCCGCGTTGCGTCAGTTGCCATGGAAAAGCTCATGATTCTGACGCTGACGCAGCATTTTTGCCGTAGTATAGTGTGACCGAGGCCGCTCTGTGAGCGGTTCTGAAAAACCTTTACTGGTACTGCCCCGTCGTAAAAGTAAGAAATTAGAACTGGCCCATTCGGCCATTGTCCCCCCAAATGCGAACTGATCCACCTAAATCGCGAATGACGGGACCCGAACGCACCAGTAGCACGAGGTTCCTACCTGTGAATGCAGATGGGGACGGTAATAATATTCGCGGGATCCGCGTCGGCACCACATGAATGTTCAGAAACACACAAACTAGCCTTCGCATCCGCAGGCCACCATCTTAGTGGCGAATGCAGACTAACAGTCGCCTATTCAAATACATGTACACTAACAAGTTCTACAAGTAACTGTCACATGCTCAGCAGCACCAAGACCAAGTTGTGTATTCTCCATGTTACTCGCATTTGGAGAGAACAGAAACAACCGTCTACAAGTTATAAGCGTCAGCTTGGCTACGCGGACATAAAGTTCACTGCACAGGCTGCGTACCGGGTACAGCCTGGTCCCAGAATGCCCAGATATGAGGCGCTCGAATGTAAAGGAGACCGGCACAGTGCAGCCGTGAGTCATCGGGGCCTATGAAGTATGAACGGCTTCAAGTCACAGAACCACCAAGCTGCTCCGCACAAGAGAAGGTAAGAGAGGAGGGATTTGTCATTACATCCAGGTGACATCCAATCGGAAACCTCCGATCAAGCAATATACAAGGTCATCAACAGAGTGAGGGGAATAAAAAAGGTAAAAAAATTAACATGTAGAATGTAGAGGTCTTCACTAAAAGTTCAGGCAACAACGAGCCTGAACAACGACAACATGACAATCGTAGGCCAGCCTAAGACATGATCAGGGAAACGACGCTGCACTCACAAAAGAAAAAAAAACGTGCAGTTGTTCGAGGTGACGACAGGCCACGGGCCAGACAACAACATCCAGTCCAACACTCAACAGGGAAGGAGAAGTCACAGCGCAGCAACATGCTGACCTGCAGTCCAATCCCAACCCAAGCAACACAGGGCATCGGAGAGCAGCAGTGTACAAAGCGGAGCAGGCATCGACGGTGGCGGAAAGTCACCAGCAACACAGCCGCCATAGCCTACTAAATCCTAAGCAGTAGAGTGTCAACACGCAGCTCCAGAGTGATCATCTTTGACATCACACAGATTAGCAGTAGCGTGTGTATAGGCACTGGACATTTTTGTGCCGTACGCCCTCGGGAGTGAACTGCGATGCATACGCAGACACCCGCACGTATCGACTGACACTCGGCTACTCACAGACCGGAGTGCTTCGTAGCGCGTGGCCAACGGGCCAGAGTACAGTTTCACAGGGGGACATCTCATGATTCACCGGCCGCGGTATCAGAACATATCGTGCATCCCCTCTTCCAGGAAGCGCTTGTAGATCTTCATGAAGTTGGCGATGAACGCCTCGATGTGATAGATGGTCTTGCTGCCTAGCTGAAGGCGATGCTCATACCGAGCAGCAAGTGCAGTCACCTCGGTCTTCAGAGATCCGTCACAATTCGCTGCAAGGTGATCCAGCAGACCCTGCAAGCATGCACACAACACAGACAGGTGTTCGAAACAATGTTCTCCAACATAGGCAGGTGTTCGAAACAATGTTCTCCAACATAGACAGGTGTTCGAAACAATGTTCTCCAACATAGGCAGGTGTTCGAAACAATGTTCTCCAACATAGGCAGGTGTTCGAAACAATGTTCTCCACATGCAACGATTGCCCATTCAACAACCTCAGACCCCTGATTGTTTCACGCACGGTTGACTTGATTCTGCCGACGTACCAAACTAACGATGGTCAAATACAAGAAGTGCACCAGCGCACCCATACACTAGTACACAGAAAAACCTGTCCCAGCGGACCACCTGTCCCAGAGGACCACCTGTCCCAGCGGACCACCATAACTTTGACCAAGGGATATAGTCTTCAGTGAAATGACCCTGGATAAGGAGGCCACATTGTAAGGTCCCTTGCCCTTGAGCAGTCGGTTTAGACAGGTTTCAATCTCTTCAGCCCCAAACCATGGACGACGGGAAATAGAAATGCACAAGAGTAAACGGCCTCAACATCAATACACACACACATACACACATACATACACATAGCAGGGTTCTAGCCAGGTCAAAATTGTAGGGGGGGGGGGGGGGGCAGGGAAAACAGTTACCCCATAACCCATTTTTCCATTTTCGAAATAACTGTCTTGCAATGCGAAATGCAACGTACGGGGCGAACACCTGACTTCGCCCCAGACAAAATTTTAATATGCCTTTATGCACCCGCTAGAACTGACTATCGACTGCATTTTCGTTGAATGGCATGAAAAAACACAAAAATCGGAAAATGAGTAGGGGGCGCGCAAACAGACCCCCCCCCCCCCCCCCCCCGGGACAAGCAAAGTGCACACTGTACCTTCATAATGATGTCAGCCGGGATGCAGCGTGTCAGCAACTCATACAGCCGGGTACGTACTTCCATGAGCCTGAAAACAATTATGCACACAGATAAGCAGACAGGTAGACACACACACACACATGCACACACACACACACCGTTCATAAGGTCGCATAGCTTGATTTAGGATGTAGGCCTGTTGAGGATCCATAAGTACAAAATACAAATAGACCAGGACCTGCCCACCCTAATGATGGCTGTAGACAGTTGAATCTTTTGATGTCTGTTCTCCACCTTGTCGGATAGCATTTTATATATTTTTACAAATAAACTGTAGTTAATTATTTGTAAACTAATGATCATGTGACTTATCAGAAGAGCGAGAAATAAGTTGAAATACCCTGGAGAGAGAGTAAGGTATCAATGTACACTATGACTCAAGGTGGAGCAAACCTCTGCTGCTCTGGAATAAGAGCAGCACCATTACGAATCAGCCCATATTACTCAGTGACAGCGGCTGACCTTGCTGGACTTTGCTGCTCAATGATGAGGCTAGCTGTCTGCTTCAAGTAGATCTCCCAGTCATTCTCAGTGATGGTCTGGTCTGCAGAGAAGGGTTGCCTGCGGAGTAAAGGAACGGAGCACACAGACACACACACAAACACTGTGCCCAGGTAACACTGCCATCCCACACACACTATTCTTTCAAAGAATCAGAGCATTTCAGAAGAACAACAATAACACCACCAACAACAGTGACAATAGCCCAGTTCACTCACTGCTGTACGTAGCACGCTTCACAGGTTAGCAGCGCTCGCCGGAGATTACGGCCACTGTACTCCGCAATGCGTTCTGCTAGCTCAACTGGCAGCTGGACCCTCTCCACGCGACATGTGTTTGACAGAATACCAGATATCTGAACGCACAGGAAATGAAATATCGATCAGTTAGAGATCAATTGGGGAGAACATGTGTTTGCGCCACAATAGCAGATGGGCACGCAGCAAATACACAGACTACTTGTGATCATGTGTACAGAGAGCGTGCGGCCAGGGTTGCTTCAGCACTTGCTAGAAAGTACATCAACGGTACTACGCATGGGTGTATGGTTTTACACCACACACTACACATACATATACACTGGTTCACTCACTACCACCCGGTGATAGTCTACAGTCTATCCAGGAAAAATAGTCCTGCCGGGTTTAAAAAGCCTGATTTAGCCCGAATTAAGCCTCAAAACCCCACAATAAAGTTGAAATTTTGAGTTTTGTACCTGCTTCTCCATACTTTCTGCCCTGGTACACCTGTCCTGTATTTGTAAAGCCTGACCGAATTTCTAACTCCACATCCTTTGACTTTTTCACCCTCAAATGTGGCAAGGAAAACTGGCATGGGCAACCAAAAGTCATGCAGGGTGCCAACTTTGGATGACAGAACCATAGACGGCAGATATGGCAGCTAAGCGGCGGGGGTGAGAGGACAGCAGATTGCTGTAGCACGCGCACACACACACCAAGAACTACACGGCTATGCAACTGCGTGTACAGGAAAACCTGTCATGGCGACCACTCTGATAGAGGGGCCACATGCTCAACAGGACCATTACAACCAGGACCAAGGGTTGTCATTTCCAGTCAAATGACCCTGGATAAGGAGATCACCTGCACACGGGACCACTTTTGTAAGGTCTCCTAGAGCGGTCGCCTTAGACAGGTTTCACTGCCCAGTGACTGACCTCCTCCAAGGTTGGCGCGGGCACACGCACGCTCAGACACCGGCTGCGCACGGCCGGTATCACCTTGCTGGGCGAGTTGCAGCAGAGGATCAGACGACACGACGCCACATACTTCTCCATGGTACGACGCAGCGCGTGCTGGGCATCCTTGGTCAGACGATCCACCTCGGAGAGAATGATGACTGAGGGAGAAAAACAGTGCACATAAGGACAATGTGCACGTTGGCACGGGATGCAATTCCAAGTCATAATCTTCACAGAGTCTTCACACACGCATGTACATAGCACACACGATTGTCAGAGAAGCCACCATTGTATAATACGTTGCTCCAAGAGTGACTGGATTGCTCACAATAGTGCACTTGTGAAGAAATCCGTTCACACAACAATTCGCCCCACCCATCAAGCACAATCCCAGAGCAGCAACGCATACCTTTGAAGTTTCTCTGGCTAGCGGCATCCAGTTGCTGTGTCTGTGCTGCACCCTTGATGATGTCCTGTATGATCACACGGTCGTGAAGGCCAGCGTCGCTGCAACATACCACCGCACAATACAGTCACAGAAGACGGTACATTGCAGCAGATAGCAGAGGATGGACAGATCGGCTTTAGTAGCATGCTACATCTAATAACAGTCTGCATCTTGTTGCGGGTTGGCAATTGACTTTTTTAATAATGGCTGATTGGCATTGTACAATTTTTATCGGTTCTTATACTGGATTTTGGTAATTGTTTTATTCCGCTTGGCTTTGACATTCTGTATCACAATTTGTGATTTCCCAAATAAAACTTTGAGCACTAGAGGATATAGGTAGCAAGTCTAAGTGACAGTACGACTAACTCAGCAGAACCCAAAGCGGAGGCCATCTTGAACTACACGTGAACTCTTGAGTGCATGAATGCAGCCGTGCTAGATCCACTGCGCACCTCGGCGTCCGCAGTGCTATAGGGCCGCACGGATCGGGACTTGTTATGCACACAGGGCTGGATTTCACCCGCCATAACTGTAAGGCACGGGCCAATGAAATCTGATCTGCCGGCACAGCATGCCAGCCCAAGACCTAGTACAGTTGTGCTCGGTGAAATCTGACCCAGAGTACTACACATTCGGCGCCCTCAACTTGCACGGCCCTTGACGCCCCGGAAGTGGCACGAATGCAGCTGGACGTGCACATGTACAAAATACAACGACGTAATCTGAACTGGTCCAGGGCGCCAGCTTTGCATTTGGGTTGGATTTCGGTGAGCGCAACTGTACACGACCATCAACTGCACAGGTTTGTAGCGTATTCGGCTTCGTGGACATGTAGAACTGGGTGTCATCCCCTAGGTCGGGGGCTGTATGTCACAGGCCCAAAGAGAGGACATATACAACACGCACACACATTTTCCTGTAACAACTTTCAGAAGACTGGCTCCTACCATATACATGATATCGATCAGTGTCCATTGTTTCATGCCTGTGCGAGTGACCAAAAACCACTGGAAATTACAAACACATCCCCTGAACTCCCATGGAACGTTTTGCCCGCCCCATAAAGCTGACATGGCCGTTAGCTCACCTTGGGTTGACCTCGATATGATAATTGCTTGCTATTGTCGTCACCTCAAGCTTCTTATTTGATGGCGTCTGAAATGAATACATAGCATACACATCAACTACAACATGTAAGTGCACAGTTGGCAGAGTAGAGGCTACACAGCCATACCATCTGCGAATTCCTACTGGACTGCAAAATAGGGATTCCCTGGGAAGTATAGGAAAATATGCACCATGCAGCAGCAGAACACACACCACACACACACACCCACACACACACATCATGTACCACACATACCATGTACCACACACACACACACGGAGCATGCATGAACGACGACGTACGGTAAACTCCTGATGTTCCACACGCAGCTTCTCCACCCCAGCCCCATAGACCTCACGCAGTAGGCACATGATGCGCGTCTTCTTTCCGGCGCCGGACGGCCCAAACACAAGAAGGTGAGGGAAATCCCCGCTTTTCACCTGCAGCAGACACACAATTAGAGTTACATCACAACGCTGGTACCCTTCAGGCAATAGCCACCCCCCCCCCCCCCCCCCACACACACACACACATACATTCTTGAAATATTGGGTCAGACTGACAGTCCCAGGGTGGTGCATGTAACTCCAAAGTTCACACATGCAATAGTGCGGGACAGTCGGGTTCACATCAGCCAAAACAGCATACAGTAATACAGTAAAACCTGTGCTTGCCGGACCCTGTACCAAGTGGAATCCTGTATTGACCGGACACATTTGTCATGCAGCAAAGCGCTGTGGATCGAACGTGCATCCCTACATCAAGCGAGATCCTGTTATATCAGGAGAGTTCTGCTGCAACAAGGGTGTCCTCCTGTTATATCAGGAGAGTTCTGCTGCACCAAGGGTGTCCTCCTGTTATATCAGGAGAGTTCTGCTGCACCAAGGGTGTCCGGATAGGGCTGGCTTTACTGTACCAGTAAGCGGCAGTCACGTAAAGCATCCGAGAAGGGCATGTTGGTACGCAGCCCAAAGCCCGGTCATTAGAGAGGTTGTGCACAACGAAAATCCGTAAGATTAGGCCGTAATGAACTGGCCTGACGAGGCACAGTAGCAGTTTTCGCGGTTGCTTCTTACGTCGAACACTACGAAACTTCGCTATGCGATTATTGGACAAGCAGCACGTCATCCCTACGCTGCGTGTGTGCGTGCGCGTGCGCGCGAGCGTGTGTGTGTCGTGTTTATAGATCTAAAGAAGGCCCACGACTCCATTCCCAGACAAGCCCTGTGGTCAACACTGCAGCGTATCGGCGTTCCTCCCTGCATGCGGAGCGTGATCCGTACACTACACGATAGGACGATGGTGGAGGTCCGGGGTGAGGGTGGTTGAAGCGAGGCATTCCCCGCGACTAATGGTCTGGTTGAAGTGAAGCATTCCCTATGGTCTACGGCGCGGCAGTGCAGTGCACTAGCACCAGTCCTCTTTAACATCTACTTCTCGACGGCGGGTACACACTGGCACTCGGAATGCCCGGATGCTGGCGCTATCGTCAAGCACAAACCTGGACGTAAAAACGTTGGCGATCGCACTACAAAATCGCGGCTGCTTTCAACCTGTGTCACTGAGACACTTTTTAGCTGAGGTTGCTGCAGTCTTTTCCGCCACTCAGCAAGACTTCGAGTCGTCCACGACCAGCCTATCCAATGTGCTTCTCAATGGGGTTTGACTGTCAGTGTGGCTTAAACCAAATGCATGGTGGCGAACACTCCCGCGAATGCGCCAAATGTACTGGACAGTGTTGAAGCCATAGATTCTGTGGAATCGTGTACGTACCTGGGCAGTGCCATACATCGCTATGGTTTATCTGCCCGTGACGTACAGGCCCGTATCGGCAAAGCATCCAAAGCCTTTTGGTAATTTGAAGCAAGCTGGATTCGAGAACCGGCCATTGAGTCTGCAGTGTCGTCGCCGCTTGTATGTTGCCGTGGTGCTCTCTACCCTCTTGTACGGCGCGAAGACCTGGACAACGAAGGCTCCGGACCTACGCATCTCAACCTCTTCCACCATCAATGTATCAGAACTATCGTCGGAGTGTTGCGACAGCAGCAATGGGAGACACACGTAACGTCCTCAGCCCTTGCAAAGACCCTAGGAGTGCCTGAGGGCATTGGTCTCACCATACGGGAGCGACGGTTGCGCTGGCTTGGACACATGGCACGGACGGAGGACCATCAGTTGCCGAAGTGCGTTCCCTTTGGTGAACTGCCTGCCCCGTGCCCAGCGCAGGGTCCATGCAAGAGGTTGAGGGACATTGTTGTGGATGACTTTGCGTCAGTTGAGACATCGGTACCAGCATGTGGATGATACGATGGGGCCCAGAATCGCCCGGAGTGGCGTGCCATTGCCCGTCGGCCACCTAAAGCACCCTCTGCTGCCAGCCACCGTTGCACCTGCGGCCGTGTGTTCCATCAAAGCAGCGACCTGAAAGGCAATCAGTCTTTCTGTCATGGACTGGAGTAATGACAGTGCGCTATCATTGCTACGCAATGGGCAGTGGGCAAAGTCAAGACCAAAGTGTGTGTGTGTGTGTGTGTGTGTGTGTGTGTGTGTGTGTGTGTGTGTGTGTGTGTGTGTGTGTGTGTGTGTGTGTGTGTGTGCATGGTGTGTGTTTGTGTGTGCGCGCGCGCGCGCGCGTACGTGTATGTGGTGTGTGTGTGTGTGTGTGTGTGTGTGTGTGTGTGTGTGTGTGTGTGTGTGTGTGTGTGTGTGTGTGTGTGTGCACATATGTGTGTTTCAGAACCATAGCTGTTCGGTGGGCACCCCAGTGAAGGTAAGACAACATCATGGGACCAGGCGGGTCTTACCATGCGTCTCAGCTGATCAGCCTGGTCTCTGTGGTAGTCCAATTTATCCAGAGACGTCGGACGATACTTGTCCACCCACAAACTCATGACGACGGGCACACGTGTCAAGAAAGAAGAGCACGGTTTTCAGAAGGCGGGATTGAACAACCCCACCTAAATTCCTTCTGGGAAAGTGCCAGTGATGGGCAAAAAATACTGCTACTAGTGTCGATGGTATCGGACTGTAGAAATCAGATAGGCAGATCCAAGGGTGAAGGCCAAAACACAAAACTCGAACTGAGTGAGCCTATCCTGAAGACTTCCTTCAAAAAAATACTTCGAGCATGAGATCGATTCAGCCTTTTCATGGTTTCCCGCGTTTCGTCGGGAAATATTATTATTATCACATGTAATTATATTTTATGACGTCACATTCCCCCTTTTCATTAAATTTTTGACTGATTTTTTAGCACAGTTTCAAAGTCTACCGGTACCTCGTACCGTACAAATAAAAGGCTACGAAGCAGGGAGTAGTAAAATAATATTAATAGCGAGGTTTTGCATTCCGAAATTCGGCAAAAAGATTCGGCACGCGGGAGCGAGGTCGAAAATGCACGCGAAGATTCGGCATGTTTGTTCGGAAAAAGCTCACTTTGCCGAAAATATTTTTCGGATGAATTTTCTGTAGAAGAGCGCTAGCGCGTGATTTATTCAAAGAGGTTTCTTATCTCGGCATCGCTTCCCGGCGTCTTTGGCGACATCAGCGTCGTCAGCTACATTGTACCTCTGATTGCTCCTCAACTGCTTGTCTACTCTCTTTCGCCTGTAGTGTCCTCACCTTCATCTGTGTGGCTGAAAAGACTATGGCGATACTCATAAAATTTGACTTGGCCATGGAGTTGGCTTTTCTGAGGCGACTGAGGAGACAGGTTTGGCCCTCGGCTCTTAGGGCGATCAAAGTTCGTTGGAATCAGCAAGAATAGGAGCACGGGAGAGGACGTTGCTGATGCTAGGGCTCACGAAATGAAAACACATCATTTTCGACTTGCAAAACAAACGTTGGTACGAAAATTCGACATTTTGATGTTCGACAAATGACCGAAAAGCGCCGAACCGAAATTCGGAATGCAAAACCTCACTATTATTATGTATTTTACTACTCCCTGCTACGAAGTCGTGATCAAACAAATAAAAAATTGCAGAGCTAGAACAGTACTCAGTACTACAAAAGGGAGGCGAGTCGTAACCAATTATGTCACAGTTTACAACAACTATCCCTACCTCAAGCAAAGTCAAACTACAGTACAACAGCTGTGTACTATGAAACCAACGTCGTTGTTGACCTGTTTGAAGTAAGTGTACTGCTGCCATCGTAGGTGTTCGTCCCACTTTATTTGTCTGGCCCTTGGTACATGGTCCGACTCATTCCTGGGCTGATCTACTGGCTTAGAAATTGGCAAGGTGCTGCAGAATGTTTCCATTGGCTTCATCTGCCAGTGTGTGTCTCTCAAAGTTCCTGCCATCGGCGAAGAGGCTGGCTGACCCTATCGCCAGCATTCCTCATTCCCACACGACGCTGAGATTTTTTTCGCCTAATGTTGCGTCGAACAGCAAGGGGTCTCCGACGGGGACGAATGCCGGTGCTGATTGCTCTAGCACATCAGAGCCAACCTCTAATATAGCAGTATCAGCGTCAGGCGCAACCACCACACGACGCTTGCCCAAGTGCCTGACGGTAATTGTGAACAGGGAATTCGATGGCCTCCATAGTGAATTGGAGTATGTGCGCCTGAACCGGCAGTGCCGTTATGCACGCGAGGCGTCCGCTAAATTTATGGGTCGCGGACTTCCCGTACGTTTGCAGTTGGCCAATATGTCGGAGGCGGCATTGAAAGAAATGCAGAACGGGTTTGTGAAGACTGCTTTCAGCCACGCTGCAATCGCGTCAATGCATACCGCAGCTCCTTGGGAGATGTACCCCCGCGATAAGCTAGTTATGCTGACGCCGGACTCGGACAATTATCTGCAGCATGTCGATCTTGACCGTGTGTACGTGCTGGGAGGCATTGTGGATTTGCAGTTGAAGGTAAACATCACGTTGAAGCAGGCCAAGGAGCAAGGCATTGCACACGCGCGATTGCCCATCCAGGAGTACCACACACCGACCGCTCACCTAGCCCTGCCGCTGAACCATGTCGTGGATATCCTAGGCAGGCACGCGCTGGGTGCTGACTGGAAGACCACGATCAGCGACATTGTGGCCAACACGAAAGTGAAGTAGGCGTGAGGCGATATAGCAGAAACACTTGCTGTGTCGGCGCAATGAAAGTTTATAGAAGCTCTTGGTACGAATTGACAGGGCGGCTGGGTACCTGCTACCAGTTGCTTTCTACTCAAAGTGGCCAAACTGCCAGTTTGCTGTGCCTGCTAATGTCTCGACAGTCTATATCAGTGGGGACGCAACACCGAGCGCATGGATGCAGCGGTGAACCTTGCGCCGCCTGACATCCGACCAGTGGCTGTCAGGCAGCGGGGACCGCACACCACACCGCCGCTATGGTCAGTCGTGCGGAGTGACGTGACGTGATGTTGACGTGAACCGTCAGTTCAGGGCGCTGCTCACAATGCCACCGTGCTGCACAGGCTGCCTAACAGTTAGCAACAACAGCAGCAGCACCTGGCTGCCATGCAGCTTCGACAGAGTGTGTTGGGTTAAGACATGTGTGTTCGTGTGTGTGTGTGTGCGTGTGTGCGCACCGGTATGCGTACAATGATGTGAGATACACACACACACGCACACACACACACACACACACACACACACACACACACACACACACACACACACACACACACACATGCGCACACATCTCACTCAGAGGCTCAGTAGTACTCAAGTAGCATGGACACTATGGTCAGCAGCTCATAACAACAGCAGGGGCTGTCTTCTTGTTCTTTTTCACATTAGCCTGTAGCTTACACCTAACACATCAGCTAGGTGAAAGCGAAACCACTGCTGCCGTGCTTGCTGTCATCATTGCTACTTCTGCTTTGTCTGCCTGCTGAATTCTAGTGTTGGCTGTAACATACCTATCTAGTCTCCTCTGTCCCTGGGCAGTGGGCTGCACTGCTGGGCATTCCCGATACTATACTCATACACCGATGTTGCGTGGTGCTGCCTGGGGAGGGGGTACTTCATTCCCTATACTGTAGTCATACACCGGTGCTGCCTGGGGGGGGGGGGGGGGGTACTTCATTCCCGATACTGTACTCATACACCGATGTTGCCTGGGGGGAGGGAGGGGGTACTTCATTCCCTATACTGTACTCATACACCGGTGCTGCCTTGGGGGGGGGGGGGGGGTACTTCATTGACGGTTTTCTCGTGCACTGCTCTGTCACGTGTGTGTACAGTTGTGGACAGGAAGCAGACGGCGAGTTGAGTCCACGCCACACACGTGTGCGAGACGTCTCACTCGCACGAGGACCAAGGGTCTAGGTGTGCGTGCTGTAGGACATGCTGAGTGCTAGGAAGTGTACACACTTCGAAGTAAATCTAACGTTTCTGACCAGTGAAGTTTCTTTGTTGAATTTCATTGTGGCCGCAATGCCCAACATCGGTATGCATGGTATGTGCTATGTGGCTCATGCACCTGTAACGCATACTCTTGTTAGCTTGCCATGACAATGACGTCATCCTGTCATCGGGACAGCTTAGCACACTCAGCAGTCACAGCACTGCATGGGGGGGGGGGGGGGAGAGAGAGAGAGAGAGAAGGGGGTTATAACAACTACTGGACCAGACGCGTAGCCATACACTCATGTCTCCCCTGTCCGGGCCAGAGGTCTGGCGTATGACGTCGCTGTTTCCACAAAATAGGCCAAGGAGTACATGAAGTACAATTTCCACCTCGCCCATAGAGTGTTGTAGACCGGGGTGTCCGTATCTGCAAAGTCTGGACAAGAGAGATACGAGAGTGTACGTGTACTTCTAAAGGACCAGCAGTGGGAACTGCAGTGCATGCTGTTCAATGAAATCCGATCGGGCGAGTCAAGTTTGCGCCCTGCCCAGCTCACAGCCCACAGTTCATAGAACGATGAAGAAGAATACGTCGGGATTACAAGTTGTGCATTGCACTGGTGGAAAATATTGGGAAAGCCAAACCTAAAGCTTCTACTAGTGCTAAATTTATCACTACCCTAACTAATGCTGCTGTGGGGTCAAGTCCAGCGAAATAAAAACTCAACTCTTCGTAAATATATCTAATTTGTATCATGAAATAACCTAGAATCTAGATGTCTGGAGATAGAGTCACAAGTAAAAGAATAAAATATTAATAATAATAATAATTATTATTATATGGACCTAGCATGATATCCTGTGGTATGGTTACATTTGTCTTTCTGCTTAGAATAATGTTTTTTTAAGTGTACGCGTATGTTGGTTTCAAGAGATCTGGCAAATATGGGGCTGCATTTCTATAATTATATTCAATGTTATAAAGTTCACCTGGGGAGTTCTACACGAGCTGCTGTCTCTAGTAACATTGGCGCTGCATAGCCAGCAGCGCCTGCACTCACATCGGACCTGTGCACTGCTAGCCGAAAGGTGCGTGCATGCACGGACCCGCTTACATTAGGATGAGGGTGATGGAGCTGAATATGCCGGCCACCTTGACAGGAAGCTGTGGAGTGCTCTCACTCCAAGGCTTCAGAAGTAGTGGCCAGAGGCACAATTCAACTTGGCTCCTGCGACGTGTGCTTGTGTTCCGGAGTGCGAGCTCGGCATCAGAAAAGCCGGAGTGTGCGGTGCTTAGCTGGAGGACTGGCTCAGTGGTTTCATTAGAAGGTAAGTCTCTCCTCTCTCTCTCTCTCTCTCTCTCTCTCTCTCTCTCTCTCTCTCTCTCTCTCTCTCTCTCTCTCTCTCTCTCTCTCTCTCTCTCTCTCACACACACACACACACACACACACACACACACACACACACACACACACACACACACACAAGCTTTCTGGTCTCAAGACGAGTAGAACGAACGGTTGACAACACCGGGAGTAATTGTTAAGTGCCAGTGCGATGTAATGAGAAGTCGCCACCCGGCTCCAGGTCATCGTGTGTGCCTTGTAGAATACTGTAGATGCCACGGGCATCGGTGCTGCTCCGCTTTACTGCCGACCTGCAGGAAACCGAGGCAAGTACAAACACCGAGAATGTGTGGCTGCATGACGCCGCAGGTCTGGGGAGAAGCGCCCGCGACGTGTGAAACACAAAGGCATACATGTGTGTGACACCACACACATGCACACGCACACATGCACACACACATGCACACGCACACATGCACACGCACACACACACACACACACATGCACACGCACACACGCACACGCACACACACATACACACACACACACACACACACACACACACACACACTCATACTCCTGCCCATCGCTGAAGCGATGATAGCGAACAAGCTATGTTAGACATAGCAACTTGTGCTGGGACTACACCATTCAACAGCTTGCAAGGCTGATGAATTGACCGCCGCTCGTGTTAGCCTGATCTACACCACGCGGCTGGTTGAAGTGGCTTTTTCTGGCCAATGAAATCCCCCCCCCCCCCACCCCCCACCCCCCCCACACACACACACACCCACACACAAACACCCACACACGTACACACTATATTGTTCTTCGCTAACTCCTTACCCGCTGTGCAAGGACATGAAGGTGGCCGTGCTCACGCCTTGTACACGTCTTCTGTCACGCCACCAGCGAACCAGTGGCGGTACGCAGATCGTTAAAAGAATGAACTTGACGGAGGCCAACAGCACAATGATGAATACCAGAAAGACAATCTGTAGGTGCACAGGACAACACCAGTTTCTTCAATATTCGGAGGCTTGGACAGCAGGGCCAAGACAAGAATACGGCCGACTCCTGATATAACGAACACCATTGTGCAGGGGAGAATTACAGTTGTGGCAAGTGAAATCCGACACTTGCCATAGGGGACAGCGCCTCAAATGGATATCAATGATGTAATGCACTGCACCTAATTTGTACTACAGGTAGACTCCCTTTAATTCGAACCTCAAATTGCCAGGCCCTAACTTCGAATTATCCGGAACTTCTAATTATCCAAATGCAGCCCCATGCAGTGATATGTATGTCAAAATGCTTGAAATCGCATGCTGAATATTTTTTGCACTTTTTTATTTGCATCAACGAAACATAGGTGGTTGTATACGCGTACCGGTCATGTACAACGGATCATCAAAACACTGGGTCGACACAAAATCTGATTTGACATTATCTTCATCTTCTAGTGAAGAAGTTGTCAGTCACTGCAGCTTTCCTGAAACAATTTCAACGGAAAAGAACTGCGCTGCCTAATCCGCGTCATGAAAGGCCGTCGGACAGCAGCACGTCGTTTTGAAGAACGGAAGTGGAGCATAAGCATAGACAATATTTACAACAATAGTGTTGTTGTGCGCCAACATCTCCGCGCACCAGCTGGCGCGGCAAGAAAGGCCATCGAGATCCGCGAAGAGAGTCGTCCACCTGGAAGAAGTCGTCTTCAATCAAACCTTTGCAATTTGCCTCGCACGGGCTTGAATCAAATTTCGAGAGAAGGTGGGTTTCTTGAACGCTATTAGTCGATCCTGCAGCGGATCATCGATCGATTTTTGAGCTACTCTTGGCTAGAGAAGGAGAAAAGAATGAACTTCGAATTACAAGGATAGCAACTCAATCTCACTTCGAAATAAGCGTTCAAATGACATAGCGAATGTACTGTAAACAGCTCTTCTGTACGAAGACTGGGTTCGAATTATCCACCGGCGCACTTTTCGTACTTCGAATTATGCATTCGATTTTGACTTGAAGTGACTTGCAGAAGATCGGTACGACGAAAAAGTTCGAATTACACGGAATGTTCGAATTATACCGTATTCGAATTAGAGGGAGTCTACCTGTATAGAGCCGTATGCATCCCCAAACAGGTCGAAAGGTCACAGCTTAGATACACACAGTTCACAAACATGGTACACATAAGGAGTATTGGTATCCAATTCCCATTCATTTTTGCCAGCACCTTTTGAACCTTGACTGTGATGAGTACGAATTCTGTCATCAGACAGATAAAGTTGCATGCAGCACATGTACTGTACGTATGCAGGGCTGCAGAGGCTGCAGGATGCACGGTGCAGTCCCTTATGCCAAGTGTCGGATTTCACTTGCCACAACTGTAGTTCTTTATAACAGAAAATGTGTGTGCGTGTGTGTGTCTGCGTGCATGTGTGTGTGTGTGTGTGTGCGTGTGTGTGCGTGTGTGCGTGCATGTGTGTGTATGTGTGTGTGTGTGTGTGTGTGTGTGTGTGTGTGTGTGTGTGTGTGTGTGTGTGTGTGTGTGTGTGTGTGTGTGTGTGTGTGTGTGTGTAGGTATGTATGTGCGTGCGTGTGTGTGTGTGTATTGGAGATACTAGTACAAGACCGTATTGGAGATACTCAGCGTGACTTACAGCGTAGACCCTTGCAGGGTTGTCGTCTGAGTTGTCAAGCTCCACCTTGGGAACTGTGTAGTTGCCTAGCAGCAGTGGACATTCCAACGCGTCATTGCTATCCGGTCCGTCACCACCACACGAAGTTTCAATCAGCCTGCAGTCGGTAACAGGCACATGTACACACGCGTACACACACGTACACACACACACACACAAGCGGCATGTCAGTATGTTGTTGCATACACACTTTCATAGTACAGAGCATACCTGCAAATGATCATAATTTGAAGTAGTCGCCTCTGGAAATAATGACCCTCGATCTGGCATGAGAAGAGTGTTGTGATTCGCAAGGTTGAAAGTATGTAGTCAACTGGCTCAAGACAGTGATGTCATTGGTCGAGAGGTCGACTGTACATAAGAAGTAACAGCAGGGCATTGCTAACGCTGGGAAAAGATCGCCGCCAGAAGTTGGGGAAACTCTGAAAGAACCAGCTCACCGCTTCCTGCTCTCGACGTCCTCAGTAGTCTCCGGAGTGCCGTACAACGTGAGACGCCAGTTGTGTAGAAGACCGTGACGATTCACATCATCTGCATACACACGTTCACACCACACACACACACACACACACGCGCACACACACACACCCACACGCGTTCACACCCACACGCACACACACACACACGTTCACACACACGCACACACGCACACCCACACACACACCCACACACCCACACACCCACAAATTCACACATCATACGGAAATTAACTCCAGCCATGCGCTTGCATGCTTGCTGCACAACATGACACAAGATTTCAAGATACGGTGTGATGCAGGCACTGACGTGTTTAGCTTTGGATTTGTGCGTGTGTGTAAGGTATACCAGGAGTAGTAAAATATCGACTATTTTACTACTCCCTGGTGTGTGCATGTACGAGGTGATTCGCAATTTTTGGACATGTCGCAATTTTTGGACAAATCAGTTAAATATGGAAGTAGAGTCCCCCTGAGTCGTTGTCCTTTCCTTGGTGGACAAATCTTTGACAAGAGTGTCTTCGTGTGGTCCTCAAGTTTCTTCGTGCCAATTTTTAGCGGTGAAGGCCGTTTCTTTCTGGGTGTTTTCTTTATTATTCTTAGGTAATGTAATGAGTAATTTTGAAAATTTCGATTAAATAATAAATGATTGAGGATTCCGTTGACTCTACGTCGCATAACGGAGAGAATGTCGACATGGGGGATGTTGTATCCCTTCCATCAACTCCAGGGACTACGTATTCCAGCTCGAATCCGCCTGGAAGAGTCTCCTCGCCTTCTCAACCGGTGCGTTTGTGGAGGGGTTCTGGTCAGGAGAAATCTCTTTTAGCAGTGCGAGCGTTCCACTCACCTGGCACCAGTGAACACTTCCTAACCAAGAAGGACGCAGCGGCTAGTTACGGCGCTAGCCCTCCACTCTTTGCGAAATATGAGAAGTAGATGGGACACACTGGAGTGCTCTCCTCTGTTCTTGAATATGACGTCCATGAAAACCCTTGAGTGACCCTTTAAATTGTGTGTCACATTGAAAAGCCTTGAAACGCTTGCTATGAACGGCCTGTCATTAGAATTCATATCAGCCGGTCTCATAGGCATAGCCTTACCCCATTTTCATGTCCTGTGCAAGTTTTACTTGTTCACACCATTGCAGACTGCTGCTAGATGCTATTTAATTTAGTTGTCCAATAATTGCTCGCATTGAAAAAGCAGTAGAAAAAGACACCTTCAATCAGGTCAAGTTGTGGCCGCATGCTTCAACTCTATGCCTTCAGGTGTGTGTGGTGGTGGTAAAGCATAAGTGTGCCAGTAGAAAGGCAAGAAAGAAATTTAATTTATCTTACAAACCAACATAATGGGGTGCTATTTAATTTGAGGGTCCAAAAATAGCAAATGACCTCGTACCACATTACGGAGGATTAGCAAGACGAAATTCGCGTTCGCTCTCCAAGGAAAGTCGAACTCAGTGACGGAATTCGTGTTATGAGAAGGATTAGCAAACAGAATTCGCACATGCATGATGTTGACACGACGTACATTGTGTACAGACAGTACAGCGTGGTAAATTTATGACTGCCCTGACACGAATCCGCGATTCGTGTTCAGACTACTTTTCCGAACGAAAAATGCGAAAGTTCGCGAACTGAAAAATGTTTGCGAACGCGAACTTGAATTTCGTCTTGCTAATCCTCCTTGTTGTCGGTGGATTGGTCTGCTGCCAAGGTGACTCATTAATTTTAAAATTTTAAATTAATGGCATGACAGTAGTCCTGCTTTAATATGCAGGACTACTGTCATGCCAAACGCTTGCGAGCAAGTCGCGTACGTACCCGTGTCTTGCACCGTCAGCGTCCAGTTGCCTTGCGGGTCCTCGCCCCAGCAGCGCACCGTGGAGAAGTTCCAGTTGTGCAGGCCGTGCGTCTTGCTGCACACACAAACAACAGTTACAGGAAGTTACACGTTGGTGCAGGCAACGCAGGCTTTTTCCACTCAACTATTCCAACAACATTCCCGATAACCATGTCACCAGTTAGGGATCTCAGCGCGTGCAGTGCGCAGGGTGTTTGCGCATACATTGCGTCATCGAGTTTTGAGTGCAGCTCGCGGGCACAGCAGAAAAATGGCGACGGTCGATTTTCGACACTAGCCGACGCGGTGGACACTAGCGGAATCGTCATCTTCATCGTCGTTCGAACATACTTTGTAATTCCCGCGAAGGACAGCGTGGCCAAGGCGATATTGCCCCCGTCGATTTTCCTATAATTTGCCATGCGGCAAGAACCCACTTCAGAGAGGATTCAGTCAAAAATTCAGACGTTTTCTCCGGTTAGATTGTCCTAACTTCGATTTTCAGTGCATCAGCCATCCCGAACATCGCCGCCATTATCACTCGGAGAGAAGACATCGCGCTCAGTAGAAGAGGTGTTCACGCTGCGTCCAAGAGTGAAAGATTGTGCTCTTTGACCCTCCATAGTTCCTCTGAGAGAGTGTCTGGGAGATAGGTAGCTTGGAGATGGCCGTAGAACGTGCTTTCCTGGACGCAATATTCAGCCATTTCTACAGTCTTCTTCAACTTGATTTATTTCGAAAAAATGTTCTTTTCCACGATTTCTGCACTGGACGCGTTTGGGATCGAAAATCTCACCTGCGCAGACTGGCTGCGCAGTTCACGCGCTGAGATCCCTACACCAGTGCCACAGAAGCGGAAAGGTGGTCCTCGGCCCGACCTGTACACGAACCCGTAATTTTCATATTTTCATTAATATTCGTATAGCAAGGGTGCAGAGCTCCCAAGAGCCTGCACCTCCAGTGATGGCTTTATGTCACGACTTGTGTTCAGAATTACATCATCTTTGTGATGTCATCAGCTCATGCGTGCATACGAGCTGTGAGGTCGACCGCACGCAATGCAGTATTATTGTGTGCAGTCAAACGGATTGCGTCATGGAAATGACGTAATTCTGAAATTAGATGTGACAAAAGTGTACACCACACCACGGATCACGGCAAACGCTAAAATATGTGTATGTCAAATTGTCAATACCCCACCACCACCAAAAAACCCATGAGTGCACACACGCACCATCACCATCACACACACACACACACACACACACACACACACACACACACACACACACACACACACACACACACACAATATTACGTACTGGTCATGGATGCGTGGTGTTGCAAGGACAGAGGCAGTGCCGCGGGGCGACGTCAAGATAACCTGCAGAGCTCCACGGCGACGGATGGACACATGGATCTGATGAATAGCAGTGAATAGAAATGGAGGGGGGAGGGAAGAGAGAGAGAGAGAGAGAGAGAGAGAGAGAGAGAGTTAGTGAGTTACCGCATGTTGACAATCATGTGATGCGTGGTACATGTATTCCGTAACAACAATATAGCCGTGCCTGCACAATGAAATACATGGTCAATGTTGTGCAACGGTGATCAATGCAAGACAGCACTGATGACAGCCAAACTCACAAAATGCATACAATGTAGTTACCGAAGTAGTAACTTAGTACACTAGCATACAGACATGGAGAGTCTTCACAATGTACTTGAAAGAGCATGCTTTGATCATGCTGTTCTGTAATCACTCACCTGGACCACCACATGCTCCAAAGTGGAGATGAAATCCAGTTCCGGAACTGTATGACAGTACACAACAGCACAGATAGTGTCATCTTTGTGGCCGACAAGCTCCTACAGCGCGGCACTGTCCAAGAACAATTTCTGTGTGTGTGTGTGCATGTGTGTGTGTGTGTGCATGTGTGTGTGTGTGTGCATGTGTGTGCATGTGTGTGTGTGTGTGTGTGTGTGTGTGTGTGTGTGTGTGTGTGTGTGTGTGTGTGTGTGTGTGTGTGTGTGTGTGTGTGTGTGTGTGTGTGTCCCATATGGTGCAGTGGTATGTGCAGTCGATTTCCAATCGAGAGGTTGCGGGTTCAATTCCCGACGATTATGGTCGCACACGTCTTTCTTCTCTTTCTCGGTCTCTTCCTGACTTTTCTTTCATTCTCCTGGGTGGTTACCAACAGCCAGTGTATGCCGGAGTATGTGGTGTGGTGTGTGTGTGTAGAAAAAAAAAATGGAAAAATGAAAAATAGGGATTCACTGGCCAGAAAAAGTCACTTCAATCAGCTGTGTGGTGGATACCAGGCTAAAAATAGTGGCGGTCAATTCATCAGCCTTGCAAGCTGTTGAATGGTGTAATCCCAGCACAAGTTGCTATGTCTAACATAGCTGTTCGCTATCATCGCTTCCGCGATGGGCAGGTCTGAGGTCTGAGGTGTGTGTGTGTGTGTGTGTGTGTGTGTGTGTATTGCTTGCTTCCTGGCATCAGGTAAGGTCTCACCGTCATGATCTGGTAACGGGATCCTAATATGCATACCGCATGTCAGAGCTGGATTGCAAACCCTGCTGTATCCATTTTCTTTACGTATTTTTTTCATGATGCAGAGCTCACGGACTTGTCAGTTTGAGCACTCCGGCAAGGTACGTTCGGGCCTGGTTTAAATCTGGCTTTGGAAAATTTATTTTTCATTGCTATCAGGTTTGGCCTCATTTTCTCTGTGCTGCGCTGATGAGTCCACAAAGGACGAAACAGTTCTGTCCGCAGATTGAGTACATTTCCTTTATAAATGTTCAGTCGACCCCAAACCTGAATCAGCTTACCGAGCGCCTTCAGCTCGCACCCGTATTTCGATTATTTGGCACCTAGCGAGTTTTGCATTGCAGCTCTGCACTTGGTGTTTGCTTGTTGCCAGAAATGAAGCTGAGACCCTACAGTAGGGATGTCAGCGAACGCACTGCGCAGGCCTCTGCGCATGCATTGCGTCATCGATTTTTCGAACGTGATCGCGGCCGACAGAGAAAACATGGCCGCGGTCTGTTTGCACCGCTGGGAGTCGTAAAATTACTGTTCTTCTGTTCCCGCGACCATTCAAATCATACACGATACGGAGGACCCACGTACTCACCACGGTCTCCCCGGTCGATTTCTCTGAAAGTTTGCACATCGTGAAACACCAGTATGAGAGGTGTTCAGGCCAATTTTCAAGGGATTTCCCTGGTTGGATCGTTCCAAAATCGGACTTGCATTTCTCGCTCGCGACCATTTCTTGCGCGATGGAAGCGCCCTGCCCTGGTGAGTAACCAGCGTCACGCTTGGTAGAGAGTTGCTTCAATCAGCTCCCTGATGTCTTCGCTGCCATTGTCAGAAGCGATGGACCATGAATTTGTTTGAGAGTCTCTGGATGCTACTTTTCCTCAGCCTAGTTTTCAGCCATTCCGTGCATCTTCTTCGCACGATTTATTTTGCAAAAAAATGAAAGCGTTCATGAGTTTTCTTGTCGGCCGCGCGTAGATGGGCCAGGATGACCTGCGCAGATGGACTGCGCAGTGCGTTCGCTGATATCCCTACCTACAGTCGGCAAAGCTGCCCCTGCCTCTCCCACACTCCTGTCATTCTATATGTCTCATCGCTGCCTTGCTGCTTTGTGCCGTCAGATGGCGTTCTTTTTTTGGCAAAAAAAGGAAAAAGGAAATAAACGGCGACCAGAAAACACGAAGAGTGGTTACAACGCAGCAGCACCTCACCTGCAAATACACTTCGAACCTTCTTGCCACGGGCCGGGCGAAAGCGACCGCCGAACGGTAGCAGGATGCGTGGTGAGACCCAGGACTCCATTGGCGGCACTAGACGCCAGGTCTGGGGAGGAGATGACAGCACAACGGCAACAGACCAGCCAGGGACTGTCAGTACAGTGTCAATATATTCAACAGCTGCATCTAGCTGCTGCTGCTGCCACGTGGTATCGGATAGTATAGGCTTTGTATGGTGACTCAAATGACTTCCCTAAGTCAGTCTCAACCGTGAACACATATAACTACGTCAAAGTAGCCTTTAGTACACGAGTTCACAGCGGTGGGAAACCTTGTGTCTATTGTTAATCTGAGTTTAGTGGCAATAGGGTTAGTTATAGTGTGTTAGTAGTGCACCCTTCATTTCACATTCATTTGTCATTGGCAGTCGGTTGACGAGCCAGGAAATGTTTAAAACAAATACAAGTACAAATAGTAGGTGTACGCGCACCAGCAGCATGTGTCCTACTGCTCACCTTGGCACTCTGTACCATTCTCCATGCGGTCAGCAGGCCAAAGCCATGCTCATAGCTATGGTGGAGACCGGCGCCGTTCTTGGTCCACCCCACCGTCGAGTCGATCTGAGCGGAGAAAAGACGCACGTGCGCACGGCGACGGCAGTATTCACATCACGTATGCATAGTGAATGGTGCATACCAGTAACTCTACCAAGAGTAGATAACCCCCGAGAGTGTGCAAGTGCTTTGGCTGGACCACTTTTTTTTTTAACACAATGCCAAAAGTGCCCAGAATGCAGGATGTTGCACCCTAATTTCAAAATCTTCTCCAGGGGGAGAACCGGGCCCCGGACCCCCTACAGCCAGACCACCTCCAACGGCGGTGCCACGCGCCTGAAGTGCCTGTCCTATCTATATCCAGTGCTGCGACGGCGGCAGAGTTTCATATCACATGACATGGTTCAACAGTTTACGCTGACAAACAGTGCAACGTGACCACCAAAGAGTTGTACATATACTCAGTGCAGGATTGTGACAACCCTGTAGCTACCATGCACAGCGTGCAGAAAGAGTGTACAGATTACGATGTCACTGTGGAGTTCTGCCGCCACAGACCCCATAGACTGCTTTGCAACTCCGCAATCGGCGCGTACGATGACGTCATCTGCCTAGCCTGAATGAACCTCTTTAGCAGTCAAGCATAGTTTCAGACTGCGGGTAGAGATAGAGAGATACACAGAGAGAAAGTGATCTTCTGACTTCAATGCAATGGCAAAACTCACCTTGGTGGCCGTGAGCATGAGCAAATATTGCACATCGCGCCAAGTTAGGCAAGGTCTGGAGACGCCGGCAGAAGATAGCACAGACATACACATGCACACACACACACATGCACGCACACACATGTGTCATGACCCGAATTCGACTCGTCGTGAAAGCGACCACGCATTGAGATTCAGCAGCCAATGCTGGGCTCCGAAATATTCTAGAGTTCTGTAAGAACCATGATTAGTCCTGCGAAGGATGTGGCACTTTCGTTAGTTGAGCAATCATGGCTTACAACTCGTGGCCTAGAGTCGCAAGTGTTGTCGTACGTCGGCAACACCTTCAGTACAAGTCGTCAGCATTGTACTCACTACACTGTTGAGCTTGAGGGGACCATGCTTAGTCCTGCAAGGGAGCTGATACCTTTGTTAGTCGAGCAAGAATGGCACCTCTTCTCGTGTCGTACGACGTAAAGAGTCCTGCAAGTGCTTCGCGCACTGCGGACTCCGTTATCCCTTTTGGGAGAGGTCACGGCTTGACCGTGAGGCACCCTACGGGGCGATGAGAGGGAGGGGCCTACGGGCATGAGATGAAGGGTGACCATCGATGCAGCGTACGAAGGCGGCGTACTCCAGCGAAGGCAATTCCCGAGTACACAGGCAGCGTACTCCAGGCCACCCGTCGCACGAAGAGCCTCGGAGTCCAATTAGCAATACTTTCATGTAATGTGGGTGAGCGAGCTCCCCGGAATACGCTACTAAATATTTACTACTACTTTATTATAATAGTATAATTTGTGATATTATCACAAATTATACTATTCCAAATCACATAAAAGCCGCCTTCCCCAATGAAATAAACGCTCCCTTCAACCTTCGACTACCTTGTGTGAGCCGAAAAACAGGTGAGCTACTTATCTGCTTGAGTCGACTGTATTGGTTGACTACCTGGTGCCACTAGATGGATCACCGGCCGTGACAATTGGTGCTGTGACCAGGATCAAGCGATAATGCTAAAACATTGTTATGTGTGTCCTTTTCTTGAACAGAATCGAGAATGGCCGACAACCAGCACAAGCGTGGCCCGCCCGCGGCGCGACAACTTCCACGACATGCAGGTCATCAGCAAGACTTGATCGTGGCCCTACAGGCGGGTGCCGCAGCGCTCGAAGCCTTGCATAGGCATGCCCACGCCCAGAAGCTCCGGGCTCTGGCCGGCGGGCTAACGTCAGTATTGACGGCGTTGAAGAAGTTTGCTTCAGCTGTCGAAGAGGGGCCTCCCCCGAAGAGGCCAAGACCCGCAACGCCGGCAACACCTCGTGCAAACGCCGTTGCTGCAGCCCGAGACGCCGCCAAGGCCGAACGGGAGCGCCTGACGGCAGCCACCGACAACTTCCACGACATGCAGGTCATCAGCAAGACTTGATCGTGGCCCTACAGGCGGGTGCCGCAGCGCTCGAAGCCTTGCATAGGCATGCCCATGCCCAGAAGCTCCGGGCTCTGGCCGGCGGGCTAACGAAGAGGCCAAGACCCGCAACGCCGGCAACACCTCGTGCAAACGCCGTTGCTGCAGCCCGAGACGCCGCCAAGGCCGAACGAGAGCGCCTGACGGCAGCCACCGACAACTTCCACGACATGCAGGTCATCAGCAAGACTTGATCGTGGCCCTACAGGCGGGTGCCGCAGCGCTCGAAGCCTTGCATAGGCATGCCCATGCCCAGAAGCTCCGGGCTCTGGCCGGCGGGCTAACGTCAGTATTGACGACGTTGAAGAAGTTTGCTTCAGCTATCGAAGAGGGGCCTCCCCCGAAGAGGCCAAGACCCGCAATGCCGGCAACGCCTCGCGCAAACGCCGTTGCTGCAGCCCGAGACGCCGCCAAGGCCGAACGGGAGCGCCTAACGGCAGCCACCGACGCGGCAGCCGCCGCCAGCTTGGCCTCGGCCGAAGCCGAAATGTTAACTTAATTAACTTGAAAGATGGCCCTAGAGGCGAACTTGAACAAACTTGTGTTTTGTGTGTCAAAGCATGAGGGTTGATATTGGACTAGTGGTATAAACTAGCTCCAAGGACTGCATGTACAAGGTAGTCAAACGAGGACGCACACCAGCATGCTGCGTACAACCCTGCACTCTTGAGTCAGGAACGGGAGAAGTCAGACTAGAAGCTGTACTCATAGTCACACTAAAACAGCGTAGCCTGGCCAGATGGGGTCGGCAGGAACGTTTCAGGCTAAGCTTCTACGGGAAGTGAATAAGGGGTGACTCGTCACACCTGAGCGGTACTCAGGAGGACCAGTACGGTCACTTTGGGAGCGCAACATTGCACAGAGTGCTACTGACCCAGTGACTGGCGACAGTCCGTATTTAGATTGTGTGCGCAGGCCGTGCCGCGGTACCGAATGCGAACTGGCGCTGACACGTCAGCAGCCCAGGGATAAAAGAGACCGATGTGGGGCTAGGAAATCATTCCACCTTCGGGTCTGCCTAAGAAGCTTCACAGCCTCTCCTTCAAGCTTTGCTTGCCTCTCGTGCTTATTAGCATCCACAACTTGCAATAAATTGCAAACTAACATGGCTCAAAACCGGCCCGCGGCTGGTGCCAATGTCGCTGCTGCAGCTAACGCTGCTGGGGGAGCACCGAATGCTCCAAATGCAAGGCCTTCCATCATGCCGGAGGCTTATACAGGCCAAGGTGATTGGTTGGAGTACCTTGAGTATTTCAACCTTTGTGCCGCGGTCAACCAATGGAACGATGCACAGCGCGCACAATTTTTGGCAGTCCGCCTTCGCGACGGGGCACAACAATTTCTGGGCTCTGTCCCAGCTGCAAGGAGAGCCCGTTTGGGCCGAGGTAAGATTTCGACACAATGAAGTTAGAAAAACTTCATTCTGAAAAAAATATCGGTATTTACTCGGGCAGGTGATCGACACAGATGGCGTCCATGCCGCAGCTTACCAAATTTCAAAGCTTACCTAACTTCAAGGATCAATGCCAACAGTCCGGCTGCAAGCGGTGCGGCTGCTGATGTTCCCGTGTGGCCCGTGGTACAAGAGTGGTGCAAGTCTGTGGTGGCCTAAATAAAAAAAAGTCACGGTAGAGAACGTCTTGCACGACAATACGCATACACACACGTTCTATAGAGGTTATGCAAATGACTTCAGGGGGTGAGTCAGTGGAACGGCTCCTGGCCGCTATGCATACAGTGTGAGTCACTAGTACGAGTGCAGCGCTGTGCCGAGACTTCTTCGCCAAAGCATCTTGGATGGTGATGCAATCGCATAGCCTCCATAGACCAACACAAGAACCTGGAGCATGCAGTGCGCAGGTACAGTAGAGTTTATCCTAACCAGTGTATGGGGAACTGAAGCATACCTGCCGGCGTCTCGGCACCGTTCCTAACCCGGAAATACATCAACGCAGCCTCTCCGGTTAACAGAGCCCCTACATTTACATGTACATCTACTGCACGGCACACAACAGATCCGAAAAGGCCGTGTGAAATAGTGGTAACGTGCGATGTGATTGCAACTGCATATGCGCGGACACCTATCGATGGCACACATCACAGTCAATACAACTACAGCGTAACATGGTGATATCACCAGACCCCAAAGAACACATAGTGAGCATGACAGATGCATGTACGCAGCACGGCGCGCCTCTAAACTTGAACATTCAATGTAGGTGGATAGTGCTGCCCGCCTCGGTCACGTACAATTGCCCGCATTCCGGTCTTGTGCCCATCACTGCTGTACGCCACGGCCATTGTTGCTGCACAGAGCTCATTGTAGGCTGGGTCCTCATTGTCCTCACCGACTCCACCTGCGCAGCACAGCAGTGCAGCAAATTAATGGGAGAAAGCGACGTCAAACGAAATGGCTCTGGAGACGGGAATGCTGTTTTAAACTATATGCAGCTTCAACGCTTCATCAACTATTTAGGACCAAAGTAATGTACTCACACTGTGCAGACCTGTATGTGCATTAGTACACTCACATGCACCTACACCTACACACACACACACACACACACACGCACACACAAAACTCACCGATGGTGATCGTATAGATGGAGTTTGCGTAACCGTCAAAGTTACAGTTGTCGTGGTGTCTGCCACCGTTGCCCGACGCCACTACAAACAGACTACCCAGTCCGTACCGGCCATTATCGATTCCATGCTTCAATGCTCTCTGCACGATCAGCAGAAGAGCAACAGCAACCAGTGGTAAGTGCATCAACCCAATTGGGCTTGCAGTACAATGTCTGTATGCGTGCACGAGTACAGAGCATGATGCAGGCAAGTTACGCAATGAAGGCATGCATCACACTGTGCACTGACCCATAACCATGATAATCACAGTTGCATGCTCTACGTTATGGACTCCTCGTTCCGAATGCGCATGTGTGAGGCAAATTAACGTGGGAAGCAATGCATATTGCCACTGTGGCTTCACATGCTGAAACAGGAGAGAGAAAAAAAAGAAGAGATAGATAGAGAGAGAGGGAGAGAGAGAGAGAGAGAGAGAGAGAGAGAGAGAGAGAGAGAGAGAGAGAGAGAGAGAGAGAGAGAGAGAGAGAGAGAGAGAGAGAGAGAGAGAGAACCCTACCTTCGCTAAAGGCCGAGGTCCATCCACAGTCTTGCCATCATCATCAGGTCCCCAACTGGAAAAAGAGACAAGAGTATCGTATTGAACAGATGATTAGTACGTACTGACATGTACTGATAGCTCACCGCGGTCAAAATACTAGATACTAAATATTAGGCAGTCAGAGCAGTGACCGAAATAGCACCTGAGAGAGCGAGAATGGTGCCAACTACATAGGGGAATCATCGATGCAGATCATAAAATGAAACAGCAGTGGGGACGATGGTACTACAATGCAACAAATCTCACTCCGCTGTGCTGGAGGCAGTGTGAATTGCCAAGCTGAAACCTGAGTGGTGTGTGCAGAAGAAGTATGTGCAAGAGTTGTCACTGTTATGACATTGTAGTACCGTAGTCCCCAGTGCTGTTTCAGTTGATGCTCCGTAGTGATGATTCCCAGATGTAGTTGGCGCCACTCACACTCTCTTAGGTGTCATTTCGGTCACTGCTCTGACCGCCTAAAAGCTTGATAAGAGGACTTAGTTGCTGCTGTAGTGGATGCGATGTCTTTGGTGCGTTTGTAGAACCACTACAGCTGCAACTCTAAATATCACTGTCCAGTGTATTAGTGGACTTCCTCCCCACTGAACTGACAGGCGCACGGATAGGGGCAGTACGCACTCGAGTGTGCTCACCTGCAGCTATAGATATGGTTGATGTGCGGCTGAAAGCCGAACGCTGCGGCCTCCATGCTGTCGCTCACATCGCCGTCAAGGATGCGTATGGCTGTGTGAGAGAGAAGACAATGGCACACCAACGTACATGTACAATTATACCTCGCTGGTCCGGGCCTGGGCACTGCCCATAACTTTGAAATATCCGTAACTCCGAATCACATAAATTTTGACGGGGAATTAGGTTATGGCATATGGCGTCACGATTCCCACAAAAGCGACAAAAAGTGACAAAAGAGTAGTAATATTTCCACTGAAACTCGCCCAAAGTGTGCCTGGTATACCAAAGTGCCCGTAACTTTGGTGGCCGGATAACCGAGGTATGAGTGTATAGGCATCAGAGCGTACAACGGAAATTTCAAGAAGACGGTATTCTATTGGAGGTGATATGACTACAGTCAGACCTCGCCTAACTGCACGCACTGGTTTTCCACAACATATCCGAATAGGCGAGGGAACCGATAACCCAAACACACATACACTGTACTTTATATGCATGCAGCACATCACATGGTGTGAGTTCGTGTGTATATTATGCGTGCGCACACACACACACACACACACACACACACACGCGCGCGCGTGCGTGCGCGCACACTGTAAAACAAGCGAGGACACTAATGAGTGCATACCGTAAAGTACCGTTGATCTGGCGCCTCTCGAATTCCCCCCCCCCCCCCAATTTCTCCCTCTCTAATCCAATCAGTGTGTACGTCAAAGTACGGTGTTGAACCGACGCATGGGCAGGGTGTCGTACAACTCCCTTTTTTGTAAGACTCCCTGCTTCTGGCTTCTGCATATCTGTGTGAACACTGTACACCATGGCGCACGCTGCAGTACGCCACGCGGAAACTGGATACAACAAAGCTATTTTGTAGTTTGTACACATTCAAACGGTCCGTACACAAAACCATACAACGGTATGCACATCGCAAGGACCGGTTACGGTGCATGCTGGAAATCAGCTACTCGTACGGGCGCTTTTCTTCGAGATGGCGGGGTGAGGACAGGGAGGAGAGAGGGGATAGGGAGATCAACGGTACTCTGTATGTGTACTGGTGTACAGAGGAGGTGAAGAGGCCGTTCAGTATTATGCAATTTAGTAATTCCACCCATATATGGAGGATAATTCAAAAGAGGAGTCATCCATATTTGGCAGGATTTGGGTGTTACAGAAGCTAGGATAGTTCAAATCCAAATATGGATGAGCTGTGCACTGTCTCGCGACCCTGGCCATGACGTTCACTTGAAGGTGACCGGAACTAGGGATGTCAGCGAACGCACTGCGCAGGCCTCTGCGCATGCATTGCGTCATCGATTTTTTGAACGTGATCGCGGCCGACAGAGAAAACATGGCCGCGGTCTGTTTGCACCGCTGGGAGTCGTAAAATTACTGTTCTTCTGTCCCCGCGACCATTCAAATCATACGCGATACTCGAGGACCCACGAACTCACCACGTTCTCCCCGGTCGATTTCTCTGAAAGTTTGCACATCGTGAAACACCAGTATGAGAGGTGTTCAGGCCAATTTTCAAGGAATTTCCCTGGTTGGATCGTTCCAAAATCGGACTTCCATTTCTCGCTCGCGGCCATTTCTTGCGCGATGGAAGCGCCCTGCCCTGGTGAGTAACCAGCATCGCGCTTGGTAGAGAGTTGCTGCAATCAGCTCCCTGATGTCTTCGCTGCCATTGTCAGAAGCGATGGACCATGAATTTGTTTGAGAGTCTCTGGATGCTACTATTCCTCAGCCTAGTTTTCAGCCATTCCGTGCATCTTCTTCGCACGATTTATTTTGCAAAAAAATGAAAGTGTTCATGAGTTTTCTTGTCGGCCGCGCGTAGATGGGCCAGGCTGACCTGCGCAGATGGGCTGCGCAGTGCGTTCGCTGATATCCCTACCGGAACGTGAAGATGCATGACAAGAACATGGTTACGGGTCGGGCTTCAACCAGGTACAGTACATGGCATGCTAAGGTCGCTGTGTGTAGCATGGCACGGCACGGCGGGATCCGGAGGGATTGGTCAAGCCATGGCTGGACCAACTGTTTGGCCATCAATGCATGCTTTACTGTTTACAGTTGCAAAGGTCATGTGCATCCAGCACATCATATACACAGCATGAAAGACAACGGTGTGGCCGGACCAATCAGAAACGGCTTCTGCCGGCACTGCATGATTGACATGATGGGTATTGTATTTCATGCACCAGTCGTTATCTGGGATAGGCCCGTGATTGAGATCATACTGGATAGGTCAAATCCATCACGACGCATCATCGTGTTAGTTAAGTTATCAGCCACTGGCCTACCCCCTCCCCCCAACCATTACACACACACACGCACGAACACACGCACACACATGCACACACAAACACACACACACACACATGCACACACACATACACACACACGCACACACACATACACATACGTACCGGACACCTGTGCTCCGTACGCAATGCCAATTCCGCACACCGAGTTGTTGGGCTGGCCAACGATTTCTCCAGCGCACCTGCGTGCAGAGATGAAAGAAGAGTTTAAGGCACGCTGTTAGAACCCTGCTTTGACACACACGTTCATGAACCGAGTACATGTATTGTCGAGTCAATGCACTCTACAGGATAGAAACACAGGACCTGGAATTCGTCTTGTCCAGTCGAAAACAATGCCTGCCAATGCCCGCATTGTGTATGTATGAACACCATACTTAGCGGCATGGACCCGTACCTCGTTCCATGGTGGTTCGTATCCTTCCGATCATAACGAGGACTGGGGTCGTTGTCATTGGCATTCAAGTCGGTGCTGCCCATGGGGTTCTGTCGAGCACCAGACAAACAGAATACACAGAGAGCTCAAGCGGTCAACAAAAAATGAGCGCTCTGCGCGCTTGCTGCTGCAAGTACGTACTCTGCAAGCACACTCAGCGAGTGCATACAAATACATGTACACGTGCACGGCATGCTGTCCCCAGTACATGCCTGTAGTACCTGCTAGCAACGCGGAGCAATTCACCAAACTACATCATGGACTAGCGGCGCAGTCATTGTCAAAAGCCAATCCAAAAAAAGTGTGCTAGGACGTGCAGCCCTGGCCCGTCAACATCTCAGTGAGTTGGTACTAGTACAGCGAAACCTGTCTAAAAGACGACCGCTCATGGGACCTTCAAAACGTGGTCTCTGTTACCTGGTGGTCTCCGTATCCAGGGTCATTTGACTAGAAATAGCATCCCTCGGTGCTGGTTTCAGTGGTCTTCTAGGACAGGTGGTCGCCTTATCCGAGTGGTCGCCTTGACAGGTTTTACTGCACATGCTAACAGGGCTGGCGTACCATTGGTACGGCGCTACATGCTCTCTTGTCCAGCGAGGACTACTACTGTAGAGGCAGAAAATGTCATCGGTCAATAATTTCGTCCACCTCCAAAGAAAAGGAGTTCGTCCGGTTGAAAATTTCGTCCATAGATCATAAGAGTGTATAGAAACGCTGGACAAATCGATATTCGTCCTACATTTAATTAAGTCCAAAAGCTCCTTGGACGAAAAAGACGAAATTAAATTCCAGACGAATATTTCTGCTTGTACAGTATGCTAGCTGTACTAGTATAAAGCTGCCAGCGGGATGTGTAGCTGAAACAACCGGATATGATGCAGAGTAGAGCTATTGACATGCATCCTCCCATGATACTTAAGATGGGCACGGGAAAATGACCGGCACTGTAGCCAAACTGGAGGGGGGGGGGGGGCGCGGGGCACAAGACTTACGTAACTGCTCGCCAAGTCCGGGTGATCCATCTCTAAGCCTGCAGTGATCACCCGCAGTGCGCACGCACGCACACGCACGCACACGCACACACACACACACACACACACACAGCAGTATGGAGTGAACATCATCATGCAACACGGGCGGAAAGTAAAGGATCTTGAATTCTTGATCCTAACTCTGCTGTGCGTGTCGAAGAAGTACTAGTAAGTTAAGCTGCTGAACAAACACTCACCATCGTCGACAATGGAGACGTTAAGCTGCTCAACAAACACTCACCATCGTCGACAATGGAGACCACCACACCAGCGCCGGTGATGTTCTGTTCCCACACTCCGGTGACGTTGTGGTCGTAAGCAGGCCGGTCTGTATTCACCTGCTCAGGCAGCCAATACACACACGCACATGTGAACACACACACACACATACACACACACACATGCACGCGCGCACACATGCACGTGCGCACACACACACACAAACACGCACACATGCACATGCACGCGCACACACACACACACACAGTCGGCCTTGGAGGAATGGCACTTGGCCAGATGCGAGAAAATACAACCCAAGGTTAATTGCCGCCGCATATCAACTGACTATGATGGTGGAATTGCATAACCTCTATACTCGGGACCACTATGCATGAAGGCGGCTGGAATCCACCATGTGGACACAGTGCGTAGACCTAGCTTGACACTTGCTGGTAATCACTACGACAGCACGATCCCACCATGCAGCTTGCACACTAGCTGTACACGATTGCCAATGAAAAAACACACGCACAATGCTGTGTCCATGTACCTCGTCACGACCTCTACGCCGTCTGACACTCCACATACACGAATTCTGGCTGTGCGACAAGCAGTGTGTTAGCACGCAGCTAGCAGGAGTCTTATGTGAGAGACGGCAAGGGCTGATTTGTTGGCGACGAAGATGAGAGCGGTTACCATGGTCACTGGCTACTACGGTTGAGGCACCATACCTAGACTCATTTGTGGCTGGACACAACTCTCCGACTCATCCCACAAACACGCATTTGGTGTGGCGCTGTGCGTGCACCGCCTGTATGCGCATGCCTTACAATCTCCTCCTCGCACAATTCGGAAAGCACTTGTTGGGTTGCGCCGCTCCGGGTCTGAATGTACTCGTATACCCGACCTGATGTAATAGGTTCTTACTGATAGCTTGAACCGTCACCATACATGCATGGCCAAGGCATCAGGCTAGGTAAGCCATGTACAGAATTTCGTGAATTTACAGCCGGCGCATGCTGAATTGCCATGGATGTAAACCACAGCGCCCTTAACCGGTAAGCCAAAACAAAGCACTGCGGACTATGACCAAAAATCGCGAAGCCCTACACGTACAAGTGAGCCGTTTCTCTAACCCCACGGGGCTATGTCCTGAGCGGCCTGCTGATGAACTGATAGATTGCTGCCACTGACTCTGTGGGGAGAATGCAGAATTGCATGACAGCCATGCACCAGTTCTCCCTCATTCAGTGTGGACTACAACAGCACTGTCTGTCAGCAGTGATTGAAGTAAACTGTGACACAAGTAAACTGGGACAGACTGCAGCATGCAGTGCAACTGTACAACCATGACAACTGCAGGGTTGGACTTGTCGCAGGCATCCAGACCATACTCCTACCTGCAAAAAGTGCAAGTGCCCAAGATAGCATTATTAATTAATCATGCATGACCACTAAGAAGAGTTTCATTCCAAGAGCCCCTGGCCCTGACTGGCCTGAGCCTGACACAGCACAGGTGGATTCACTATGTGCACAGAGTCGTACTGACAATCAACACTAGACTGCAACCAAGAGTCCCAGGGCTTCAAACTCATTTCCTTTCCAGCTGGGCTGGCCTTGATCATGCGTGACCACGGTGACACGCGCTAAGCTGTCGCAGACCTGGACCAGGCGCTATGCTGCTTTGCTACTTCAACAAGTACTTGTACATGTGATGTGCAACAAGTAAGGAAATAATTCGCTGTCACGCCTTTGCACCACAAACTGCCAGGAGTATGGGATACGTCCATCAGATCAGCGGAACCCGTCACGCCAACGTCTCTACTATTTTGACTAACTCCTAGCTAACTACTTCGTGAATCGTCTCAGAAAAATTCAAGGTCCGGATCCGAGCAATGACTATGATTGTCATGTGTTGTGCACACTTGCGCCTAAGGAAAAATTTAAAAAATACAGATCAACATCACGCTGCACGAACTGCATGTAGCCAGTTACATACATGGACAGTCATGCAGCTTACCAAGTACCACTGCTCCGGGAAGAGTGGATCATTGAAGCCTCGCTTGATCCTGACCAGAGGTCGTTGCTCGGAGTGCCACACGACATCTTTGTGGGCACGCAGCGCAGGATGCGCCGTCGATGACGTTTCCTCCTTTTCGTGAGCAGCTGGTGGCGCAGCAGAGTCATATCTACGCTTCCTTGCCATCGCCGACACGTCCTTGCCGCCGTTTCCCTGCTCATCATGATCAGAAAACACATAGGTGTCGTGGAGCGCTCCAACACTGCCGTGAAAGAGGAAACCCAAGTCACGGGCCACGTCCTGGGCCACCACCTCGGCACTTCTCTCGCCATCATCCTCACGGACCTGCGCGGCCCATTTCGCAGCGAACGCTGTGTTGTCCGCCGTCGCCACCAGCACCACAGTCAAAACGAGCAACGCGAATCTGGAATGGGCTCGCTGTCCATCAGGAGACATGGCATTTGGTGGAAGTGGCTAGCTCGGCGGGACGAGCTGCGGCACTGGAAGTGAGGAGAGGAAACCAGCCAGGATCCATCAACAAACTCACACTCGTGCTCGCTTTGTGGCCACAAGCAGCAGCACGCGAATGTATACTACTCTCGGTAATGCTAGTAATGGTTGCACTGTCAACAGGACTGGTGCAGATCTTGCACCCGACAGTGTAGTAAATCCCTGTCCTCGCTCATTGAACAGGACTAGTTCAGTAGTTGTACGACGGAATTGTAGCAGAATTATCCAAAGCCTGGCCTGGCTAGCTAGCTAGCTGGCGCGGCTCAGTTGCGTTCGCGTAGCGATGTTGTACAATAGTCAATACAGTATGTACATGCGAGCACGAAGTAGCAGGCGCACAACGACAGGAAGAACTAGTAGTTGTAGGTACTACAATGACTATGTACAAACAGTACGCGGTAGGTACATGTGTATAGGTGGGGAGTGCACGCTCGTATACGGTATATTGCTACGCACGGATGTCAGCTAATAAACTGAGCACGGTCATGCAACGGCTACAGTTCACAACAGACCTACTTTGTTGGCGGTCGCGATGTCCCGACGCCTGGCCACATAGGCGAATCGCACTTCACAAAGGTCTTCACTCAACCGGGGCGATCGCGCCGTCCATGCCGGGTCGAGCACCTCAGAGGCTCAGTTCCGCTTCTGATATGAACCTTCGCTATTCTCGCTGCTCGTAGTCTATCTACTGCTTCGACACTAATAAACTGCCCTTTCAAGCTCCATGCACACGTCGGATCAGTCAAACAATCTCCACAGCTATCACCAGAAATTGGCTTATCTTCTCTCTGCCGTTTGTCTACATTGGCTATTCGAGCCAGCACTCTACCCTGGGCCTACGTGCCCGCAGAGAGCAGCACCGATATGCTTTTCGAACCTGGACCCGACTGACTAAAGAATCAGAGACACTTCGAACTACTGAACACACGTAAGAATGTTGACTGGAGAATTCCCAACCTGAGACGTGATGTACCCTGTACCATCTGCATCACTTTTGGAAGGTTAGTTCAAAGGAAATGATTCAAATGCCCAGCGGCACAGCGCAGGTGTTGACAGCACAAGTTACGAAGGGAAAGGATTCGCTGTAGTGTTTTGTTGATTACAGATTAGTACCGCTGGTATACGCGATACAATAATTATAGTATACAAACCAACAAAGTATTAGTTACATTGCCATTTGAACCCATGCCAAATATCCTCCAAAAGGAAGAAAGGCCATAACTACCGCAAAATATGGGCATGTACCCACGTGGAAAGACACACCGCACACGTGTCGCCCTTGAACCGGTCCGGCCGTCCCCGACCCATTGCAAGTGACGATGTACGCGCTGCCAAGAAGCAAGCGAAGAACACAGTTGACGCCTCGGTTCGGGCTGATGCTGTGCTTCTTTCCTCATCTGTGGATACTGAGTTGCAGCGGGTCATTGCACTAGCCAGGGCCTGCTCTAGACATTCAACACAGCCTGGTCAGAGTGTACCTGGCGCATGCAGGCCAGCCGGGTCAAGCCGGGTCAGATCATCCGGCAGAAAAACAACCAAAAAGCCTGCTCAAAACGCAGGAAAACAGAAAGGCGAATTTATTACCGGAAATCGGAAATTTTAGAGAACAAGGCGAACTATCAAAGTCCGCAATTAGTGCTAGTAGCAGGACGAACATGTTCACATAATAGAGCACTGGGGGGGGGGGGGGGGGGGGGGGTGCCTGCAGCACCCAGGAGCCGAGCAGCATGCCGATAATTCGAAGCAGTGAGTTCTTACCTTTCAACCACGCATCGCGACCAAATCCACCGCCGCTCGTCTTCCTTTGGAAATGCGTCTTGCACAAAGCGCATGACATGGATAGACAGGCATGGTCGTAGTCCAGCCAGGGTCGACCTTTCTTCCAAGAGTCTTGATATATCTTTTTAAAATAATCTTTATTTCAGGATTCTTGGAAAGCGTGAGTTCTTTTTCTCTTCGCTGTGGGCTCCATCGTCCAAATCACCAGTCGGCTGAAAACTTGCAACTGTGTCAAAAGCTATAGCCAAAGTTACGCTTTTGACTGCCTGCCCCATCGACTTTGAATGTCCTGACTTCCTGCTCGCCGCTGGCTAGATCGCGCTCGAACCAGTTGACCCCAGCTGACCCTACCAATGTACATTGTAGCCGAGTCTCTGTCGCTTGTATACTGTAGTGTGTACGGTTGCTCTAGAATTGCAACAGATGGGGTCCGCGAGTCGTAAAATACCGGTATTTTAGGAATCCATTGTCAGTTTGAGACATTTTTCAGCCGGGTCAGACTGGACCCGGTGTTATAAGTTCAGCCAGGTCGTGCAGTTCCCCAGCCGGGCGCGTGACCCGGCTGACCCGGCTCTCCAGCAGGCCCTGCTAGCGTCGGAGAAGGGAGCTTCTTCCTGGCTGACCTGTCGACCCTTGAAGCGGCATGGCTTCAAGCCTTGACCCTCACCAAGGGTGAGTTCCGCGACGGAATCCACTTGCGCTACGGCTGGCTTCCACAGCGACTGCCATCATCTTGCAGCTGTGGAGCCACATTTTCAGTCGCTCACGCTTTGTCTTGCCCCACAGGGGGGTTTCCGTCGGTGCGGCACAATGAGGTGCGTGACCTCACTGCCCATATGCTGAAGCGAGTGGCTCACAATGTCTCCGTGGAGCCCCACCTGCAGCCGGTCACTGGGGAGCAGTTCCGGTATCGCACCGCTATCCAGACTGAGCAGGCCCGTCTCGACGTTGCGGCAAGTGGCATCTGGGGTGGCCGGTTTGAGCGCACCTTCATCGATGTGAGGGTTTTCAATCCTCATGCGACCTCAAACCGCGCCACCTCCATTGCTTCCTGCTACACCAAGCACGAGAAGGAGAAGCGGCGCTGCTACGAGCAACGTGTCCGCGACATAGAGCATTCGTCGTTGTTCCGGCCATATTCTCTACCACTGGTGGTTTGGGCAAACACGCGGAGTCGCTCTACAAGCGGATAGCTTCTCTTCAAGCCGCGAAGACTGGAGAAGCATACAGCTGTGTTATGTCTTGGGTTCGATGCAAATTGAGTTTTGCCCTACTCCGGTCCAGCGTGATGTGTTTGCGCGGATCCCGGAATCTTCGGCCGGTGCAGTTGGACTCACCTCCCACCTTGGCGGTTGCTGAGGCGGGCATTCGCATTTGATACCATTTGCCTTACCTCTGGTTTTGTCTGTATTGGCTTCGTCTGTGCTCTTTTCATCCTACTACTACTAGTACTACATTATAGTAGTTTTCAGTCCGCTATCGGGCGGCTGCACTCCAAAAAAAAACCCATTGCAAGTAAAGTGAGTCAGTGCAGTGACGTGACAGCAAGAGTTCGTAGATCTACGTACATAACCGGCCAGGGAGTCGTAAAATACCGGTATTTTACGACTCCTGGTGCAACTCGACTATGGCCCATACAGTGTACAGATACACGTACATCAAGAGTACAATAATTATGTACTCTTGGATACATGTATACTAGTAATTATGGGTGCTGTGACTGCTGTCCTGACAGAATTTCAAGTTGACGTCATTTTGATGATGCAATAATTATAATGCGCACTGTATGTACACGGATTATCGGAACCTGTGCATATGGGCGAAGCCAATCTGATCCTGTACAAATGATTTTTAAAATTATTGCAAAAAGAAGCTGAAGCTGGCTATCTCCAGTTCCGAAAATCGTGCATCTGAACCCGTCCGGCTTCGTCCGGAGACTTGACGTTGCAAATCAACCTTCTCATTGGATTGTTTCAGACAACAATGCTCACTGCTGTTTAAGTTTTTCTTCTTCTACGCTTTGGCCTTGATCCAAGACGGCCTTCGACTTTTCCAACGTTACTTTCAAACTGGCATTATGGAGTAGTGCAGGGGCGTCGGAAGGTATTTTAGTGTGGTACGGACAGCCAACTGAACTGAAGTACAATTTACTCGTGGGGGAGGGGTGGCTGAGCCGAAAAATTTGGAAATTTAGAGCCCAAATCAGTGCGTATTATTGATTCACAGGGTACTTGGGGCAAAATAGTGGTACGGTCAATACTTTTTTTTTTTTTTTTTTTTTTTTTGACTTGGTAAACCGGCCTCTTGTACGGGCAGAATTTAGTACCGTAGTGACCGTACCGTGTGCGACGCCCCTGTAGTGTGAGCATTATAAGTGGCGTTTAATATATCCTCATAATTATTATGAGCATTGCCTTTAGCATTATCGCAGCAAATAACTAGCATGCCTATACATGACATAATACGTGTATATACGCGGTATCACCAAGAGTAATGATCTCTAATTCTTTATTGTACTCTTGACATCACTGTGTAGAGAGTAAAGAGTACAGTGTGGTACATGTAGAGTGCATACAAATTACAACAAGAGTGGCAGATGTCCATGTAAGGAACAAGTACCATACCAGCAAGAGTACATAACCCCTCCACTGGGGGGTTATGTACTCTTGATACCAGTTGTTCCATTTTTGGGTGAATCCGATCTACACAATCATACTGGAAATTGAGGTGAGGAAATAATTTCCTGAGGCCTAGGAGTAGGACTGGGTGACGCGCTCAGTGAAGACGATTGTGTATTTTTATCAGGGAGCAATAAAACTCATTTTAGTTCACTACAGTGCTTGTACTCCCTGATGATCATGTCCCTGCACAGCGACAAGGAATCAGCTGGTGGTTGCAGGACGGATGGTACTGAGGATAAGTACAACCATAAAACACCATACTACCAACCACTGTACTGGGGGGCCATGGGGAGGGGAGGGCCAGGGCCCCTGTATTAGTAGGGCGGGGTGATACTCACCTACATACTTCTATTTTCATTATTCTATTGGTTTGGAGAGACTCCCATGATAGATATCCACTTACATCTGGAGAATCCGTAAATAAACAATACCATACAAACCTACTGTACTGGACCAGAGGTCTGAGGACACAACATACAGTGCGTATCGGTTATAGCGTGGTCGTGTAAAAGAATATACTGCCTACAAGAATGAACTCTCATGTTTTCATAATCATAACATGGATTTCATGTGCACATTTATTCTTACAAGCAATTTTATCGTACAGTAGAATACAGGTCGTCCCCCGTTAATACGAGTCCGGTTAGTACATAAACCCCGTTAGTACATAAGAAATCTCAAGTCCCGGACGAAACGTGGTCACTTCCATACAAATTTTGTCGGTTAGTACATAATCCGTTAGTACATAAACCCCGTTAGTACATAACATTTCTCCGTACCCGCATGTCACCTACCTCAATAGTACATAATTTACTGATCTTTTGGACTTCCAGTGGAGGCACATCGTGTTCTAGTTTCTACTTGTGGACGCAATAGGCATAGAAATCAGAGCGCACATCACAAACCGACAAAGCTCTGTTTTTTTGCCGAGTGACTGTACAGGTGCGGCTGGGCATGTACCATGTCAACTGTAGAATCTTCGCTAAATGTGACCGTTATAACATAATTTTTATGTTATATCGAGGGAATCAAGAATATCTCGCTGCCTAGTCATGGTAGCAAGAAACACTCAGAAAAGTTGAAAAAAGTGAAAAATTCTGGTATACAAGCAAGTTATGTACACTTTCGTTTAGTACATAAACCCCGTTAAAGGGGAAGTATACCCTAAAATCAAATTTTCACCAGTTGTAGTCTTCGGGGTGCTGAGTCGAATGGTCTTGGTCCGAGGAAGCTGAGACGCTCCCTTCCTACTTGAATCCCAATCGAACTCGCGCACTTCCACCGAAACTGGGTGACTGCGCCCTACTAGATGGAGATTTGTATGCAAAATGTCACTAAAAGCGCCATTTCGTTCTTATAAAAGCACGGATGACCGCGATTGGCCCATATGTTGTAGTCTTTTGGACGCTGAGTCGACTGGTTTTGGTCCGAAAAGGCTACGATGCAGCGCTCCTCCTTTATTCCCAATCGAACATGGTTGAAGAAGCGGTCACGTGCTCCTGCGTACACCAGTCACCTGGTCACCGTGCCTGCAGGGTACAACTTACTAGCCTGTTTGACCTTTTTTGGGTGCAGTCCTGTCACTCGAGTTGAACTCGAGTTGAACCTTGGTGTGAAAGTTGTCGCCTGCTGGCGCGGTGACCAGGTGATTTGGGCACCCAGGAGCACGTGACCGCTTGTTCAACCATGTTCGATTGGGAATAAAGGAGGAACGCTGCATCGCAGCCTTTTCGGACCAAAACCAGTCGACTCAGCGTCCAAAAGACTACAACATATGGGCCAATCGCGGTCATCCGTGCTTTTATAAGAACGAAATGGCGCTTTTAGTGACATTTTGCATACAAATCCCCATCTAGTAGGGCGCAGTCACCCAGTTTCGGTGGAAGTGCGCGAGTTCGATTGGGATTCAAGTAGGAAGGGAGCGTCGCAGCTTCCTCGGACCAAGACCATTCGACTCAGCACCCAGAAGACTACAACTGGTGAAAATTTGATTTTAGGGTATACTTCCCCTTTAATACATAACATTTGTCAAGTCCCAGAGATTATATTGGACGACCTGTATATCGGTCCTAACTTGAATGGACTTTGTGTAGCGAAACATGCCAGATCAGTACAAAGTATATCGCCTGTAGTAATAACATCCGTCCAAAGCAGTTCTGATCTGACTCGCGTTGGGTCGTAGTGCTGCAGGTTCAACTATATTGTGGTCATGTAACTCATGTTGCATAGCCACATGGTAAGCCTATGTGACTGTGACCAGCCGCATGCACAGTAGCGCTACCTTGTATGTACGATGATCTTCCTGCCTCTGCGCACATGCACATGATATGTCGCACTTGATTTATCGTGTGTAAGAAATATCGGAAATAAGAATAGAAAGTCGTTTTTCAAACACCCACTCTATAACCGATACCTACTGTACAAGTAGATTACGGAATTTCATGATGATGGTCAAGTGTTGTTCGTGCCGGTCACATGCTAAGTAAGACCAACAGCAAAGCAGGGAGGGACTCGGAGGGAGGGAGTGAGAGTG